AGTTTCCTGAACGACACGGGCAGACGTGTCTCGGAATGCATCCACCTGTCGGAAATGACGGAGATAAAATAGTTGGGGGGCATGGGCTCAGTAATGGGTACAGTGAATTCAACAATGTGTTCGTTGGACTCGGACTCCGCGTAGTCCTTGCGCAGGATGAACTGATCATGGAAAAGAATGTCTTCCCCATCGCAGTCTTCTACGATAATCCAAAAGCTCTCGGAGAGGCCATGGATATCGGCATCCCATTCGAAGTTTGGCGTGATCGCAAGCTCAATGCGCAGCATCGACCTTGTCATGGGCTGCACCTGGGCTTGTACCTCGACGCGGGGGAACTTGGCCACCAGGCTGCAAACAGTCTTGCCCGCCTTGGGTAGTCCGAGAAGCTCGCCCATCCGAGGAGGGTCCAGATCAAAGTAGCTGGAAAAGGGCACGTCGATCCTTTCAGCCTTCCTGATAATCTCAACAGGACAGTTGGGGAACTGTCTCAGCGGCGACATTGTTGGCCACATCCTCTTCTCGGCCATCTTGCACAGGTTTAGGGCCAGCTTAGCAACTGATGCCCATCCCTTCTTTATCGTGATTTCAAAGATAGCCCGAAGAATACGACCAGCAGATTGCGTAACGTAGACCATGTCAGCCATGAGGGCGAGACCCTCCAGCTTCAGACGAGAGATGAACGCCTGTAACAACACGTTGATTTTTGCGGTAGGCTCCTCAATGCTCTCCTTGACCGGAATGGGTACCTTTGCTAGGAGCTTAGCCAATTCCAGCTTTTCTTCTTGCCGAACGGGAATGTACTTGAATTCGGCGCTCTGGGCGAATACTCGGAAGAGTTCGACATCGGTGATAGAGGGTTGGATCAACTTGTTGTAGGTATCCATCGAGCCATAGCTGATGTAGTAGTGCGAGGCGATGCGGCCAAGTTCAGTGGACTGAAGCTTTCCGGTCTTCTCGTCGTACTTGATCAGATTTGACTTTTTCAGCACAGTAGCAGCGGAATGTATTAGGTCGACACGTTTTTGCTCCAAAGCTTCATCATCCTCGTACTCTGCCCCGACTTGGTAAAGACCAGGAGAGCGAAGCATACGAACAAAGAGGTAGGTATAGCCAAGCCACTCTACACCTTCGTCACGGCTTCTGACATTGCCCAGCACGATTTCAGCATTGAGGTTATCAACCAACTTGCTAGCAAATTGACTTTCAATGGGTAACTGCTGGTTAAGGAGCGAAAGGTAATACTGCATCTCTCCCTGGGTGGTGATGATAATACCTTCACCATAGGTGTCGAACTGAGGACGACCGGCACGACCAAGCATCTGCAGCACATCCTGAGGACTGAGCTCAACCCAGCTACCTTTTTCAGGCGAGTACACTTGCGTGCCCTTGATGATGACGGTATGGGCTGGAAGGTTGACACCCCAAGCAAGAGTGGCTGTGCACACAAGAACCTGGATATGGCCACTGGCAAACAAATCTTCGACATCGGTACGATCGGCACGACTCATACCAGCATGATGGATACCGAAGCCATAGGGCAAGATATCCTTCAGATCGGTGTTGTTGACAGAGTTGGAGGCTTCGCTCAGGACTTCACGGGTTCCGGCGTCGTGCTTCAAGATCTGGTTGATGGTGTCCATTTCCAAAGCCTTGTCCCTGATGTACCTGGCGGTCTTTGCCGTTTCCTTTCGGGAATGGACGAAAATGAGCATTTGATTGCGATTCTGTCCTACGTGTTCCAAGACCTTGTGGTAGGTGATATCATTCATAGTCTTCAACTGCTTGATGGCCTTTCTGTCCGTGACGCCGATAAACTCCTGACGGAGGGGGCAAGGGCGGAAGGTACCATCGAAATGGAAGAGCCCGGTGTTCGTATCCACACGGAGGAAGCTCGCTACGTCGCGGTAGTTGGGCAGAGTGGCAGATAAGCCCACAATGCGAACAGGCTCACCGGTCTGCTCTGTCTTGCGGATGGTTCTGGCGACGATGCTTTCAAGCACAGGACCACGGTCATCGTGAAGGAGATGGATCTCGTCAATAATAATCAGGCGGACCAAGTTGGTGTAGGAGAGATCAGTAGCCTTTCTCGTGATGACATCCCATTTTTCGGGGGTCGTAACGATAATCTGTGTTTCCGAGATCTGTTGCTTAGTGAGTTGCCGATCGCCAGTGAGTTCGGCCACCCTGATACCGAATGGTTCAAGACGCTTTCCGAAGTTGCCGACCTGTTCTTGAACAAGGGCTTTCAAGGGCGCGATATAGACGATCTTGAAGGCGTCCAGGTCGATCTCGCCGGCTTCGTTTCTATGTTTCCCGATCTCACGAAGGATGGTAAGCATCGCCACGTTAGTCTTGCCAGAGCCCGTCGGAGCACAGACAAGCATGTTTCCATCGTCACCAAAGGCAGTAGGATAGCACTTTGACTGAATCTTGTTTAACGACTTGGCCGTGCTGAAAGGTATCTGGGCCCACTCAGGCATTTCAGAAATCGGGACATGGGCGTCGCTGGGGTCGTTGCGCTTCTTTGGTGGGGGCACATGAATTTCTTCATAGCCCTTGAAGGTGCGCTTTGTCGAGCCCTCGGGAAGTCGTACTTTGGGATTGGTCATAAGGTGGTTACCCTGATCGAATATGAGGTTCTCCAGGTTTATTAACTTGCGTGGCTGCAGACCACCGACCAGCTGTCCCTCGGGACGCTCAGGCTTTTGGCCTTCCTTATCAGCAAATGCTCCCGAGTCAATGTCCATCTTGATTTCCATCTTGATCTTCTTCTGGCCGCCGTCGGTCTTGCCTTCCAGCTCGTCAAGAATCCAACGCAGACCCTCAGAAGCCATCTCCCGCTTGATCGTATTTTTCTCCTCCTCATTCTCAGCTCTGGCCAGCCGAGTAAGCCATACGACCTTCTCCCGGTTAGCAATGAGTTTTTGCACAAGCTCGTGGTGTTCGTAATCAAAAAGCTCCATCAAGTCGTTTTCGATGTCGCGGAGCTGCTTTTCTTCACCACCTGGCTCATCGGGCTCGCCGGAAAGAGTCTTGAGCGCAGACATTGTCTTGTCATGCTGGATATGTGCGTCGGGATATAGCCGGCCAATCTGGCGTTGTAACCAGAACGCATCGATATCTCTGGCTGGGATCGAATTGTCGTCAGACCCGCTTTTCTTCCCTTCCGGCGCTGATTCGATGACCATGGCCTCGCCGTTTAGAATATCTTCGACCACCTCCTCCTGACCTCCTTCACCATCGACCACCTCGTTGCTGTCAGGCAGCTCTTCATCCTCCGCAAAATCCTCCTCATCGGAAGATTCGTCCCGAACAACATCAACCATGCCATCATCATCTTCATCGTTCTCGAAGTTGACCGCAACGCCCTGGCGACCGTCAATCTCGTCGTCGCCTTCTTGCCTAGCATCGCCCGCATCCTCGTCTTCATCTTGAGCGTCGTAATCCGTGATCTTTTTGCCGAGATTTATGAGCTCGTTAAACTGCTTGGGCCCCATCGAGACCCCAAGAATATCATCAACCTCCTTCTTCTTGTCAAAATCCTTCAGGTCGTCATCCTTGAGATACTCGAGGACCGCGTCAGCAGCACTGCGAACGACCTCATGGGGCACGTCGCCCAAGTGCTCGGCGACAATGGTAAGGATAAGGTTGAAGGCATCGCGCGTCGGCTGCGTTCGAGGGCGGTAGCGGAGACCTTCAATAAGCGCGTCGGCGCCAGTAAGGATACCTCCACCTCTTGTAGCGGACTCGAGTTTGCCCTTCTTCTTTTCTCGTTGCAGGATATCAGCGCCTTCCCTTAGACTGCCCCGCTCGACGTCGGGCATGGCGCCCGCCTTCTTGGGCTTTGGTGCTGAGTCGCGAGCAACTCTGGAGCCCATATCTTTGATGGACAGACGCCCGGCTAGGGACTCGGGGTCTCCCGTGGCCTCATCGGTACGCCTCGTGACGAAACGACGGTCCGCCTGGAGAACCAGGTTGGACATGGCCGAGTATTTGTATTGCGACACATCGCGGTGGTGGTCCGTCATCTTGCCAGCTGGGTGAAAAAAAGAAATCTATGAGATGTTTTGAGGGATTCGTCGAGATCGAAATAGAAGTCGTAGCGGATGAAAAGTCTCGATCTGGTGATATCTTCAACTCCGTCCGTCTTCGGTTGGGGATAAAATGTGCTTGTTCTTGCGTGCACGCGGTGGCGATAAATTAGCCCGAGCCCAGCCCGAACCAAGCGTTGGTTTTGCTGGCTGATAAGTAGTATTTCGCCGGTCGCATCGATGGGTAGATCAAGAATCTGGGGTCGGGCGGAAACAGAGACGATGGGTTTCCGACAGAAGTCTGTCGCGGTTGTCGCGAAAGGAAGGTTGGAGTTTGGCGTTTGGAAAGGTTGAGCCAGAGGCGTGGTTCTTGCCAGCCAGCAGGAACTTGGCTTGCTTGGTAGGGGTGGCAAGCGGTGCAGAGATAGGTGTGGCTCCAGTCATGACGGCTGGAAATTTTTATGCAATGCTGCCGTCGTCGACTCTCATTGGCTGCCTGGACAGCACGTAAACACACTGAACAGCTAGCTGGAGCTTGACCTTGCTGTCAGGGCGGTGTTAGTGCATGGGCGGACACCCCGTGGAGTGTGTAGAGGTCGGTAAAGATGCACTAACAAACATCCTAGAGGTGGTAGGCACAATCATCAACACGATCTCAACCCATCGAGCAACTCGAGATGGCAGAAGTCTGATCCATGGGCTCCGACTTCTACGATACTTCTTTTACATCCCACCAAGAGGGACGAATCGTGTTACTTCACGAGCTATTTGAACATTCACTTCAATGCTGGAAACTGAGATACCTCTGGTTCATACCACGCTCTCTTATGTCCGTCCTGCTCACATCGGGCTGAGCTCGTCGATGATCACAGCCTCAGTCGTTTACAATTTGACCAATGAGCTGTCTTATGCCTTGGTATGAAAAGAAACCAATGCTGACTGAGAGGGCAAGTTGAAATTATCTACACGATGGATTCCTTCCAAGAAACGCTAGAAGCTGTTCAGAAGGTGCTGCAACCATACACCAGGCCTCGCGAGGAAGCCGCCCATATCAGACGGATCTTGACACTTCACCTCAGTTCGGGCTTGAAAGACGGAGCAACGCTAACAGAACCGTTGTCCCTCACCGAGTCAAGTGAAGTACCTCCCTACTCACAAGATACTAGAGGTCTGTATAGAGAATTCCTCGAAGCATTACGCGCGAATATCAAAGCCCGCAAAGAATACCACACACTCTCACAAAAGTGCAGTCATCATGAGGCTTCTATCCCTAAACCAACAGGAATTCAGTCTAACTACCTTCTCAACCATCTTACCAATCTCAAGGTACAAAAGAAGCAAGAAAAACTGTTAGTAGTCAAGAAGAACCTCGACCTCTTGAGACAGAAGCCGGCAGCATCACCGGATTTCCTAGACCACCAGAAACTTTTCAGAGTTTGCAGACCGCTACCTGAGGTTCCAACCGAGATTATCAACTCTCTAGCGCTCGAGGAAACGTCGGAGAACATCACCGCATCTAGCAGTGTTCGGCTCGAGGACCTCGTAGAGACACTCGAGCACCGTACTTTCGAAACGAAACTATCACTTAAACAGGAAGAGACCCTCCTCGAGAACGCAAAATCCCACTCCTTCGCCGTGCAGCCGGAAGAAATCAACCCAAAAGCAAAGCTTCAAGCATTGAATGCCACTCGTACTGAGCTGATCAACTGGGTCGAGACCGAGCTAGGGAAAGCATCCGGAGAGATAAGAGACGGAGGAGGAGAAATGGCCGGACAAGATGACTCCCAAGTCCAACGGGACCAACAGCTCACACACAAAACCCAACTCCTTAACCAACAACTCACCAGCATCAAAGAAAAATATGCCGAGTATCTCTCCAAGCGAAAAGCTCTCCTAGAGCTGGTCACCACCCAACTTCGCTCCCTACCGTCCCTCGATTTCCCCGCCATCACCGCCTTTTCCTCCTCTCCTTCAGCGGCATCTCCTGAGCGATCTTCAACACAAGCAGCAGCAGCGGCAGCCGCAGAGGCGCCTACACCCGCTCCCATAATAGACCACCTCCTCACCCCAACCCTCGCCCGCCTCCTCACCCTCTCTCACGAACATAAAGGCCTCATGGCTCACAAAGCCCACATAACCACCCTCCTCACCAAGCAGCTGAGGGAAAACGCCCAGGTACTGGATCACCTCGTGGAAGAAAGCCAGTTGATACCCGCCCACGCCACGGCAGTAGTAGTGCAGAAGAAGAAACACGACGATGACCCCAACGCCATGATGTCATCGCGTCTAGTCAACCCGTGGGTATCAGCCGCCGACTCAGCCAAGATCGCAACTTTTGAGGTGGTAGTGGAGAAAATTGAGAAAGGGCAGATAGCGCTGGAGGGAGCAATTCGCATGCTAGGCGAGGCCGATCGGTTGTTGGGACGTGGGTTGCAGCAGCAGCAGCAACGACAGCAGTCGGTTAAAGCGGCTTGCGGAGAGGAGGAGGGTAATGATGTTGATGATGATGATGATGATGATGATGAGGTGGGCGAGGAATCTGATATATGGCTTGTCGAGGGGCAGAAATCGCTGAAAATCACAAATTCAACTGGTGGATCGGGACTTGGGACGAGATACGATGAGGGAGGCAGAAAGGGGAAGGAGACAACTGGCCACCGTGAGGGAGGGAGTTTGAGCATGTGGAATATGGTGGATGTGGATGTAGGACTAGGGAAGTCTGGGTAGAGGCAGCCATAACTATCGTGTGTTGCGACGGGAAATACCTCGGAAGACAACTGGTGGGCGAGGTGCCAGGGATAAAAGACCATTGTCAAGCATTTGTCAAGAAAGAAGTCTAGGACTAGAAACGCCAAAATATGACCTTGTAGTACGATGTAAATGACCTGCCATTTTCTGTTGCCCAAACCGAAACTCCTAACCCAGTGATATGTCGCCTATCTTTAAACCATCTGCTTCTGTCGTACCCTTTCAGACTCTTTAAGCTTTGGCCGTTACCTCCCAGCCATGATACCCGATATCCGTAGCGCCAGGTCGAGTACGGACAGATGTTCGTCTGCGCCGTCCACCAGCCTCTTATCCACCTCCGAGAACACCATAACAATCTTATTCTTCTGCACATCCGGGATCATCTCGTCGAAAACCACCGCCTGGTAGAGCTGCGTCATGGTCTGTCCAGCGCTCCAACCATCCGCCACCATCTCCTCGACCACCTTGGCAACCGCAGGGTACGTATCCACCCCAGCGCGGGGCCGCATCGCTTCGAGTAACCTCTGGATGGTATCGTCCGGGATAACACCAGCGATATCCTCCACGACCTTGACCGTGACCAATTTGGCGTCCACTTCCATTTCGTCGTCGCCTTCGGTTTCTTTTTGCTCCCCGTCTTTACCTGTAGCTGCCACGGCACCGACTAGCCTCGCCGCACTCTGCAAATACGTAATCGCCTTTCTCAAATCGCCCTCGCTGCACTTGATCAGCGCATCGACAGCTCCCTCTTCTAGCCCGACACCCTCGAGCTGCGCAATCTCCTCCAGCCTCTTCTTGGCGTTCCCCTGATCGAGGCTCTTGAACCGAAACTTGCTGCAACGACTCGCCAACGGATCGATAATGCGAGTGACGTAGTTGCATATAAGACAGAAGCGGGTGATCTTCGAGTACATCTCCATGGTGCGGCGCAGTGCGCTCTGAGCATCTTGCGTCATGCTGTCGGCCTCGTCGAGGATGATGAGCTTGAAGGGTGGACATGGGTAGCGCGCCTTGTAAGCCGCGGAGGGATTGGTAAGCTGCATGCGAGCAAAGTCTTTGACCTTTTCGCGAACGATGGAGATACCACGCTCGTCGGAGGCGTTGAGCTCTAGGACGCGGGACTTGATGAGTTCGGGGCCGTAGAGCTCCTTGGCGAGGGCAAGGATGGTCGAGGTCTTGCCCGTTCCTGGAGGGCCGTAGAAGAGCATGTGTGGGAGCTGGAGGGTTGACGAAACAGGTCAGTGGCTGCCAAATTTGACTTGAGAGAGACATGGAGGGAAAATAAGCAGGTTTGACAAACGTTGGAAGCCTGTAATGTCCTTTGGAGGACGGTAATGGTGTGATCTTGGGCTGTAACATCGCTGAGGGTCTTTGGACGGCTGTCGAGGAAGTCGTCAGAGGTTAGCTAGCTGAACTGCCGGCATTGAATTTGACCACTCTTGCATGGCATACTATTTCTCTACCCATGGGTGCGCCCTGGGAGTTTCCTTTGTCTGTTTTTCCGGGTTTGGAGTGCCATTTGCAGCGGCCGCCTTCCTGGCCTTAATGTCGAAAAAGCTTGCCATGATAGGAATAGATCTTGGCCAGCAAAGTTGCGAAAGGTACGTTTTACTGAATGTCAAAAAAAAAGAGAGAACGTGGGTACTGGGTGAGCGTCTCGCTGTCGTCAATCAAGGTGTCGCAACAATCTGTTGTTGAGGGGAGCTCGTAATTGAATGGTGATAGTAAAGTAGAACAAGCAGCACTTTACGCGATCACAGGAAGAGAGACCGCGTCTGGCGCGTTTCCTTTCGTGGGGCCGCTTCAATTAAAGTGGATCTTACAAGACCCTAGCTCCTAGCCCCCTCCCACCCGGGGCCGTCCGCTACCTGGGTAGAGCTCCGAATGTTGGGTTTTGTCCCGTCGGTGCCTGGAGCTTCTCCACGTCCAACAACAGGGCGGACTGGACACGGAGACGGGACCGGGGAGCCGGGCAGCCGGGGATCCAGGGCTCTTTCCAGCTTGCTTCTGTATTCTCCCGAAAATCATACATTTCCGTTTTACCACACATGTTGATTTTACAACGTAGTGATAATGGATACGGGGTTCGAATCATGGACCTCCGATGTCGTCAACGCTGGGACATATGAAAGCTCAAAGGTATATCAACCACCCTGCCCGCTTCCGTCTTCCATGTTTATGCCCCGTCGTGTGGTAAGGCATCGCACTGTAAGCTCCAGTCTCGTACGGTATTCCACTTCTGGCATTTCGTTGCTGCAACCCACCTGCATCTTGCACTTGCAAATGCGGGGCGGCTACCCTTGAAAATGGTAGCAGCCCACCACCAGGTGCCCCAAGTTGTCGGGATGTGACTGATTGACACTGCTTCACACTAAAAAGTACCTGAACTGGTACGTGGAATAAAAGAATGAATGGAAACCCTCCATGTTGCTTTCGTTGATATTAATGCTGATTACGCACGCAAGAGGATACCTTCGGCAGCGTATAATATACACGGCACGTACAAGTATTCAGAGACGCTTTCATCCTTCGTTCTTTGGTTGCCACCTCGAAGTAGAGATAGACTGTCATTGATTGCTTTGAGAAGAAAAAAACAAAAAAGCAAATACAAGTTTGACCAACGCTGGAAAGGTTGTAATTACACACTACAGTACCTACCTTGCAAGTTTACATAGTACGTTGTGCATTACTGAGTGCACCAATCGCTTGCTTGCCATGGATTCATTTCACTCAGTTCCTTTCGTTTGAACTCTGCCCTGCCCCGCACTCAACCTTCCACTTCCACTTCTTGCCTGAACTCAGGTTGGTGTTGTCGTCTCGCTCGCTACTTCTCACCTCAACCACCGACTGCTACCTGAATGGGAAACAGAAAATACAACTTAAGCCATCACTCATCATTCCTCCAACAAAACATCCGCATAACAGAGACTTGGCCTTACTACCTTGTCGGCAGCTACCCGGCCATTTAATCTCCAGAGTAATTCCTTCATCGACCACTTCGCACGACTTGTCCGCCGTTGTTTTTCTTCACGTCGCCCAATCACGGTCCCCGTCGAACTGCCTACTGTTTACTACTACTTTGCCCGTGGGGTCGACGTTCGCGATTTCGAGTGGTCCATTCCACCCTCCATCTTTCACCAAGACTTGGTGAGCTCCAAGTCAGAAATCATGGACCAATCTGTATTTCGCATCACCAAGGTTCGTTTGTCAACATATCGCATTATTCCCAGTCCCGGCACCAGGAATCATGTCCACCATGCAGGAGCCGCAATACTGGCATATGCTAAGTTGACTGTTGTCAACGATAGGAGCTGAGCGACCTTCAGAAGGACTCTGATCTGTGTAAGCCTGTGCATCGTGTTTCCTGCCCAGTTCATCAATGACTGACATCACGCTGTGGTAGCTCTTGCTGTCGCCTGCCGCGATGTCGATGTTCGCAATGTCAAGGCAATGATCATCGGACCGCACGAGACACCCTACGAGTTCGGCTTCTTCGAGGTACTGATGATTATGTATGGTCTGGGAGGGATTTGATTCTCGCTGACTGTCCGATAGTTTGTCTTCGTCTTCAATAAGAATTATCCTCGCAGTTCACCTCAGGTTCAAGCCACAACTACGAACGACGGCCGCACCCGGTTCAACCCAAATATCTACGCCAATGGCAAAGTCTGCCTGTAAGTCTAGCGTCACCTGGCTCGACTAAAACTGTTTCGATGCTAACCCGACATCAGATCGATATTGGGGTAAAACCACTGTCCCTCTAACAAAAATCCGCACGATCAGGTTTCGGGGCTAACATGGCACAGAACATGGCGCGGGGAGCGTGGAGAACAGTGGTCTGCTGCCCAAGGCCTCGAGTCCATTCTATTGTCCATCCAAAGCTTAATGTCCATGAACCCCTACGAAAATGAGCCGGGCTTTGAAGATGCAAAGGAGGCTCAAGACCAGAAGAACCAGAAGGATTACATACAAAAGGTGATTAGAGGTTTTGCGCCATGTTGAAGTGTAAGCTAATATCTGCCTAGATTCGCCACGAGACGATCCGCATCTCTGTCGTCCATCGACTGGAGGAGTACCTAGGCATCAACCCCGATGGCACATTTGCGCCAACAAGTGTCAGCGGGGAGATCGCTTCACTGGGCTCAGGAGAGAGCGACATGGATATCCTTGACGAGGAATCTAGCGTCCCATTCGAGCCTTTCAAAGACCTTTGCAAGCGACGATTTCTCTGGTATTACGACTCCTATTTGGCTGCCGTCGAGAAGGGCAAGTCAGAGGTTAAGGACAACCAGTCATTCGCCAGAATGCCCTTTGAAAGCCTTGGCAACGGCATGGAGGGTAAATTCAACTACACGGAGCTGGAGAAGAGACTCAAGGTTATTAAGGCAGCCCTCGACGCCGAGACCGAGGGATGGGCCGCAGAAGGATTGCAAGCTAAGGCCCAGGAAACCACGGTCGCCGTCAACCTGCAGAGGCAGTTTGAGCAGGTTGTGGAGCACTTCAAACGCAGGGATCTGGCGCACAGCATCGAACTCGAAGACGGCAATCCCTTCGTCTGGCTAGTGACATACTTCGGTAAACCCATGACGAACCTGGACGGTGGCCTGTTCAGAATCAGGCTTTGCTTCAGTGCACGATTTCCCGAGGAGCAACCTCGGGCGAGGTTCGAAACCAAGATCTTCCATCATCGTATTGCCGCGGACGGCACACCCTGCTACTTTGCGCCGCAGAACCGCCGTGAGGATGTCAGGACGCACCTCGAAGCCATCATTGATGCTCTTGAAGAGGAGAGTCCCCCTTATGATCCGCGAACTCTAGTCAACCCCGAGGCGTTCAAGTTGTTCTGGGGCTCAGCCGATGACCGAAAGATGTACAATCGGCGTCTTCGCCGGTCTGTTCAACAGTCAATGGAGTAAGATACCATTTTTGGTGACTAAAGTAAACAGTATTTCAAATGCTAACATTGTAATTAGGGAATTCTAACACAACGGTTGACGGCAGCGTTGGAAGAGTCCCAGGGGTGTTTGAAGTTATCTGCGCATCTTTGCATGGCTAGCATGGGTTCTGCTTTCTCTCAAGAACTTTCTGTGGCGTTGGTAAACCAATAAGGGCGTGGAAATATCCAGGGTTCAAAGGACGGGACAAGGTGTCTAACAGACAGGATCGATTTTTACACATGATGATTTCGCATGCAAAAGCGTATTCGGTGTTGCGTCTGGCTGACGGTTAAAGCGCGAAATACAACGAGCCTAGCTGTTACTTTTATTCCAAAATAATAGCGAATTGTAGCATAGCGAACAAGGGCAGGCCGAATGGTATGAAGAGGGTGCGTATGAGTAGCTCCAGATTTGATCTGTTACAGGTAGATAGGTCGTTTAGATATCTTTCATGCTTTGATTGTCCGTTCCCACTTCATATCAAATAAATATTCAACTGAAGGGGGGGAAACCTGCGTGTGTGAGAGAGAGGGGGAGAGAGAGAAAGAGAGAGAGAGAAAAGACGTTGCTTTACACCGGGAAGAATCAGCCGAAGAAAAATCAGGTAGGTAGGGCTCGTACGGGGAGAAGAATGAATAGAAATTTTTAATTGAAAACCGAGAAGCCAAACAGAAAGGTCGCTCTGCCTATAGTTAAGTAGATAAAATAGTAGTAAAAACCTCAACGAAGAAGAAAAGAAGGAGTAGTAAAGCTCCTCCTCCTACCCCTCTGAAAGGAAGCCAAGAGGACCCAATGATATCAAACAACGATGCCCGACAAAAAAAGAGAGAGGAACAATCACCACTTCCCACCGCCAGCCGGCGGGATTTTACTAAAATCCTCTCCTCCTCCTCTTCCTCCTTCCTCTTCCTCCTCCTCCTCCATCATCTCCCGAAAAAACAACCAAAACAATATGGTAGGTGAGGTAGGAGCCCATGCAGTGCTCATGCAGTGCCAGTAGTCACCCCGTTGTTTGGCCTGCCCCAGCCGGAATTCCGCCATTCCTTCCTCGGCCCTCCTCCCTGTTGCTGCTGCCCATTGTGATTATGCAGCCCACCCGTCGTCGATCCCCCATTACGATTATAGTCACCGCCGCCGCCGCCTGGGGCCCCATCCCCTCCTCCAACTCCTACCGCGTTTCCACCCTGTCCTCCTACACCTGGTCCTCCTCCACCGCCGCCGCCGAGAGCAGCAGCGGCTACGTGTTCAGGTGCGGGACCGTACGGAATAGGCTGTTGTTGTGGTCCACCAGGACCACCACCGTCTCCATGTGATTGTGAGAGTGGATGTGGTCCCATTCCTCCACCAGGTCCTCCACGCTTTTGTGGTGACACGGCTCCTCCGGGGCCTCCCGTCCGATCTACCATTCCTCCTCCGTTGTTGCCTCCACTACCACCACCACCACCACCACCACCACTAGTGGGGCCAGGGCCGAGGTACGCCGCGTTCTCGGTTACCGTCCGGACGCTAGTCTCCTGCTGCCATGACGTCGGGTCGGACTCAACCCTTCGCGGCGGTGGCCGGCTGGGGTTCTCGTGCCGGCCGACGATCTCGACAACATCGGCGTACTGTCGCGAGCCGAAACCGCCAGTATTCCGTTCAGAGTACCGTTTGAGGATTTCCTTAGTGGTGAGCTCTCCGTCAAGGAAGGCGGGGTCGCTGATGTATTGTACTAATTCATCGGGAACCTGGAACGTACATGTGTGTTAGTCAAATGTTGCAATAGACTGAACGAAAAGAGTGACAAAACTTACCAAACACATCTCTTCAATATTCGCTATTAGAACCTCGACAGCCTCAATCGCATACATTGGGTCGCTACCCAACGTGGACGTCGCAGTTCTGTCAAACAAGACGTTTGGCGCAATGACGGTTGCCAAATTCTTGATGTCCATCTTGGAGCCTGATTCTTCGTCGACCTGGTGAAACGATCCGGCCCACTTAAGGAAACAGAACAGTATCTCCATCGAATCGCGGTGACACTTGGGCATCAGACAGCATATCAGGTGGAGACACTGCCTCTTCTTGTCCTCGTCCGAGATCTTCGCGGCTGCCAGCCAAAGTCGGTAAAGCTTCTGGGTCATAAGCGGATCGGGCAGCTCTCGGAGGTATCGTTTTAGCAAGGCAGCCACCTGAACGACGTTGTTACCGCTGAGGTCCACGTTCCCTTCTTTGTCGATCTTCTCAACAAGCTCACCCAGCTTCTTGATATTGCCGTTCTTTCTGAAGACACCTTCAACCGAAAGGTCCATTTGCCTCATGAGAGATAGGATATCGTCAATGACTGCCGGGATCCTAAGCGTCCCGGGCCCCACGCCGTCTGTGGACTCAGCTCCATCCCGTTCGATAATAGCTTCCAGGGGTACGCCGAACACACCCTTCTTCTTCCGTCCGTCTTTTTGAAAGGCTTTACCGATATTCTTCCAGAAGTTGGGCGTTTTCCGTGTTTCGATAAGTCCGATCAGTTCTACCAGGGTAAATTCACCTTCCACCATTGGAGCCATGGTGACGACGGCAAGATGTCGAATGATGAAATATTCCAAAGCAGAGAGCTCGGAGAAGTATCTCCTACCAACACGCTGAGGCGATGGTTCGCCAGCAGCACGCGGGTCCCCACCCTTGCTGTCGGAATAGCTTCGCTTGTGTCCACTGCCTGATGACGCACCGCCAAATGAGGGCTCAGTGGCCGGAGAACGCAATAGCTCATGCCTACTAGGCGGGCCTGTTCGTTGTTCTCGTGCCTGCTCAGCAGCAACGATCCGAGGAATGTCCGCGAGGGTGAGGGCATCCTGATTAGGCAGCATCATATCGTGGTCGTCTCCGGGTCCCATATCCTCCTCGATTCGCATTCTCCTGCCATTAGCTGGTCCACCATCGATGCCTGAACCAGGCCCGGACCCGGGCTGCGCACTGCTACTCTCGGGTCCATCCATAATTCGGGACGTCCTGGCTTTCCTAAAGCTTGAGGAGAGGTGCTTATCCAAGCGAGTGCTCTTCAGCCTCTTGACATCATTAAGAGCGCTCTCATAGGACGATTCTCGATGATGTAGTGACTGATCGCCCCCGGGGAAACCTCTCTGTCTACCATCCATTGACGGACGGCCATCGCCTGCATCAATCCCATTGTGACCCCTTGCTTCAGCGGCGGACGGAAGCGCACCGTGCATGCGTAGGATCTCCAATAACCTCGCCAATGCCACCTGGAGCAGGAACATATACTGCTGCAGCTTGGACACGCGTTCAAAGGGCGGCGCCTTATCCGAGCTGTACGTTTCGCAGTTGTTGCAGAAAATCTTGGAATCGTACAGGTTGAGTCGGGCATCTTGTAGACTCCGGCCGAGTTCTTTCTGGCAACGTGAGCAGTTGACACACGTGATATGCCACCTTTTGTCGCCGCTCTTTGCACACTCGTCCTCAATGGGCTTTTTGCAGAGGGTACACGAGTCCGAGTCCGAGGCCGAGAGGCGAGCCATGCCGGACGTTAGCTGCAGCGTCGTCGTCGAGTTATCTTCGGTCTTGAGCGCCTCAAGGTCATTGAGCTCATCCAAAAACCCATCGAGACCATCGGCGGTGTCACGCTCCTTCTCGATCCGCAATGCTCCTTGTAGGCAGATTCGAATAAGGAGCTTCAGGTAATGGGCTAAACCAGTAACGAGTGTTAACAGTTCTTGGGTAACACCGAGCTTACGGGCACCCTTATCCTGTGTTTTAGAAAGTAGCGAGAAGAATGCCACGATCTTCTTGCACAGAAGCTTGGCTTCTCTTCCATACATTAGGCCTATAATTCATTAGCCACCATCATCATTAGCTTTTCGGGGATGCGCTCAAGCATCCTGGGGGATTTTCTCACCTGTCATATCTAGCCGTTCCATGGTAGCGTCAAGCCTATCCGCTGAGTGGAACAGTATATCAACGTGCCATATGAACTTTTTAGCTACCATGACACCGTCGACATATGCTCCGTTGCTTACGTGGAGAAGCATATCCGATATGCAAGCCGCCGACGACTCTTCGAAAGTCGAAAGCACACTCCAAATACGGTAGACCTTCTCCTCCATGCGCTCCTCTTCGTCCCGAACTAGTTCACGGCCAGCAGGGTCATCTGGCACCGGCCCGAGAGCTTTCTGTGGGGGATTTAACCTGACGTTCCAGAACTTGTGAATCATGTAGCATTCCGGATGCCAGTGTTGATTTTGACCGTTTCGGAATATCTCGACAAACTGCTTGAGGATGGCAGTCTGGCAGCCACTGCAACGTTGGGCGTACTGTGTCGAATAGTGGTAATGGCAGTAAACATGTCCATCATGCTCGTAGTAGCTATCCTGAGCGCCAAAGACAGTCGGGCAAAGCGAGCAGGTAAAGTGGTCGACGTGGTATTTGCGATCGAGGGCCGTGATGTAAGAGCCCCGAAGAGCACCGCCACACTGGTAACACAGCAGGCCTAACCTGCGAAAGTAATCCGTCTCGCAGAGCGGATACTGACCCTCGCCGTTGTTGTCGTCGGCTGGGAAGAACTTGGAAGCCACAATTTGACCGCAGTCCTGCACATGAGCTGGTTAGCCACACAAAGTCCACAACGGGCGGCTGAAACAGGGACTCACGCGACACTTGAAGCAATCCAAATGAAAGGTCCCATCGAGTGCGCGAACAAATTGGCCCGTCAAAGGTTCACCACATTTCTTGCACACTCGCACTTGTCCGCTAGCTGTCCTCGACCCCTTTGGCTTCGACCGGTTCTTCTCTCCACTGCGTCTTGATTCGAGATCTGTAGCATCGGCGGCGCTCAGCGCAGGCGATCCTGGAATGCGAGTCAAGTGGGCATTTGTAGGGGCGCCGTTTTGTGATATCGTTGGCGTGATATCAAGATGCTCGTCCTCTCTCCGATGCGCAACTTCACCTTGTGGGTGCCCCTGGGGATGTCCATGGGTGTATTCGCGGTCGCCCACGGGGCCGCCGCCGTAGTCTGAGCTGGCCATCTCGATGTTGGTCTTTGACCCTTGATGTAGTTCGAAATCCCAAGCTCTTAAAATGCTTCAATGTATTTCCAAAGAGGGGCGAGCAGCGATCGCGAACGCAGCGAATTATGGATGTAGGTTGGCGGACAAAGGCGCGTACGTCCACATCAAGCGGGGGCTCAAGCCCAGTTGGTCGAGACGAAAGGGATACGGCAAACTAAATGCCAGATGTCGCAAAACGACACCGCAACAGCCGCAGTCGAGGGTTTGCCAGTCGGTCTATAGTCGTGCGCGTAACTGCCTAGCGCGCTGTTCTGGCGAGCCCGACAGTTAGGGGTTAGTTGCGACTGGGGGGGATGAAGGGCTTTGGTGTTGGCCGCCTCGATGGGGACACGGCGTGGATGGTTGTCGACGTGAACACAATGGTGTCGAGAGGCAGAAGGGGATAGTTTGATGACCCGGGCCGGTGTAGCGGACAGGGGCTTGGAAAGCGTTCGTGGTCGTTGATTATGAACTCGGGCGCCGGCCCAGTGTGTTCAGTCAGGCCAGGGCAAGCAAGGATCGGGCAATCGTCAGTCGGTCGGGAAAAGGGCGTCGACGGCCACGGGGTGAAGATGGATATATGGGGTCGAGCTGGTCGAACTCGAATCACGATCACGGCGCGCTGAGTGCAGTCGGCGCCAATCAGTCGGCGGCGGTGGTATAAGCGGTGGACGGTGACCGTGTCGGTGGACAAGTGGACGTAACGGTGGACGGGGGACGGGATTGCGATGGCTGGCGAGACGGGACGCCCGACTGAGTGCCTCTGCTGCTGCTGCTGCTGCTGCTGCTGCTGCTGCTGCTGCTTGTACACGAGGTGTATCGAGATGTCGGGGCGCTAAGGTCGGGGTTTGGCGAGGCGGCGGCCACAAGGGCGTGGAGGTGGCCGGGGGGAGGACGGTCGATTGGTAGCACTGGAGAAGGGAACCTGGGCTTGCGGTCGGGCGTGGTGTCGCCTGTACTTGGGCGGTCATAGAGGTAGTCCGCGGTGGAAGTGCGGTTGGGCGGGTGTCCAAAGACGGGACCTACTGACCACCTCACGCAGTCAGTGCCAGCGGCCCGGTGCGTCGGGTACCTGGAGAGGTAGGTACAGTACATACACCTCTAAGTACCTAGGCTGCAGGTGCCCTTGGGTGTTTTGCTGCATTGAGGTTGTGGATTTCCTTGTAAGTTTGGGCCACCATCTCAGGGCGAGATTCCAGCGGATCTGTCCCTGCACTTTCTAGTCAGGTACCTCTAGAGGTACTCCCCTTAGGTTGGGTCGGGCAGGACAGAGCGGCGGCAGCAACAACGGCTTGAACCTAACGGACGGGAACAATGACTTTGGAGCAGCAACAACAGCACCTCAGCAGCAACAGCGATCTACGGGCCCCGCCACAACGGCGGAGTGCAATTTCCAGGCCTGCCTCTAAAAACGAGGTGGAATAGGACCAGCCTAGCATTTCCATCCGACTTTCCTACCTACCTACCTACCTACCTACCTACCTAGGTACCTTTAGTCTAACATCAGGCCTGGGCTACCCGGCAACGTGAATCAAAATAATAATAAAATAGAGACAACTACCAGGGCGGGCGCCTGCAGGGAAGAATATAAAAACAATGACACAAGAACAGGCAGCGGAGATCCCTCTTACGGTGCGTCGAGGGCGGGCAGACAGGCATTTAGTGTAGAGACAGGATGTTAATCCTCGATCTGTGCGTGTGGCCCTGTGGACGGAACAGCCCGACACGAGCTACTACTACGACTAGGTACTGCGAACGGAAGGGGGCCGGCCGCGGTTTGCATGCAAATAACACGTGTGCCCTGTCACTTGGATGTTTGGGAAACCTCGTCAGGAACGAGGGGCGGGAAGGGGAAGTCGTATACAACAGCATCCACATGGGATGATGGGAGGTAACACAGCATTACCCAGGCACGGGGGATGACATCCATACATCTAAAGAAAAGCGAGAATGAAAAATAAAACATGACAAAAAGCTCTAAACATGGTCACCCCCCTATCAATACATCGGAGAGGCGCCTACCTCTTCCAAGCAAAGCTCGGCTTATCCAGAGGTCCCTGACTGTTGTACTGCCAGCTTGCCTCGCAGCATCATCTGCATGCTTGATATTTTTGTCATGTTCGAGGTGAGGAAGATCATGGACAGCGCGCGGCTGAGATGACTGGGAAGTGAGGGTCTTGGATGTCAACGACAAGTGGAGACCTTGCTCAGGCATGGGACCCGAGAGTGGAAAAAGAATATTGGGCAATATGAACCCCTTGAGGTTTCTGTTCACCTTCCACATGGAACCCCTCTTCATCAAGGTCTCAGCAATAAACATGGTACATGGCCCCTACGTATATCAACGTCTTCACAAAGCTTCTGGCTCGCCAGTAATCACATCATTCATTGCTCCGTTTTCCTAAATCCAAAGTGAAAACCAAGAGTAGCCCGAGAGGTAGTTGATGGAAACAAAGAAACTGAAGTGTCCAACATCTTGTCCAGACCCACCAAGTACACATACAATCTCCACTGAATAGGCTCAACGATGGTGCCAAGAGTTCGGCCAAGACTTTGGGAACGACCCTGAAATCAAACAGCCTAAAAAGATCCCCCCTATCGCCAACCAAGCTGTCGAGCCTAGCCAACTTCAACCGAAAATGAGACAATGCGGTGCTATACCGACAACAAAATTCCATAAAAAAAACATGAGTGAGTGGTGTCCGGTATCGTGTTACAAGCTAACCAACCTCCTCAGTCTCTTCTCAATCATCTCGCGTCCCTCCAAAGTCCGCCAGACTTGATGAGGCGCCTGGTCTACAATGTCCCAATTTTCCAGATTCGATGTAAGGTGGGTTAGATCTCGTTGCTGTGTATGGTAAATATTGACATCAGCAAACGCTTCCTTCTGATAGGATAGCAGAAAAAGAACACGTTGGGCAATAGGGCTTCATGACATACCTTGCTCTCCCACTCGCTGTCCTTCCGCATCTGCACCCCAGACGTCACCACCACCACGGGTGTGGTCCTATACTGGATGGTTCTGCTGGACACCACATCTCGTCGGGTGAGCGAGTTGGCCACCAGACTCTCCTGCAGCTTCGCAAAGATCACTCCTCCGGACTGGTAAGCAGACCCGCCGTAGATGCGGTCCCTGGCGCTTCGGTGTCGGAGGATGGCGGCGGGGATGCGATCAAGACCGCACGGGGAGAGGACGCCTTGCAACCAGAGGCGGAAGCCACGGCCGGGAGCCCCGACTCGTCCGAGAAGGTCTTCGTGCAATGGATCGATCATGAGAAGCCCGCGCACCTCTTGGCCATGTCGCGAGCTGAAGACCCGTGAGTACAGGGAACCGATGCCAGCGCTGGCAAGCACCCAACTGCGAGGAACATGGTTAATGCTGCTGTGAAGGGGGAAAAAAAAGAAGGGGCTTATGGGGTACCACATACGGTCCGTCCTCTCCTGCGCGCGATAACGCTTGACTCAAAACATCAGATGCCATGCTTGCCGAGAGTGGTGAAGGGGCTGCGTCACTCTATCAAGTCCCGATTTGTTAGTCCATGAACGGAAGAAAAGAGGAGACGTTCAGCTTCACATACCCAGGCGATTCCCGGCCGATCAGCGAAGCAATATCTGGCGATGGAACCGTTTTTGACCGCGTTATCAGCAAACTGCCAGAGCTCACGCTCAACCGCATCCTCGCCACCCTCAAAGAGCACAGTAGTCGTCCTGTTTCCATGAGCATCCACCTTGGGACCAGAACAGAACAGATGGATCTGATACTTGTCCTCATCGACCCAGTACCGCTCTCCTGGCGGCGCTACTCTCGCGTCTAGAGCGCGGAGTGTGAGCGTGCAAGTCGTAAGTAGCACAACGATCGACACGAGCGTCAACATGATGCTAGACAAAAGCACCTGTACCCATTCGAGCAGTGTACGCCTCGTCTCCGGGCGGCCCGTGAGCCGTTCTTCTTCCTCAGTTTTGCCCCACTGGCAATCAATTCCAGCCGAGTGTCAGTACGTTCTGTCAACCAAAGGTTTTCTCTCCATGATGTCTTCAAGAGAGAAAGAGAGCCAAAGAAGAAGAAAAGAAAAATCTCACCTGCACAGTCCGATCAGCCGCCACCGCCCAAACAGCCATCAAGGTCGCCCATATCACGCTAGCCACGCCTACCCACAACTCCTCATGCCTCGTCTTCTCCACCGCCAGCATCATGACCACATCCACAAGCAACAACGCCGCCGTAACAATGCTTACCACTCTCGCGGGTTGACTCGGCACCGCAAAGAACAGCAAGCTGGTGATCAGCGTGATCAGGGCAATTGTAGTATAACTAAACGCAAAAAAGGGCGATCCGCGCGCGTGCAAACCGGGCGGAGTCACGAAGACCGAAACCAGCATCAGCACCCACCAGATGAAGGTGAGGCAGGTGAAGATGACGGTGATGGCGCGCACGAGCCGAACCGTCCAGAGGTTGTAGGGGGAAACAGCTGGGTCGTCGGGTGAGAGGTAGGAGATGCTGGTGCTGTCTACCCGGTTGGGGAGGAGGCGGGTGTGCTCGTCGGGTTCGTGGTGGTGAGTGTCGACGGAGGACCGGCCAACGGCGAGGTCATCCCGGTCCCGGTCGGGGTCGGAGGCTCCGTGGCCGTTGTGGGGCCAATTCTTGGTGCTCATCGTGTTGGTTGGTATCAACCCAAGATTGCGTTGCTCTAGGACGGCGAGGAAAGTGTGTTGAGAGGGAGGCTTGTAGACAGGTTTGGACCCGCCAGGTATAGTATCGATGATCGAGCTAAAAGTTGCTGGTGTTTCGATGTGTCTCGTCTCAGGAAATACTACCTACACAAGACATCGGTAAAAATGAGTGTGCAAACGGATGAGCAACCAAGCACTTGCATGAGGTTGAGCGGGTTATGGCTCAACTGTCTTATGCAATGAATGGGTCAGTCTAACGTCGTCCGCGTGACATGTAATCCGCTCTTATCTCTGGAAATTATTGCAGGGTTCGAGAGCCGGAGAGGGAGATATCAACGAAACCTGGGACAACTCCTGATTCCATCAAATCTTTTTCTCCAAAGTGGACGGACGACAAGGAATAAAAGCTGGGTGTGAACAAAACCACCTACGTCATGAACCAACCCCACACTCATACCCGATTGGTCAATCTCGGTTGGTGGTGTTAATGGTGCTTGTGTGTCCCCCTAGACCAACTTTCACAAAACAACAGAGTGTGCCTACTCATCTTGCGCATTGTTAGAAATCCTCTGAGGGCACCTGATTGTTCAGATCGGATCATGGGTTTATCATGTCGCGTGGTGTAAAAACGCGGGGCAGAGCCCCGCTGTGTTGCTAGGATGGATCGGCGTATTTTCAGGAAAGGTAGGTACGTATGGTAAGTAGGACCGTGTTCCTGGTGCGTACGTTGTGGCGGTTCATCAAAGGTTTTGATGTCTACATAGTAGGTACTGGGTATAAACCGGAATATGGGATGTACCCGCTTACGAAAGGATACCTATTTAAGGTTCATCGCTCAGGATTTTGATAAGTGTGACGACGCAGTGGTCGCACAGCGGCGATGGAGGCTCGGGGGGCACGGGAGGAAACCACCAACTTGCGTGTCCGGTCGAGATCACTGGACTGCATGGAATTCAGTTTCCAGGGATGTCCAAACCATCTGAACGACCCCGACATGTTGATGATCGAAGTGAGCTAATATATTAGGTAGTGAAACCAAAGCCATACCTTCACCATATCCCGCTTATATGCATCTTCAAAACCCGTCTTCCCGAATATGGCCGAGTCAAAGCATCCTTTCACCATCCGCTCGCGTCCCACGGAACAGCACTACTCCCTCCCAAAACCGATCCCTTCCTACTCGACCCCGACCCCACCGTCGACGAAGCAGTTCCGGTCCCGGTTCCAAATCCCCGACCCCCCGACATAGTAGACGACGACACTGAGCCCAACCTGACAGGTGATGACCCTCCTCTTCCGCTACTACCTATACTCCCCCTCCGTAGTTCCTCCTCTATTTGCCTCTTCTTCCTTTCCGTCTTCTTCCGCATCAACACCTCCTCCGGCGTCGGCCCCGTGGTCGGCCTTATCGCGTCCTCGGGGATCTTGCCCATGGGCGCATGCAGTTTCGTGTGAGCCTCGGAGTCGTTGGGTGATACACCTGCCCGCTGGAAGGCTTCCTGCTTGTATTGGCTGAGCGCTTGCATGGAGGGCTCGCTGGTCGAGGCCCAGTCGGCTACTTTGCGAAAAATTCCGCCCAAGAACTTGCCGCTGGGTTTCCCGCCTCCTCCTCTAGCCTTGGAGGGTTTGGCGGTGGTTGTTGTTTTTGATTTGGAGGAGACAGAGCTACTACCGCTGCGGCTTGTTGATGTTCTTTGGATGGCCATGATGCTGTCGTCGTCTCGTGTTGGAAAGCTGCTGCTGCTGCCGGTCTTGGACATCTTTTTGAAAGTTTTCGTGGAGTACCCGTGGGCGTGTGTCCCAGCTGCCAACACTTTAATTGTCAAGATGCTTCAAGATAGTGGCAGTGTATATATCCGGTCCTTGGTACATTGACAAACGTCCTGTGTAGATGCCTTTCGACTTCGGAAGCTTTTCTCAAGCGGTGTGAAAATAGGTATGTCCAATAAACCGGCCGTTCAGCCCAGGGAAAGATTAGGCCACGCTCGGACACCCACTGGCAAGGACAATCTGGCAAGCCCCAGCTTAGAACCGAGACCGCAACAACTACACAGCAGGTTCGGTTCCACAAGACGGGATATCGGAGCAGCCTATATCAGAAATCTTGGCTTCTGTATTTGGAAAGTCTGACCCGACAGGGAAAAGCGTGAAGAAATCGGCCTGTATCCGAGACTGAGAAGGATAATGAGGTCCATCATTGGCATGAAAACATCGTACTATCTTGTCGCTGTTGCCTTTTCCGGTTATTGAGTTCGTTGTCTGAAAGTCGAATGGCCAACCTGCGAAAGAAATCTCTGTGAAAGTCTGAACGTCCTTTTACGTGGGTCAGTAAGGAACGCCAAATCATGTATAATCTCATGCGGTATCAACTGACCTATGGTGAGATATTCAAGTCCCTCTTACAAAACAGTGGTCTCTGGGCTTGGCGAGCTTGAACGCTTATCTCTGGTCTCGATCTGATGATATGTCGTCGAGAATGTTGGGGTCGGAAGACAAATGCGGCCGCCCAGCGAGGGGAAGCAAAAATATAAAAAATAAAGATAAGAGAAAGAAAAAGGAGAAAAAGGAAAAGAAAAAAAGACACGATATCTGCAAATAAATTATTGGAAATTATCACCCAACTGAATCACGACAAGAGCTGGACGGGAAACACGAATAGAAGCAGAAATGGACGTGCTGGAAGCACAATATTAAGCTTGATCAGATTCTGTCCGCAGAAGACAGCCGATGGTCTAGAAGAAATTCCGATGGCTAGAAGACCGAAGCGGGTCTGGCCAAGTACCCTGCTACCGAGTATGTAGACTAGAGAAGATAGGTACATTAACGTAGTGCTACGCAGTGTGTAGACTTCAGCTGCATATTTGAATGTCGCAAGACAGCATGCGCGTTAGCGAGTCAAAAGCAAGCCGTTGCTGCATGGTCGTGACGGCATTTACAACATGTGCGAATTAAGATGACTATCTCGACGATTCCTGAGAGCCAATAACCACAACCGGCGTAAGGACCGCGGGGCCGGGAGCTGAAGGGTCGTGTTCCATTGATAACGTGGAAGCCATGTGCGCGTATCAGTGATCAACAGGGCGTTCAGTTTCCCAGTTAGTGTACTTGTGGAGCAGCGCCTTCGCCGATTCTCCAAATGCTGCGTGCACCACAGTATCGTGAAAAGCAACCAGTAGGGTACATGATCGAATTACAGCGTTGAAATTTGGGAGAAATCCCAGAGTTACCATCCCGCTTGGCAGTGATAACATGAATGCAAGCCCACCTGGATGCAGCCGAGGTGCCTTGTTACTGGCATTCCCCCAAGCCAAACAAAAGCCACCGATTCGCAACGCATTCCAGGTCGGCGTTGTTGGTGCAGCACTGGACGGGAAGTCTGGCCACTCCACCGGGAACAGCATCACACAAGGCTCTGGAATATTGGATTTGAACATCAGTAACTGGCCCAACATCTATACCGTTTGTGGCGTCCGTCCAAGTTGTTGTTGATGTTGGATAGAGCACCAAATATGACCCTTACCTACAGTTGTATGGATGGTCGGTCGTTGGCCTTTCGAGTTAAGAGAGGGAGAGAGAGACATACCCCTACTCACAGGCAAGTGCGCGTGCTAAGGGATGAAGGCTCGGCTGTCAGATTACGCGCTCAGATATTCCATGCATGACAGACCTGGACTGTTCGTAGTTCGTATGCAGTGGAAGACCGGACTTGAGTTTAACAGAAAGAGGCCTAGCGGCTGGGTAAACGAGAACGCAAAAGGCGCCCCCCTCCCAAGGCGGCACCCCTACAAAAAGAAAAAAGAAACGAAAAGAAAAAGGCGAAAGGAAGAAAAAGTGGGAAAAAGAAGAGACACAGGACGGAAATCGTGAACTGCGTACAATCGAACTCTCGGCTGCAGTCTGCGAGGCTTCCATTGCATGTAGTGTAGGTATTGTAGATGGAGGCCAACGGTCAGCATGTCTCGTGCGGTTCACCCGTTGCATGCGGTGGTACTGTCCGTCGAGTGCCGACTGGACCAGATAGTATAGGCAGACCCGTACATAGTAGTTACCTAGGTAGACAGAAGTCGTCGGACTCATCATGAGGTAAGTAACTGGAGATTGTTCCCCGAGGAAACAAACCCATCCCGCCAAGTGGACGGGGTCATGTAGTATAGAGGTAGCAGGGACTACCACTTTAGGGGGTGCGAGTCTGGCGAGATCCTATAAAGTGGGGGCGGAGTACGGGTACGGGGCAAAAGCGAAGCCTTCCCGAAATGGAAGATTACATAATCAGATAGATCTATAGCATCTTCTCCAACAATGAAACCTCCCGTCCCGACTTCACTGCTCCGTGCGCAGGGATTGGCCACTGTCGCCTATAAACATCACAACGCCCGTCGACAAGGGTGCAGCTGCCTGTTTTGCTGCAATGATGAACGGATGATCCAACTTGAACCAAACGCTTCATAATACTACCTAGTTATTACAACAAGGGAGCTGAACAGAACTTGCACAACACCCAGCGACTTCCATTCCGGTGATTTAGCAAGGACTGAATCTCCCGGCAGCCGGCAAGGCTACCCATTTACACTAGTCGCACCAGACTGATTGACTGTTGCGGTTGAGCCCCTTCCCGGCCCCTCTTCCTCCCTCCTTTTTTTTCCGATCTTCTAGCATAAGAAAAGGGGCGGATTCACACACGGACATATCTTTCTGGGCGCAATCGTGCACTCGTCCAATGGGTTTCATGCCGGGCCTTACAATAACCACCCGCGTCCCCCCGGACGCCGGGACCACCAGCCCGATCGGCTCGAGCGGCACTGCCGGGGATGTCGGAGCCCCTGATGCGGAGACCCCACAAAATGCGCCCTCACCGACCCGCCCGCCCGTTAGCCCCATCACCCCGACTCAGGAATCGGCACGGTTGTCCGGTCCCGATGGCCATGGAGATGGTCCGATTTATGATGAGCAAGCACATCGCCATCGTCACCGTCAACAACATACAACCTTTTCATCATCAGCATCAACATCATCACATTCACTGACGCCACCCTTCACAAGCGCTAACAATAATGGTAATAACAACAACAACAACATCCCCAGCTTCGCCCGAGGGCGACCCACATTCACGCACTCACAAGTAGACCAAGTCGGCATTCCTCCGCCGCCACCGCAACCCATAGCCTTCGACGACAACCCGGACGTACTAGCGCTCAAGAGCGCCATCACCATCTTGCAGCTGCAGCGCCAGCGAGCCACGGCAGACATACAGGCGCTGAACCGAGCCAAAGCTGCTGCACTTTCGGACCCAGGGGCGTTCGTTGCCGACTTGGCGGCGGGGAGGATTGGGATGGATGGTGATCCGTTGCTTAATGGGCCTGAACCTACTGGTGATGGTAGTAGTGACGATGATGACGATGATGATGATGGAGATGAGGATGGGGATGAGGATATGAACTCGGAAGGAGATAGTGTTGATGGCGAAGATGATGGCGAAGATGATGGCGAAGATGATGGCGAAGATGATGGCGAAGATGATGGCGAAGATGATGGAGCAGAGGTCCCATCGAGTTCGGAATCACCGCACGACCCAGACGGCGATATATCCATGTCCGGCGCCGGCGCTGGGAATACCTTATCTACATCTACCCCTAATTGTAACAGCAACAACACCAGACGCAAAATACCAAGCAGGAAAGACCGCGTCAGCAGGACAACAACAACAACAACAACAAAACAGCCACAAGGCCCCTCCAAAACCTGGCGCTCCCTTCCCAAGCCGCAAACGGTCGTCCGCTGTCCGCCCATCAACTGGGCCCAGTACGCCATCGTAGGCGAGTCGCTTGATAAGCTGCACCGCGAGCAATTGACGGCGCCTACGCTGGGGGTACCTGCGGTTCTTAGTGTCGGAGGGGTGTATGAATTCAGAGGGACAGCGGCGGCAGCAGGAGCAGCACCAGGAGGGGGCGTTGTTAGCGTTGGTAATGGGGGTGGTTATGCCATGGGAGATACCACGGCAACAACAGACCGGACCTCCACGCCACCAACGACAACGATGGCAACCACGGCTGGAACAGAAGCGCAGCAGTCACCAGGGGAGACATTGGGACAGGGACAAGGGCAAGGGCAAGGACAAGGTCAATTTCCAACACTAGGACGAAATGAGCAACCGCAGAGATTGGTTGGTATTGCAGCGCCGTACACGCCAGGCAGAGATAAGATCGAGAGGACGACAGGCAGGAAAGGAGCCAAGCGCTGAACTTGACATTTCCCAAGACACATGAAGGAATTGGAAGTGGCCTACGAATGGGATAGCATGGCGTTAGGGTATTATGGGGTATGGGATCAGCAAGAGAATTAAGTTTAGCGAGCGATCAGGATCGGAATGCTTCTGTTAGTCACTTATGGACCGGTAACAGACCCAATCTGGAAACTACGTACACGCACCGGCATCATACTGTTCAGTGTGGGCTTTGTTGAAGGAATTCGTAGCTTCGTATGACATGTTTAGCATCTGTCCGTGGATCAATGTCCAGCTCACCCCTTCATCCACCCAGCCAACATGTCTTGAAAGAGGCATGCCTAGTCGTCCATCATTCAAATGTCGTCATTAGATATTATTATACGGCGGGACAGATAGTACGGCGCGTTCCAGCACGCAAGGCCCGACTTATTTCGCCCCATCAGCGCTTGTCCAATGTTTCATATACAGTTATCATGCCTTCCGTCGATATTTGCTTCTTTCACCACCACCACCACACCCTTTATCCCTTCCACATCCAAGGCCTGCTACACCTATTGCAACTTCTCCCCCTTCTGCTGCTCCAGCGTCCACTTGACCGACCTCTTCACCGCCTCATCCAACGGCACCAGCGGCTTATATCCCAACCGCTTCTTAGCCTTAGAAATGTCGTAGTACCTCGTCATGCAGCTATAAATGATGCGCTGCCTATTAAATGTCGGCGGCTTGCGAATGATCCCAAAGAAGACTTCCGACAAAAAGCCCAGCACAATACCAACATCGCGCGGCAAAACCCACACGTGCTCAGTCCCATGGGGAGATCCCGCAGCGTTCCACACAGCCCGGCAGAAATCCCAAAAGTACACGGGCGAGTCATTGGTGATGATGAAGGCCTCGCCGTCGACGCGCTCATGGTCTAGTGGGGCGATCTTGAGCTTGGACGTTTGGAGGAGGGCGACGGCGGCTAACAAGTGACCGTGCGCTACGTTCTCGACGTAGGTGAAGTCGAAGAGGTTGTCATTGTCGCCGACTTGAACGGAGGTCTTGCCGTTCTGGTACAGCTTGATTAGGTGGTACAGCGTCATGGTGTCGCCTTCGCCCATGATGCCTGAGGGACGGATGGAGCAGGTGAGCAGGGAAGGGGCGGCGGCGGAACGGTTGGCCTGGAGGACCAGTTCTTCGGCGGCGGCCTGGAGGGAGGGGGGAGGTTAGTCTTGGGATGCATTACACTTTGGGGATATATGGGAGAGGGGAAGTACGAGGGTACCTTTGTCTCCGAATAGTACTCGCTCTGCTGGGCTCCGCGGATGACGGGCCAGCGTTCGTCCGCATTGATGAGGTCGGACTTGTTATCACTCATCACACTGGCGGAACTGGTGTAAACGAGGGCGGTAACGCCCGTCTGCTGACACGCCTTGATGATGGCGGCGGTGCCGTCGACGTTGACCTTCTTGAACAGCGCATGGGAGACGCTATCGTTGGACTGGGCGGCAGGCGACGCGGTGTGGATGACGACCTGGGGCTTGACCTGGTTGAAGATGGTTTCGAGCTTGGCGGCGTCGGTGATGTCGGCCTCGAAGTATTGGACGCCATCCGACTCGGGTCGCCGGTTCCGCGTGCAGCGTAGGTCGATAACGGAAACGGAGCAGATGTAGTCGCGGAGGAGCACGCGGACAACGTGGTGACCGAGGAAGCCACAGCCGCCAATCACCATGACGGAGCCAAGCTCCGGCTTCTTTTCTGAGGCCATCGTGGGATGTATGCGGGGTATCGACAAGGGAAGAGCAATGGATTGGAGCGTTGGGAGAAAGGCAGGAAAGATGGACTGAAGGAGGGTCAATTGGAAAACTGTCTAGTCCTAGAGCAAGGGACGTGGGATGGGTAGGATTATCTTCGAAGCTGGGGGACAAGGATGCCATTTTGAGCTATAGATTGCAACCTATCAGGGACATGCCACTGTGTCTCTGGCTCCGCGTCTCGGCTCCAAGCACGCCACTTGCCTAGCTCTTGGCAGCCAGCGAGGTACCGACACGGCGACACGCCTGTTGAAAACATCGTGACCCCCTTTTTAAGAGGCTGGGTTTTGGGCGGACCAGAAGGGCAAAATGAAGGACCCCTGTTGTCCATCAAGGTCGACGGGGTGCGGCTCGCAGTGGGTGGACCTGAGTGGATGAAGGCGCACAGGGACCCGTGCTCTCCCATCTTCCAAGTTCCAACATCGTGAGACCTTGCCAAAAAGGTGGAACCTACGTATCGATCCCGCCTGCACATAGAGGTACCCGCCCAATGCGACGGGCACGCGGTTTTCCATTTCTGTTGCCGGATCCCGTCGTGCAGCCAGTCAACAACAATGCGCATTTGCTCCCTTTGTCCTCCCACAACGGCGTTTCTCTTCACTTCCACCTCGTAAGAATCTGGAACACTTCATTGCCTGTCAGGCAGCAGCCCTCCATTCAGCGTCTCACCAACTACCCATAAACTCATGATCCAGCGCACTTCCAACTTCTACATCTCGATTGCAACGCAGCCCAGCCCATTCCATGGCACTCGACAACCACAGCCTAAACTGGTGCCCTGATGCAGTGTGATGAACAAAAAATCCGCGACCGAAATCCTCGTCCATATCACAGCTCCTAGCAGATCGAAAGACGATGCCAACTATAGAGCACTCGCCAATGCATATCACGACTTTGAGCCCACCACGCGCACATCCGTGTTCAGCAAGACAATATCACCAAATGTCGTAGTTCATCAGGCCGCCGTGCGGCCTCAACCCGTTGGAAATGGCTCCCTAGGACCCTCCACGCAACCGAATCAGATCCTTCGGTCGTCTGAAGTAGCAGGATTTGTCGAAACCCCGGTATCATCGTGGCGCGATGCCGCGAATAATTTAGCATCGCCTAGCTTGCGGATGAGGCACGATGAGCCTAGCCAATACTCACAGCTTTCATGGCAACCTCCTGCAAGCGTTGTTCAAGATTCACTACCAGACAATAATGTGACTTTATCTCAGTTTTGCACGCCGACAAGGCTGTTAGAGGACTATCTACATCCTGGCGATTCCAGTCAGTTTCTGTCGCCAGTCATAGAGAGGGCGCCGAGAGGACAGCAACCAACAGCCGCCCGGATCCAGAGTCAGCATGAGGGATACTCAACATTCCCCAACATCAGCCACATCTCGCAGCGGCGACAGGTGGTTGCCGGTGACCCTCACATAGCGCTCTTGCCACCGGATTCTTCCTTACAAGGGAATAACCAGGAACATGCGGCGGAAGGCGATACTCAAAGGACCCTCAGTTCACCGATCAAGACGGCCAAGAAACCTCATGTTTCTGCGCCATCAGAAAGAGATTTATTATGTCGTCAAGGCGCTAGGCGCATGTCAATCACAGAATATTCTCCCAGCCGCCAAACACCAGCAGATCCCCGAGGAAAGGTTATACCTCTCTCGCCAGTGATAAACGCCAACAACAAGCGCCGCCGACCCGTTCAGCATGGGCCGTCTCCCTCCTCCCGAGACAGCGACTTCACGATAGCATCATCACAACCTGCTGCCCAAGAGCAAGTTCCACCCACCGACACCATCCTTTGCAAACAAGTCTTATCCAAACCATGTTTATCGTCATCCCGTACCGAATCCGAACCACCACCAATCAAGTGTCGTCGCACATCTCCCGAGCCAGCGCCAGCACCGGCACCATCATCACGAGCAGCCGCGCCCGCTTCATTGACGTTTTTGTCCGTTCCCTCATCCTCCGCAAACCCAGCATCAAGCTCCGGAAAGCCCCTCGTCCGCTCTTCCAGTGATATCGGTCCCCGACAAGACGCTATCAAATCCAACCAGATCGCCTCACGAAGCGCCCGCCTCTCGTCCGTTCTCGAGCTCTATTCGCCCTGCCCTCCAACGTCCGATTACGTATTCGATCTCTCATCTTCTTCTTCAAAGGAGAAAGGAGAAGGAGAAGCAGAAAACGACCTCTCATTGATGACCCCCGTCCTCGCCAAGCTCGCCATCGACCTGAAACTCCCCAAACGATTCCAGCCCTCACTCCGGACGCGCGCCCTGCGCCCTTACGAGCGGGGCTACTGGCTGGTGGATTGCACGTCGTGGGGCCGCGAGCTCAAGGAGTCGTGCTGGATTTTTCTAGCGGACTACCTGGGCAGCGGGGCGGCGGGCTGGGGGGTCTGGTGCACGCAGGACGAAGCGTTCACTCGTTTGAGATTGTATTGCTGGGGCGCGGTGGTTGGTCACCTATACCTTGTCTTGTACATAATTAGCAAGCGGGAGGTGCTGTATACAGGGACGGAATGGGTGGATGGGGACGGGGAGGTGGTAATTAGGATGGAAGCTAGGTCGCGGTCTGTAATGGCCACGGGGGTGGGCACGTTGAGTGCGAGGTAGGGCTCTAGGTTGTTGTGGCAGATTTGAATGGGCGAGGGAAACTGGCCCTGGTCTTAAGTGGACCGAGGCTGGGAGTTGCGGGTTCAGCTGATGAGTTGCGGGCGTTTCACAACCTACAGCCCTCTGTATCAGTAATATTGGGAAGCAACCAAACTTGAATTTGGCCCATGACTACTCTTCGTGTACATGAACTTGAGGTTTTGCGATGCAGTGTACTTCTGGTCCCGTCCTTATTCGGGTTCCTAGTTGAACACCCACATTCGTTCCTTTATTGATCCATAAAGATTATCCGATAATTCGCCTCGCTTCCCCAACAACCTTACAAATACATTTCGGTGCCACTCGAGCAACAGAGTGCGACGGACCATCGGCAACGAACCCGGCTAATTGTGTGACGAATGAAGCTCATGGAGGTCACTCGGAGCCCATATAAATTCACATGAACCGAATCGGAAAAGAGGCGTCGAGGGGCGTGATAACCACGCTCAAGCGGTAGCATGAGCGGCGGCGGCAGCAGCCCTCTCACTGAGGTATCTCTCCTTATCGACTGCAGCGTTGTCGACGTAAGGCTGGGTGAAGCATACAGTTGTTAACACGGTGATCAAGTCAGGCAAGAACGTCGTTGCGAAGGGGGTAAGAACCTGTCGCACTGCGATGGACAAGAGGGAAATGGATAATGAGGAAGGATTGAAAAGACCTACCTGTTTTGCCGCATCGTCCATGGACTTCCACTCCTCGGCCAAAGCCTTCGCTATTTCCGGTAGGGGCTTACCAGCATACATGTCGTCCTTTTGGCGTGACATGCAAAAGAACAAAAAGGCACTCCTTAGGCGCTTTGGGCGCCGGTCATCGGGGATAGGATGGACGACCGAAGTGACACCGAGGCGCTTCAGCGCATGACGGGCATAATTGGCGTCCTCGATCTCCATGGGTGTCTTGGTGAGCACCCACGCTGCCCGCGTAGCCACGCCATCCTGGTGAGCCTTGTCGGCCTTAGCTTGGTAGCGCTGTGTATAGAAAGACCGCAGTCAGCAAAGGAACAGGACAGAGTATGGTACAAATTTGAGAAGTAGCTGAAGGGTGGCAGAGGGAACATCACGGCATGGAGCTCCATAGGGCAAACTTACGGCTTTCTCAGCGTCCGACAGCTCCTTCCACTGTGCAGCCAACGTTTTAAAGTACCCTCTCCGCGTCGCGATATCATCGCCTTCTTTCAAGACGTCCTTCATGTGCTCACTTATGTACGCGGACCAAGCAGGAACTCGGTGGGTTTTGGGATCTTCTTTGAACAGCGCCCGCTGCTTCAACAGTCTGATCCTGAGCTTCTTCTTCTGCTCGTCCGTCAGCGGTGCCTTCTTCTTGGGCGCCTTGGGCTTCTTGGGCTTCTTGGGCGCAGCCTCCTTCTTGGCTCTGGGCGTCTTTGCCCTTGCGCCGGCTCCTGTAGCGCCCTCAGCGGCCGACTTCTTGGACTTTGCGGCGGCGGGACGAGTCTTGTTGGTCTTGGTGACCGTAGCAGCAGTATCGTCCGATTCGGCGGCGGTTTTCTTGGAGCGAGTTAGGGCGTAACCGCGCTGCTGAAAGACAACGCTGCTGCGGCGAAGGAAGCTGGGAGCAGCGGAGCGGGTGGTCGAGCTGGTAGACGCAGCCACGGCAGTACGAACGACCAGCGTGGTGCCAGCGCGCAGCTGACGCGCCGTCGTGAGCGCAATCTGCGAGAACATCTTGGGCTGTGGCGGCGATAGTGAGGTCGGAGTGGGAAATGGTGGGAGGGAAGAGGGGAGAAGCTGTCGCGGCGCAGGTCAAGCAGTGAGGAATGTGTCTTGTTGCGGGGCCAATTGCACAAGTTGGAAGGGAAGAGTGAAGCAATAGTGACAGCCGAGAGCCCTGTCCAAGCGGGAAGCTGGAGTGGGTCGGGGAAGATCAGTTTTACGCAGGATGGAGCCCGCACGGCAGACCTAGAGGTACGGAGGGGGAGGGCTCGTGCCCAGGCACTTGTGGATGTCGAGACTTGCAGGCGTAGTGTTTCTAGTGTACACTACACCTACCTAAGTACCGTAGCGGTACGCAAGGGGACTGGTACCGGATGCTGCTTCAGTTCCTTACTCTAAGCGTGGTCCGATCTCGTGGGATTCCTCAAATGAAAAACCCCGTCTTAAGAGGTATGGTAGATGAAAAGGTGCGGACTGTTTTTGGTCGATGAGAGCTGTATTTTGACCGTCATTCACGCAAAATATGTACTTTCTCTCTGTCTTGGGGTACTACTTGAAGGTCGTGCCCTCGTCAACGGAAACATTCGACAAGACAGCAAAATTACAGGTAATATACGTCACATACCCAGATCAAGCTCCACAGGTTTGACCTCCATGGCACCAGTGGAGGCCCCTACCTCAGCGCGAGCTTCATCCTTAAGAAGAGACGCCTCCGCTTAAGCTCAGTCTACTAATAGGTTATACGATACACACAGACGGAGGTCGAAGAGTAAACGGGATGTACTCGGCAGCAAGTAGGCTTCGTATCTGCGCGAAACTCTACATGTTGACAAGGTACCTTTACTTGGTACCCGGGTGATTTGCAGTTGCGCACGGCATGTGGCTCTTACTGTGTATTTCCAATACACGGGCGGGCATTTGCAATTGAAAACCATATTGGAGCAAGTGCACGGTCCCTTTGGAGTCTGGGTACAATCCAGCCCTGGTAAGTTTGTTGGCGCGTTACTTAACAGGGAATTTGTACCTCTTTTTGACATGGGCCTCCAACCAGTCAACTCACATCAACCAGATCATAGATCTTGAGGGTTGCACTCAAAAATGGACGGTTTTCAAAGACGTTGTTAGAAAAGGGAAAGTGAGAAGCCTTTGCATATCCTAAGTCAAGGGTAGAAGCGGGCAAAACTAGGTAGAATCTACTAAATCTAACCTTTTTAGTAATAGCTTTGGGGGATTGAAGGTGGATTTAGTTCTAGAGTAGAGTAGAAAAAAGGCCTTTGTACGTTGGAAAGTCGCTGATTTTGCTCTCTTTTCACTTTCCCTCCACTTTCTGACCCTTTTAGCCAATGAATACCCCTGAACCCCACTGGTTAGACTAAGAGGGTGAAGAACCAAGCTAACAAACTTTCCAGCATTGGATTGTATGGACGGGAGTTGCAGCACCCGCTTGGCGCTTCCATTGGCAGGTGGAACCACAAGCGAAGCCCAGGCAGCCGCAGAAGGCCTTCCCCGGGGTGGCCACTGCAACTTCCGCCTTGACGGAACCCAACGCTTAGTTGCCTCTTCGCTTCCTTCTCCACAGCCCGTCTCGCGTCTTTTCAGTTTCTGGCCGCACCGCCGCACAACGCCTTTCCGACCTTGGAACTGACGCTCATACCATCGGCCGGATCGAACACGACAGAGGGCAGCCGAGTGCGCAAAGACCCTCTGATACGCTAACTGTGCATACCACGCGACTCGAAGTACCTCTCACCATCAGTGACATTGCTGAGCCAACGTTACTACCAGCAGTATGGCTCGGCTCAGGGACTCGCGCTCACCATCTCCTGCAGGAAGTCTCTCTGCGAGAAAACGAAAAGACGACGACCGCCGTGACCGCGACCGTCGCGATGGCCCTGTCGACCACCGCCGCCGTTCTCGCAGCCCCATAGACGTAAGTCGACCGTTTCCCCGACTTCCGGTGTCGTGCTGCTCCCAAGAACTCCAATGGCTGACGCGTGTGATATTTATGCAGCGCCGATATCGCGACCGGGATCGCGACCGTGGACGAGATGGAAGGGACCGCGACTCTTATCGCCGTAGGGATCGATCTATAGACCGCCGAGATGACGACTACTATCGCGGCTCACGTCGTGATGGTGACCGCCGTCGGTCACGCGATAGAGGCCTAGACAGGCTTCGTTCCCCAGACCGGCGCAGGGACCGAAGTCGGGATCCGGACCGAGAGTACCGCCCTCGGCGAGACGATTCGCGTGATCGGGCCCGAGTGCGTCGTGAAGGCACTGCTGAATCATCCTCACATCGTCGTGATGACGCTCGAGCACGCGACCAGCCGAAGCCAGGCAGCACAACAGTCAAAGAAAACGAGGTACGTTTTGGAGGGCCCTACAAACAAGCACCCCCTTTTCCGGACCGTTCACTGACGCAACTGCATTCTGTAGCCAGCTAAGTCTACACCAACCCAACCGCAAACAGAGGCGGAGAAAAAGGCTGAACGACTACGAAAACTGCAAGCGATGAAGCAAAAGCACGCTCTCAAGGAGGCAAAGGAAGCAGACGTTACCGCTGGGCTCACTAGGAAACTCTTCATGGAGATGGATCAGAGAGCCAGCGGCGCCGTAGTCGGCAGTGGTACCAACAGTCCTGCGCCTGCGAGCCCGGCAGCCGCCGAGTCCCCGCCAAGCCCTGCCCCCTATGTCGGCAAGTTTGATCCCAAAGCCATTGCGCGGAATGCTAAACCAGCACGTGCCAGTTCCCCGGTAAGGTTAGGCGACGTGAAGCTAGGTGATGTGAAAGTAGGTGCCCCGGTGGCGGCGGCGGCGAGTATAGCTGGCCAGGGGAAGGGTGTCGCATCGGGCAAAGCAGGCTTACTGCAAACTGGGAGGCCTATCAGTACATTCGGGTTCAACAAATCCGCCGATGCCCTCAAAACGACAACTAAACGGAAGATTGACATGGGAGATGAAGAAATCATCAAGCGCAAGCTTGTCAAACTCCCTGACCTGGCCCTCGAGAATGCTGACGATATCCCATACGCGGACGATGACGTGGCGGAAGACGCGGAGAAGGATTTCGACGTACTCCTTGCCGGCACCGAGGAGGACCGCGCTGAAGCCCAACGGTTGCTGCGCGAGCGGCGTGAGGAGCAAATTCAGAAAGAGAGCATGGCTATGGAAATCGACAGTGCCCCTCCCAATATGGAGGTTGCAACCGAGCCTGTGGCGCAAAATCCGACAGCGATGGATGTAGACGACGAAGTCGACCCACTCGATGCCTTCATGGCTGGACTTGAGCAGACAGCCTCTGGCGAGGAGTCGCACTCTAAAGCTGATACGCAGACCGAGAAGAAGGGCAATATTCCGCCCGAGGCCTACTTCAGTGATGATGACTACGGCTATGAGGCAGATGGGACCGACCCTACTTCCATTCTCGCCATGGCTTCCAAAAAGAAGAAGAAGGATATCCCCACGATCGACTACAGCAAGCTCGACCTGAATCCTATCCGGAAGAACTTCTGGGTTGAGCCGTATGAGTTAAGTCACATGAGCGAAGGAGAACTGGCTGAGTTGCGATTGGAGCTTGATGGCATCAAAGTGTCCGGGAAGAACATCCCCAAGCCCGTTCAGAAGTGGTCTCAGTGCGGCCTCACCCGTCCTATTCTCGATACCATTGAGAGCCTTGGGTTTGAAAAGCCTACGCCGATTCAGATGCAAGCTCTGCCTGTCATCATGTCAGGGCGTGACGTGATTGGCGTTGCAAAGACGGGATCTGGTAAGACAATGGCTTTTGCCCTGCCGATGCTCCGCCATGTCAAAGATCAAGACCCCGTTACCGGTGACGATGGTGCCATTGCGCTTATCATGACCCCGACCAGAGAACTCTGTACGCAAATTTACTCAGACTTGCAACCGTTTGCAAAGGCTCTCAAGCTTCGCGTTGTCGCTGCTTATGGTGGAAACGCCATCAAGGACCAGATCGCCGAGTTGAAGCGCGGTGCTGAGATCATAGTAGCCACACCAGGTCGTCTAATCGATCTTCTTGCGGCCAATGGAGGACGTGTAACAAACCTCAAGCGTGCTACTTATCTAGTCCTTGACGAGGCTGATCGAATGTTCGACATGGGCTTTGAACCCCAGGTCATGAAAATCTTCAACAACGTCCGCCCAGATCGCCAGACCATCCTCTTTTCTGCAACCATGCCCAGGATTATCGATGCGTTAACCAAGAAGGTCCTGCGGGACCCTGTCGAGATTACTGTGGGTGGGCGCAGTGTCGTAGCACCCGAGATCACACAGATCGTTGAGGTCATGGACGAGGGTAAGAAGTTCAACCGTCTGCTAGAACTCCTCGGAGAGCTTTATGCGGACGACGACGATGTCCGTTCCTTGATCTTTGTGGAGAGGCAAGAAAAGGCTGACGATCTATTACGCGAACTCTTACGGCGCGGCTACGGTTGCATGTCTATCCATGGAGGTAAAGACCAAGAGGACCGAAACTCGACCATCTCTGATTTCAAAAAGGGTGTGTGCCCCATCCTCATTGCAACCTCGATTGCGGCCCGTGGCCTGGATGTCAAGCAGTTAAAGCTCGTCATCAACTACGATGCCCCTAATCACTTGGAAGACTATGTCCACCGCGCTGGGCGTACTGGACGCGCCGGTAACACGGGTACGGCAGTCACCTTTATAACCGAAGAGCAGGAGAATTGCGCATCTGGCATTGCCAAAGCGTTGGAGCAGAGTGGCCAGCCCGTTCCAGACCGTCTGAATGAAATGCGCAAAGCATGGAAGGAGAAGGTCAAGGCTGGCAAAGCCAAGGATGCCAGTGGGTTTGGCGGCAAAGGTCTTGAGAAGCTCGATAAAGACCGTGAGGCCGCTCGCATGCGTGAACGCAAGACCCACAAGGCGGAAGGCGAAGAGGACGATGTCAAAGAAGACGCTCCTGCAGAAGATGGCGAGAAGAAGGACAAGACCAAGGTTGCCATCCAGTCCGCTGTATCTGCCATTGTGTCGCGCGATGCCTCCAAGGCGGAGACCGATGACAAGCACGCCATCCCCGCGGGTGCCGTCAAGGCCGGGCATCACGCAAGCAGCGGCAAGAGCGGAGGGGCTCTGGACAAGGCGGCGTCCGCCATCAGCGAGATCAACGCACGTCTCGCCCGGGCCGGTCAGCTCCGGCCTGGTCAGCCCATTGACAACAAGGGTCCCGACGCGGGCGCGTTCCACGCAACCCTCGAGATCAACGACTTCCCCCAGAAGGCTCGTTGGGCTGTCACCAACCGCACCAACGTTGCCAAGATCCTCGAAGCCACGGGAACGTCCATCACCACAAAAGGCAACTACTACCCTCCTGGAAAGGAGCCAGGTCCGGGTCAAGAACCAAAGCTGTACATTCTCATTGAGGGTGATACCGAAGTTGTCGTTGGCAACGCGCTGTCGGAGCTTACTCGTCTGCTTAGAGAGGGCACGATGGCGGCGGCGGATGCTGAGAGCCGTGCTCCTGCTAGCGGTAGGTATACGATTACGTGATAGTCTGGGGAAAATAGTGGGTGTTCCAAGTGTAAAGGTCAGCTTTTCACTTGATGGGGTTTTCATCTAATTAGGGTGACGTACGTACACAGGTGCGAAGAGGTGGTGGTTGGCGATATAGTATATCTACGATCAGGTAGTTGCTCATAAATGCATTATAGATTGATACGTCCAGTTTTCTACTCACAATAATCACAATTTGCGTATGGTGGATGGGGGGAAATGTGTGCTGTTCATGCTTGGGGCAACAGCCCAAAAAAAAAGTAAATACAGACGAATTTGGGGAACAGAAAAACAAAGCCACTCAGTAACATCAATGTGCCCTTCGTGAGCCATCATCAACCACTATAAGCACCACCCACTTTCAAAGCGATCCAAACTCCCAATCAGCTATCCCTTCCGCAAAATCAGTCGCGCATCGTCAAAGAACCGCCTTAATTATAACTCCTCGCCTCCGCCGCTTGATCAGCCGCCCTTCGCGCTCTTTCCCGCTCACTTTCCTCTTTGAGTAGCGCATCGCGCGTCATGCCCTTTTGCGCTCGCAGCTTCTTGGAGAGGTCGGCACCTGACCCTTGATCTCTATTAAACCGAGCCTGTTCATTTGTTTGTCAATATGTGCATAGGGTTATTGAATTGGTAAGTGGTGAGTGAGTAGGTTGTAGCTTCTTCATGGCTCGTTTGTGGTGTACTTGTAGATTGATTTTCTTTTGTTATATGTAATCAAAGATGAAGATGGAAGGACAAGGAACGACGGACGAACGGAAGGGGGTGAGATTGGATACTAGGTAGGAAGGATGAAATAAAATGGGATGGATCGATGGGGACTTGACGGAAATCGGAACGTACCATAGCAGCCTGCGCAGCTTTGCTCTTGGGGTCATCGCTTCCGCCTTCTGTTCCTCCTTCTCCTGCTCGCGGTCCTGCTGATGCGCCCCCGAGAGTCCTGCCGCCACTGACACTACCGCCGGTTGTCCTTCCTGTTGTCACATTTGGTGGAACAGAAGAAGCGGGTGCGTTGACGGTTCCGTAACCGCCGCCGCCGGTCGTTGATGATGCCGGTGCCGGACGCGCCGCCACCGCCGCCGGGTTACTGCCGCCGCCACCTAAAACGTGGCCTTCGCCTCGGAAGTTCCCGCCGCTGCCACTTCCGGAGCCGGATCCCTTGCTGAAACAACTTCCCATCTCTTCTTTATCTTGATCTTAATGATAGTGATGTCCTTCAGTTCAGTGCAGGATTGCACTAGACAGCTGTTCGTTTAGGGTTTGCGGGGCGGAATTGCGGGAATTGAAGTTGATCACTTTCAGCTCTCACTATGGGCAATTGCTTCTTGTGTCCAGCGGAAGATTTCAAGTAACTGGATGGATCATGTAATTCTTTTGAAATCGTGGCGAATGGGTGAATCATGGAAGTGAACGAGTGAAATGCGGGCAACGGACGGTCGAGGTTGGCTCTTCGATAGCGGTCTTGGTGGTCTTATTGCCTTAGTATTCCGAGCGTCACACGGCCCTGAGCCAAGAATGGGATCAAATAACCTGGCCAGCCACAATCGAAACTCTCAAGGGCCGATCAGTACCTTGAGCAACATAACAACCTTTTGCCATATCTCGGCAAAGTTGTCTGTCCCTGAGTGATGATATGGAGGGCTGTACAATTATAGTTTGTAAGAAAACAACCTGTTGCTGTAGCTTAAGCTGCAGCCGGCAATTTGGCCTATAAAAGGTCAAGTCGTAGGGGCAGTGAAAGTGATCGGTATCGATGCCGCAGCGATTTGATGTAGGAGCTGACGAAGCTAGAGAGAAGTGATGGCAAGGCTCACATGCTTGGCCGGGATGATGATATAGGGATGATAAGATAGTGGTAGGCCCTCGATCATTTCACTACGCCGTAAAGAAAGTGAAAGAAGGACGTTTCGAACTTCGATGCTGGGACAGACCGTGATTATGGAATTTGGCGATGGCCCGCATCAGCTCACTAACAGATTGGCCAAAGCCCCTGTCAAATCTTGCTTCTGACAGTCAGATGGTCCCGGCCTTGTATACGTCTGAACAAAATCGAATCGAGCGAGACTTAAGCGGTAGAATACTCGAAGTGACAGTCGATCTTATTGACCTGACGAGCAAAGGGCCGCCAAGATTCAATCCGTTGCGAGTTTTCAAGGGCCCTTTTGCGCACAGACATTGGTTCCCCCACTTCACTTGGTGGGCCCCCGCTTTCCCATTGCAAAGTGGAAGGTCAGAATGGTAAGGTATGGACACCTCCACTACTTACCAACGTTTCGCATGACGGGCTGAGCCGCGAAGGCATTCTGCCTGGCATTTGAATCCGACATGGGATGATTTGATGATCTCGGATACCCGTTCAGGTTTCCATTGGGCAAAGAGTTTCCATGTAGACACTCGGCATCACCACACTACCATAACAGTCTACTGCATGCTGCCCCCCTGGTAGTCTTTTAGGTGCATCTTCGAGACAAGGGCTGCGGTACTGCCCTGGTGAGCACCATAGCAGCCCGCCCGTAGAAACATGTTGGTCTCCTCTCCTTTGGTTGGTGCATCATCCGCGCAAGAGATGGGTTGGAAGGATGAAACCGTTTGCCAATATTCTGCAGTGCGGTTCCTGGGTGCCTCTAGCCGCGAGACCGCGCTGTCGAACACTGCCTTGGCAAATGGAAGCAGCCAGTCAGCGAGGATGCAGGATGGTGAGTGCGAAAGGCAAGGGCAGGGTGCGCACTTTGGTAGCCGGAGGAAGGTCGAGAAGAGAGCCCCACGTCGGTGACAGCATTTTTCTGGGCCGAACTCCGCTCCCAGCGCGAGAAAAAAAATTGATGCAGCAAAAAAAGCGTACCTGCCCTGGACAACAGCAATTGAGCATCACAGGTCGCGCCTTCTATATTGTTCCACCATTCGCAACTCGACTCCCCTCACTACGAGTCTACGGTACCTTGATGGTGCCCTCATGCTCAGTTCGCGTCCAAGCTCAACTGCCGCCCTACGCACCAAACCTGAACCCTAGGTACCTTACCTAAGGTCGACCCCAGAAAAACCCAGAGGACGTCAAGACGCACGCACCCCTCGCCGGTTGCCCCAGCCAGAAGCAGGGCCCAGAGACCCAAGGCCATCAAGGTTCTCACCCACGAGCAGCTTGCCTAACATTTCAATCTACTGCCACCTTCCATCCAACTGTTCTCCCTCGACACTCAGACCACCGTCACCCGTCTGACTCGGCCCAAGAATCCAGACTGGCGAGCCCGGCACTGCTTCCGCTCAATTCTCTCCGGCGCTCGTCCACAAAAACCCATTCTTCCTCCGTCGGATCGCCGTGCTCGCCGCTAAGATTCGGGGCTGACCAAGCTTTCGCCCATCCGGACCGGAGCCGCTCTCGTTCACTCAGATCTCTTAGGTCTCCATACCAGAACCCCATACGGTAGCCGCTAGCCAGTCCCCTCCTCGCTACTACCAACACGGTCGGATTATCTTGCCGTACAGTATTTGATTTCCCAACTGCCTTCAGTTTCACACCCCCATCACGTCGCCTTGCTGTTTTTTTTTTTTTTTTTTTTTCTTGTTCTGGGCGACGAGGTGGAAAGACACCAAACATTGGTGCGAGATACCCCCGGAGCGACAGTCTCTTCAATACTCTGATTCTGATATCGATGACGTTTCCCGGACTCCCCTGACTTTACCAAATTCCGAAGCACGCTGCTATGCGCCCTGACCATCACGATTGCCGGAGCGACATGGACGGCCACTTCGGCCACCGGCCTGCAAATCACAGCCAGAGTCAGAGCCAGACCCAGAGCCACAACCATGGCCATCACGGTTCTCTCGACCTCCGTTTTCAGTACTTGATGGACTCTTCCCGTCAACGACACACACCGCTCTCCTCCAGTGCGACACCCCAGGTATCTCCTTCAACGGCAAACGATGGCTCTCGCATACCCACAAACACCACCGTCGGCTACGAATCCCACGATGATCTATGTGTTGATCACTGCGAAGTCCTTGGCCTCTATCAGGGTGGCTCTCAATTCCCGAACCACCGTGGACTTGCAGCCAATTCACTCGGCCACTGGTCACGGCGATACGTAAATGGCCAGGATGCTTTGCTTGATACTCCTCATGTCGACCTATTCGCCCACAACCTACCATCAAACGATTTCATGCCCATGCAGCAATTCGGTGCCTGGTCTCAATGGCAGGATCATCAGAGTCAGCAATCAATGCAAGAGTGCGGAGAGGATTGCCAGTCTAATGCCGAGGACAGTTGCTGCGATAGCGAGTGTGCCATGACTGGCAAATGCACTAACATTGCGTGTGCCAACGGCGAGGACGTCTGCGTGGACCAAAGCTGCCCCGAACGTTCCATGGCTTTCCCCTCCGATCTTGTCGACGGCGCCGCCGCGCTCTTATCCATTAATCATGGGTCTGACATGCTCACTCAGGGCTTCAACTTTAGCAGCATGGGCGGCATGAACAGTATGTGTGGCATGGGCAGTATGGCGAATATGGGTAACATGAACCATATGAACGACATCGGCAGCATGGGTAACATGAACGGCATGGGTGGCATGAGCAACATTAACAACATGAATGGCATGAACAACCCCAATCACTTAAATAGCCTCAATGGTCTTAACCAGAATAGTAAGCCGCCATCATTTTCCGCTTTCCTCTTGTCTGTCGGTGTTAACTCGTCCGCGCTGGTTTAGTGAACCAAGTCATAAACGGCATGAATCAAAGTCTTTCTCGAAATACCCAGCAGACATCTCTGCTGTCTCCAAGCTGGCTTCCGAACCCGTTAGGTAATATCACGAGTCATCTGTTGTCAGCTCACGGAGATGGAGAGTCGTCAAACTGCACCCGGCCCTGTCTGCTAGACGATCCCCAAAATTATCCCAACTGCCATATCCCTGTGTCTTTCAACGCCGCCCAGTTTGGTCAGTACAGCTCTGTGGCTAGCAATTTTCAGGCAAGTCAAGCCTTGCAGCAATGTGGGTTCGAGGCGAGTGATCCCGAGGCGTATATCAGGCACTTCAACACACAACATAGGCCATATTTCACGAATACCGAGCTCAGCAAAAGCAACAACAGTAACGGCCAGCTCGCTTTACCTAACTTGATCCCTGGCTCTGGAGGTGTGCGGAGTAGCAGAACATTGACAGCAACCGAGGCCTTATCCTCATCTCCAGCCACTCCTCTCGACACATCTGATTCGGGAGCATCCATGAACACGCCTTCTCCGCTAACACCGGTGTCGGAGGCAAAGACGCGGGCTCAATCACCCTCCCATACACGCAGCTCATCCGCAGATACGTCGGAAACCAGCTACAGTGATAATATGGATGGAGATAATGACGAACACAAGTGCCTATGGCGGGAGGACAATGGTAAGCTTTGTGCCCAGACTTTCACAGAGGCAGGGGATCTCTTTGACCACGTTTCGAATGTACATATCAAGCATGCATCCAAGGGGAATTATGGTTTTCTCTGCGCCTGGGACGACTGTCCCCGAAGCCACCCTGGCGTGCATGGCTTCCCACAGAGGAGCAAGATCGAGAGGCATATGCAAACGCATATTGGTCGTAAGTGGTTATGCGCCTTGCTATTCACGATCATGTCTAACGAGTACAGATAAACCGCATGTCTGCAAGATCTGCCACAAAGGATTCTCGGCAAAGCAGGCTTTGACTCAGCACATGTACATCCACTCTGATCAAAAGCCGCTGGAATGCAACATCTGCTTCAAGACCTTCAGATATCCTAGTGCCCTCAGTAAGTTTATCCACAAGAGCAGTCCATCTTGCCTACCCATCATTCTGACCAGCATTCTGTTCAGCAATGCACATGCGCGTCCATTCAGGCGAGAAGCCGCTCCAATGCCCCATCTGCGGCAAGAAGTTCAGCGAATCTTCAAACTTGTCCAAGCACAAGCGTACCCACGAGGTCAAGGGTCGTTTCAATTGCAATGTGCGCGGTTGCTGTCGCAACTTTCACCGCCAGGATCAGCTCCGTCGTCACATGAAGACGCACCAGAAGGATGTCGTCGATGGCCGAGTGGTAGACATCTACACTAGCCAACTGCCGCTGCCCGCTGACTTTGATTTCCCATTGAAAGAAGGATCAGCAGATCCTACAGTATTCAGAGATGAGTCTGCTGAGATTGGTGATGAGGGGAGCCATTGAGAAGGCGACCACGAAAACAGGATCACATCTTCTCTAGCTCCGGTGTTCCCGGCGTTTTAGTGATTCTAATCGGGCCTGTCCTTTGCATGGTGTACTCAGGTCAGATGTGGGTTGACAGGTGCTAAACTCTTCGGCTCACTTGAGCAAGGCGCAATTGGCGAATGGGCTACAAAGCGGCGTGGAAAAGTTCCGTTTCGTTTGCTTTTTTTTTTTCTTTTCTTGTTTTCTTCTTCCTCTTCTTCTTTTTCTTCTTCTCCTTCGTTTCGCTCTTTTGGCGTTGCCCTACTCAAGGGCTTTTAACACTGGATTATCTAGGAGGCTGTCATGAGGTTTTTCTTCGGTTCAAGACAAATTTAGCTGGGCTGGTGGTAAAACTTACAACGAGCACAGAGGCAATGAGTGGAGTGGAGGAGGACGTGGCATCCCTTGTACACTGCTGACTACAATCCCGTGGAGGATTCCCCATGATGGGACCTGCTTGCTTGCATCTTGCGCAGGGCGTAAGGTGTAGCGTCGCGGTGACAAAGGAGGAATGGGATGGAAGTCAGTGAGTGGGAGAAGTTGAGAGGAAAGATACCCCAAAACAATCAATCATTTCTCCCCTATTTGTCAAGGATTGTTGTTCTCTTCGGTGGCATCGTCTTCGAACTCTTGCTGAAAACATATTGCTGAGACCGTATTACTATTGATGTGGTGCTTGACACTCGGATACTACATAGTAGTTCGTTACATGATCAAGTTCTTCTTCATTGTATGGATTTTGACAGTCACATAGGGATTTCACCCAGATCACGACTTCATAGCCCTGTTTGATAGTACTGTGGGCACAAAGCCTCTGTAGTTTGACGCCGTTCTAAACGACGTGGACGTATTAGACAGTCGTGATACCTTACGCATGTTGCCCATCGTGCTGAGATGTAACCAGCTTCCGGCGTCCTCCAATTTGCGAAAGAGATATAAAATCGACCGAGATAAGTGGTGTGGTATTTTCGGAAGTATCATCGACAGCATTCATCAGCAACGTAAACCCACCCATTGAGAAACATCAACCTTCACAACAGACAACCCAATATCTGCAGTCCATACAATCCTCAAAATGTGTGGCCAACCAAAACCCAAGTACGAATGTTCCGACTGTTGCACCGAGGTCTCCTCCACTATCGAGAATGTTGACATGCGCAAAGGCAAAAGGCTGTGGCGACTGTGGCAGCACCAGCTCTGACAATGGAGAGGTCAGCAAGATAGCCGACAACACATGCTCGAGTAACGAGGGGAAGAAGGCCGAGGAGATGGTTGCAGCTGCTGTGGTTGTTTATGCATATACATATAAGTAGTCAATATGGGGGTGGGACTCGTACTTTTAGACGGCTGTAGCTATGATAAATCAAGGGGAGGAAGCTGCTTAGGGCGGGGAATGGGAAGCGAGGAGAGGAAAGAGTCTGGGTTAAGTGGATAGGATGGAAGAGTAAAACTAGCATGGAAAGGTGGAATCAATAAATAGATTCAAAACTGGATGTTTGGGATATCAATATGGGAAAGTTGTGTTTTGAAGATGTTGGGAAACTGGGGTAGGTACACTATATCCAGCTCTGTGGATAGTACGGTAGGTACCTCTAGATAGGGTTGACCAGCAAGATAACGTACAAACGCTGATCGAAAGAACGATTACCTATTAACATCAATGGTCCATGCTCGTATAGGATATATAAGAGTGACGCCATGATAGCCACTTGTTTGGGAACTCCAATGATGAGCATTTGTTTCGTGTCGTCGGCTGTGTCTGAACCCTCGATGCAAGGTACTTTCACTCGCTCTTTGATCATCAAGAACCAACTCATCGAGACTATTCTCAATGTGGTAGCTTTAGCATTCGCATGTGCCAATTCATTGTTATCATTGAAATCAATCAACCTTTTTGATCGGTTAGGTCGGCTCTCTATAATCTCTGGAGACTCAGATATTCTCTGGACACTCGTCATTCTTACGTACGCACAATACGATATCCATACAATGTCGACGAGTCAAGCGAAGCGGTTCACACCGTGAACTCGAACTTTATCCTGCTGCCTAAGTATCGGCACTGCTTGCTGCAACTAAACCTGGAAGGAAGGAACATTGTCACAGCAAGCGTGGCTTGGAAACAGTAAATGCTCGAAACAGCTAATGATCAGCGGTTCGTGATCAAGCAACAGCCACGCAGATAGACGCCTCTGACATTATTGTGGGTTCAAGTCCGGCACGTGTCCCGGGCTGAGCAGAGGATTGTGTTGGAGAAGAGCGCAAGAGTGCCGATTTATTCCCGGACTTGGGCCGCCACCACGGCGCTGCGGCACGGCCCCGAACCTTCTCGCTTCCCGTTCCGGTACCAACCACGAAACGGCAGTACCCAAACGGGCAACCGTGCCAAGATTAGGGGAATAACAAAGCATATATAAGTCGCGATCCACCCCCATTCCGTCCGGTAGGGAAACTTGTAATTGATACCAACTTATACCCATCACACCCAACCCACCTTCACAAATTCATAAAGAATCTCCATCGATAATTAGCAACAATGTCGATCGCAGGCATGCCCTACCCCTTCTTCACCGGCGGCCCCGCCTACCGGTCCAAGGTATTGGTTCCATCCGAAGAAATGGACGCCAGAAACTCACGAGAGCCGGATTCACACACCAACTTGATCAGTCCCAGTTTCGATGGACGTACTTTAGCCGGCTCCGACCTGGTCATGGTGACCGCCGCAGAACTAGGCGCCCCTTTCCTCCGCCTTCGTGGCATAACAGCCGCTCATCTCCCACCCCCAGGCACTTCACCGCGCGAGTTGATTCCTTTTCTGACGGCCCTCTTGAGGGAGTCAGTCCCCTTCATCGATTCCGTGGCGCCTAAACCTTCCAACAGACCTCAACCTACTACCAGCCTTGGCACCGCGCGAAGCGAGTGGAAACCTTTGAAAACAAAGTCATCAAAGGTAGACGACAATGGCAACACAGTAGTGTCTCTCTACGAACGCACCCTCTCCGCACCCGAGCTGCGCGCCATCGAGCGCTCGGCCGGCCTTGCCACCAGCAATACGGATGATCCCGAGACATGGGCCTGTCGGCGCAGCGTGCACCGAGACTCAAATGTCCCCGGAGACGGGTCAGCTAGCTGGGGCGAGTTTGTCACTTGCTTCAAGGACAAGCACGTCGAGTGCGAGGAGGCGTTTACCCCGAGCATCGTGGGGACGAGAGTGTTGCGGGACTACGATGTTGCTGGTCTACTACTTGATGATGAGCACGGGGATAGGTACGGAAATCCTACAATGAAACTGGTGGAGGCGAGGCACAAGATTGGGATTAAGCCATTACTCAAGGACCGGGTGTTTACAGTGTTGCAGGTTACCTGTTCGCTGCTCCCTCGGGAAGCTGGAGGTGCTGCTGCAGACTGTGATGAGATTCTGGTCATCAGCATTCCGATGTCAGACATTGAGAACTTTACTACTACTGCGGCAAGTCCCATCAAGGGGAAAAGCAGCAACAAGGAAGAGGATCCGTTTCGAAAAGATTCCATAAAGGGGTCATATGTCAGTGTCGAGCGAATCAGGAAGTTGCCAACAACAGAGAACGAAAGCCAGGCACAGATTGAATGGCTCATGGCAACGGCATCGGACGCCCGAGGCTCGCTTCCTGGATGGGTGCAGACCATGGCGGTACCGGGACAGATAGCTAAGGATGTGACACTGTTTCTGGAATGGGTTGCGAAGGAGCGGGAAAAGAAGGGGGGTTTGGTAGCGTGAAGGGCGGCATTTCAAGTTCTTTCAGCTGTATGTCAAGGCTTGTCAAGTGAGCCGTGTCAAGGAATACGACTTAAAGTTTTTGCGAATGGTGTTTCAATCGACGTACAAGGCTGGTAGCTTACCATTTGTTATGGATGTCTCGTGAATGGCTCCAATTGCATTTGCTCAATCACAATAGAGCCTTGACCTTATCCACAAATCCATACAGCTATTCCCTATCCGCCCAGCTCTGGATGATACCCTCGGGCGTGGCATCATAGTGCTTGAGACTAACCTTGCCAGTAGCCTCGTCCAGATAAGTGTTGGCCTGGACGAACACCTTTCTGGGCTGCTTGTTCTTAAGGACGACATCGCGGACCTTGGTTCCCCAGTATTCCAAGCCGACACCGGACATATCGGTGAAGAACTTGGTACCATTCTCGACATCAGCGGTTGACTTGTAGATGTGGATCTTCTGGAGGAAATCTCCCACAGCTGCGCTAATAGTTAGCCGATAACGTCCTTTATCTCACCACCAACGGGAGCTGACTTACCCTTTCTACCGCTGGTCAGAATCTTGGAGCGATCAAGCTTGATCTTCAAGTCGGATAGATCCTCCTTCTCATACTCAAGCTTGCAGAAGTCATCCTCTGCCTGAAGAAAAGACTTGAGAATGGCAAAGCGAGCCTGGCAATGAGGCTGTCCCCACTTCTGGCTCTTGGGATCCCAGAACTCGACCGAAGTGAGACCAGCCCGTGCCATGCTAAGGTAGGATGCATATAGAACATCACCAGCCTCGCCATCCATATCAACAGTTCCGTCACCGAAGCCGAAAATCTTGAGAGCCTGGAATTCGCAGCTCAAGTGCATCGCAACAAGCTCAGCACGGCATTCTTCGTAAGCGCCAGCAAGGCCACCGAATACGGAACCCCATGTCTGACCGGGCTTGTACCAGGTCGTCACGGGCTTGCCGGTCACGGGGCTAATGGGTGGGTTAGTGTGGTCGAAGTTGTACTCTCCAGGAGAGGTCTCCTGCAGAAGCTTTCCACAGCCGTGACCTAACTCTCTGTCAGTCGTCAAACCCTCAGCGGTGAAGGGACAGATACTGCCATACCAGTAAGCTCATGAAGTCCGACCTGGACCTCAAAGGCGGCATCACGATACTTCTTGTAAACCTCGAGATCACTATCGGCAATGAAGGGAATCTTCTCATCAGGAGCCTTGGCGCTCAAGACGTTACCTGGAATTTGGTCAGACAACGCGGTTCTCCTGATTAAGGCAAATCCCAGAACTTACCCAAACTGACGTTCTTGAAGCCTTCCTGTTGCCTGATATCGTCGTAGTTGGGGCTACAACCGTGTTAGTACCACTCTGAGGCTTTAAATCTCCCGTGTACACATACATGTTGATACCAGCAGGGATACCAGACCCTGTTCCGATTGTTTAGTGCTTCAGTTCATCATTACGCCCCGTTTCGCATTGTGTTACATACCGCAGAAGGTCAAAACCTCAAGAGAGGTAAAATCAGGAGAGAGGAACTTGTCCTTCTCGAACTCCTTGGACCACGGCAGCAGAGGGATCAAACTAGGTGCAGACCTAACCAGCTCTCCGAAAGCACGTGTCCTTTCCTGGTTAACAACTGCTGCGAAGCCCTCCCACTCACCACGAACACCAGCCGGGTCGCGGTAGGTCTCGATGAAGCCGATGTTGCACTCAACCATGGGCCTTGATCGCGGATCCAGTATCTCTGGGAGTCCTTGAAGGCTTCAAGAGAGCCCTCCTCGAAGGACTTGGCATAAGCGGTATGCATCTTTTGTTGAGTCTCGTTCTCCGCGTTCTCGGCCGCCTTCTTGGTGTACTCGGTAATAGCCTTCATCTCGGCCGCATAGTCGCCATAAACTAACTTGATGGTCTTACCCTCAAGAGGGCCCTCGGTGATCTTGTACTCGGAATCCTTGCCAATGTCACCACCCTCGCTGGGGATGGAAGTAACGGCAGAAGCAATCAGAAGCTCAAAGATCCCGTCCTTGGTCTTGCGCAACCTGGTGTTTTCAGGAAGCAAGCCGGCTTTCTGCATCCACTTAGCAACAGCATCGATCTCATCCTTGGTGATATCAGGAGAGTCGGGGTAGTAAGTGGTCAGGTGACCTTGATCCGTAAAGCCAAGGTGCAGAAGGCCGGGCTTGTCAGTCGAGAAGATAGCACCGTTGGTGGCCTTGTAATGCTTCTCGGCCTCGGGAGAAGTGGAAGCCAGGGAAGCAAAGACATTCTCATCGCAGCGGGGGATAAACTTGGAGTCACCAAAGCTCTTATAGTTTCCGCTGTTGCCGAGAAATTGTGCAGCATACTGGAGGAAGGCGTTCAAGCCGGCCTCATCAACGCCGGCCTTCTCAGCCAGAGCCTTCCAGTCGCCTCCAGAGGCCTTGTGCAGAGCAATGATGAAATCATAGATGGACTCAGACTCGGGGGAGACCTGGCGCAGCACGATACGGTTACCAGCAAAGGAAGCCCTAAGTTCAGGTAGACTCGTGTTAGCGAGAAACGGCGGGTGACGATGGTGATGATGTGGAGGGTGTAGGGATTCGAGAGGGTAAAAAGGGGGTTTGTAAACACGCCAACTCCCAGGAGTCCACATTAAAGCTGCATGTAGTGTGCAATTGGCGCTATCTGCACTTACTTGCTGATAAAGTGAGCATAGCGCTTCTGCTTGTCCGTCAGGGCGTCAAAATGCTTCTCGACCTCGAGCCTGACGACCGAAGGCGGGGCATCCGCCAGGTACTGCGAGAGTTCTTGAGCGTCCATAGTGAGGGAACTGCGGAGACTGACACTGAGACTGAAGTTGCGATTCAGGCACAGCTGAGGAATAGAGTTACCGTAGCCTGTAGCGGTGGTGGTGAGTCTATTCCTGGGAAAGGCAGATGCACGTCGGGCTGGCTGGGCCAAAATCGACGATAATCTCAAACTTTGAGATCTGAGGGGTTGAGAGAAGCGCATCTGACTTGAGGCCAGCTAAGCAACCAAGCAAATAAGACGAGACGAACCCAATCTCTCCAGTTGAGCCAATGCAAGTCACGGCTTCTCCAACAGTGTTAAGCACCTTCCGTCTACAAACAAGCCTCTCTTCGTTATCGTTCGATAGAGCGCCCGATAAACATCCCTGCGCACTTGCCTGAACCGTTACGAGCCGACTTTCCAACTGGCTGGCCGTCTCTCCCCCACACTGTGCGACTAGTGCAAGTAGGCAACTGACTTTCTGTTAGAGCGGGGTAAAGAGAGCCGAAGCAGCGAGTGAGAACATCAGGTTCCAGCCTCTTCTGTGCTTCCGTACTTTCACTTCTTCACCAGCCACAGGGCATATGCTGACAACTGACACAACCTGGGACATGACGTGCCGGATCACTCCGCGACCGTCTGCGGCGCTCCGAACTAGACGGAGGCAACGAGCCAACAACCCATCCTCTTGCCCAGTTGATGTTGGATTGGGATTGGATTTTATAGAGCTTCAGATGCAACCTGAAGTCCCACAGCGTCAGCAAGGGCGGGATCCCAAAGAACCTCAAGAAACGATGACCCCCACGCAGGCTGTACACTGCACTACAAAAAATTTAGCGTGTGAGTACAACACGGCAACATTCCGTGACTCCCAAGAAAAATTCTGCGGGACTGGAGGGGCAGATGGGCAGATGTTTCGAAGGAAGTGGAAAACCTCAACGTCGATCACCGTTCTCGCATCACTGAAGAGGGTCTCGGAGAGGAAGGATCTTCTGTGCCTTCAAACGCAGTCTTATCCTCTCGGCAGCGGCGTGACAAGACCAAAAAAACCCACGTCAGGTACAAAGTGTTACTTACAGCTTACAAGCGGAATTCCGGAACGGGACGGGTCGCTGGGCTTTGCCTGAAACTGCGGAAACCTTCAATGTCGTGCTTTTTGGGGAAAAATTCCAACAATTTCTTCCGGACAGGCTTCCGTCGAGCCTCACATCAGCCGCCGAGAGTGTCCGATCTTGATGAAGGCTAGGTGTGTGTCTTCAGCTCTGCAGAGGGGGTATCACCATCCAATCCCATGTCTGCAGAAACAACAGTTCCCACCCGGCGCCCGGCCCCGGGCTCAACGTTTAAGCTCGCGGCTGGACTGCTGAAAACTCGAAAACCTTAGCGCGACCATCCTCATACGCTTTGAGAAGCATGAGCTGTCTTTTCCAGTGTTCGCGAGTCGCCGCGACGTCCACAGTTGGGAGATCGTGATATAGGCGGCTGGCAAGCAGGAGATATCGAAAAGGGCAAATTACGCGAAACTCGCTACGCGGCAAATTTCAGAACTTGCTCTCTGATGCTGCTGAAATTGCTGTCTTTAAGCATCGGGTTACATCTGTGCCTCTTGAGAAAATGTGGTGAGCAAGGCATCAGTGCTGAGTCTCTGTAGCGGGCACGCTGTACGTCCATGGCTATCCGATATCACGAACGACGCCATAGTTGAGCCTGTGTTGAGTGAATCTTACAAGGGAGGTGAGTCTACTGCTTGGTTAGTAACACTGACAACCCCACGTGCTCCTCTATCGTTGCACACTCCTGCACTACGGCGCAGTGTAGCAAGCGGCTCCAGACCAAAAAGCCGCGTGACCATTGAGCAACCGCATCATCTTCAGACATGTCCAGATCTCGGGCACTAACTCTTAGGGTCAAAATGCTACCATGAGTGGAGAGTGAAAATCCAAGGCATTTTCAGCCAATCCTTCGTCCCCCGCATGACTGCTTGGGAAAACATTGCGTTCATCTTGGCATGTGTTTGTGTTACTTGTGCAGCGTGGTACTGTCGGCGGTTTTTTTGAGGCTCGCAACAGTGAAATTCCAAAATCGCCAGCATGCTTCAAACACTGATCAGTATCGGGACACAAAAACGGAAGCCTATGAGCGTAGTTGCTACCTAGCGAGCACGGCACCCCAGTCTGGCCAATGCTACTACATACATAGTACATTGACCGGGAGAGAGATCGCTTTCGGGTTTCCAGCTCCGCGGCACAAAAGTAGTCAACGGCCAATACAATGTGGAGAGCATCTGTTATGCCCAGTTTCGAAACCTTGAACAAGGCGGGGCCAGATTCTTGTCAACAAAAGAGATAGCCGCGGTGTAGATACTGACTTGTTGGCTCGATGCCATCTCCAGCACTCGTGGCCGTTGTTTGCTCCTGTCGGGGAGACTAACATGGGCTTCCGGGCATCCTGCTTTTCACTAGCTGTTCACTAGCAGCAGCCTGGATCTTGGGAAGCTGCTCGGAGTCGGGCGCCACTCTTGGCTACACTGCATGTACACTGAAACCCAAGTGGATCATGATCCCGAGTAGAGTTTGACGGAAATCCGCTCTAGCAAAGTTAGCAGCGCTAAAATTTGAGGGGCATATCGAATACTTTATTCTGTTCCCTTTTGGTGACAGATCAAGACCCTTGCGGTACGTTGTTAGACTTTTGAAATGACCCTCAGGGGTAAGATACACAAGGACGGAAGCGCACCGGGCCCCGAGTGCCTTCCGGTCTTTGTTGAAGCTGAAGGCGGAGTCCAAAGTAAGAGAAAACCAGACGAGTTCCACAGCCTTGTTTTGGGGCCGTCATCAAAATTAAGCAGTGTGGACAGGGATGCGGTAAATCATTGTCACGTCACGAGGGCGAAGAGAAATAGCACCAAGGGATATTCATAGTATCTGGGATACGGATCGTTGAAGCCGTTTCTCCTGCTGCACTTTGCCAACCACTGACCGCTGTTCATGGTGACTGCGCATTGTTGTTTGATGGATGGTGAAGTGTGATTCCGAATGGACCTTGATGGTTCGATTTTCCTTTTTTCTCGTGCTGCAGTGGCATTTGTTCGGTGAAGTCGGAGAGGCAACTCAGCAAACAGAGAAAAAGGAAGCTCTGAACGAAGCCAGAGGTCGGCAAAAGTAAATGAGAAAACGATTGGTCCGCCGCCGAGCCATGATGTAACCGGAGCTGCCGGGTTCGTTTGATACATTTCAGACGGTTCCTACCCGTATCCCATGTTTGCGCAAGGGACGGAATTTCTGGGCATGTTCCCCGACCTTAAACATGAGCCACAACAAGCCACCTACTGCGTAGGATCAGAACCCCCAAAGGGAAAACCACCATAAAAAAGTCCATGATGAGGTATTATGCGAATGTATGATCACCACCAAGGTCCCCGCCTCCAATAAGTCATTCCCACACAAGTTGTCTTTGGAAAACCACACGAAGGTCAACATTAAGTGAATTCAAGTGGACAACGACGTTCGACTTTTTAACATTGACGCACACCATCATGACGTTTCCCCCCCTTTTTCTTGAGGCCAGGCAATTCGTTTTGCCCTGTGTCACCATTTCCAAATGGCCGTGAAACAGAGTCCACTGGCCAATGTCATCGGCTCTCGCTTATGCGTGAACCCCCAACTTTCGTCGACCGAATCTCGCCCTGCTCGCAAATGCTGCCCCCCACGCTACGGTAACAACGTGGAGGGATTTTCCAAAGCGTACCCCAGTTGTCCTGCAAGCACTGGACCTCCACGCCAGCAGCGTATCCATCAGCGCGGGTATGTACGCACTACGCAGTCGGGTACTTCGTGTTGGTGTGTACATATGATGGGCAAGTTTGATGAGGTGGGGTAAGTACAATACGCATATTGTCTGTGCAGAAAAGTACTTGATGCAGGGGAGTTTTTTACCTTCGCTCCAAACCATAGTACAGTAGCGTAAGAAGGTACCTCCTTCCATCCCCCACTCCCCCCCTTTCCCTTGGTCAGCTGGTCCGATCGTGCTTTTGCACTTTGAATTCGTTGCATAAGATTTTTTGCTCTCTTTCTTGCCGCTGGCCCACCCTCTCATGGTGGTTATTGCCCGTGTTACAAGGCTGCAATCTCTTCCAGATGAGGTTCATGCGACGCACCATCAATCCTCATCATTGAAACATTACAAAACATTGGAAAAAAAAATTTAGAAAAAAATAGCACGGCATGGCCGCTGGATCGAACAGGTTACCTGTGACGTTGCGGGTCTCTAACGTTTCGACGACAGATGATGATCATCCCCATCGTCTCGCCATGATCCATCCACTTTATCAGCTTCCTAAACCACTGGGCCCCGTCACCGACAGCACTCCGGCACGTCCGATCCTGTCCCGCCGTGAGCATTCTAGAGTCTGTACACCAACAACACCAAAACCCCTTTCCGGGCGCACTGCAAGCATAGGGCATCAAATCGTGAGACCAACATGTCCTCAAGCTCCAGGCTCCGCCATGCCGGCCCGTCCAGGGCATGTATTTTGCTTGGTTCCGATTCCCGCTCGGGAGGGAGCATGGATTGCCGAGTTCGACAGAATTCCGCGTGTTTGGGGCTTGTTTCATGGATCACCCCGCTGATTGACGCTTGGCAGGTAGCCATGTCTGATTCCAGGGCGGCGGGCAGGTTGCTTGATGCCCAGTTTGCCAACGTGCCTGTCCTCCAGTGGTTGGCTGCCCTGGAGCCGCCAGCCGAAGCCCCGGGTTTCGTTCCCAAAATCCCACGATGTCCATGTCCATAGTGTACACAGTAGAGAGTTGGAACTGACTGTAAGCTCCGAGAGTTCGGGAAGTGTTGGCACGCAGTCGGCACCTCACGAGCAGAGGCAACCACCACGTCTTTCCCCAGAGCTACCTATCTTTACACACTGGGAGATGACAACAGAGAAATTTGTAATGCCCCGTACAAGGATTTTGCACCGTCAAGATGATCCGAAGCATCAAGTGTGGAAAGCGTCAAGATCAAACGTTTGAGTGCAAGAATGTTTGACGCCGGCATCGGTATCCCAGCCTGCAAAATTACTATGGGCCAGAATAGAAGCAGCGAAAAAATGTTGTGTTGCTTCTAGAAGTCGGCCATCTTGCATTCTTCCCCACAACACATCCACCAATTTGATCCCCACGCTTTTTTCCAACAGAGCCTGCGCCCAAAATTCCAGATGAGCACGCGAGGTACTGTAGTGTACACTTACATGTCGTTGGAGACCTCCAGCTACAAGACAAGTACCCTAGACTCACACCCTTCCATACTCTTGGGGAGTGTCGCCGCCATGGCTTGGTAGCAAGTTCGCGCAGTCACTAATATTGTCAGCTAGAGAACCAATAGGATGATTCTCTTAGTGAACCTTTTCAACCTGCCAAGCGGCCCTCGAGTTAGATGAAGCAAGCAACAACAGGAACATGTACTCCAAGTACTCGCTTGTACCGTCTTTCCTCAACCTTGTACCTTGTTGGACTCCACTTGCTGCAGCCGCGAGTTGGGTTTTTTGGGGGGGAGGGGTGTGGGATGAGTCCTTTGTCCGCTTGCAGTCCCAGGCCAGAGGGCCCTCCCTAGTCACCCAGCGGAAGTTGAGGATTTGCGTCAGATCGTGTACATACAGTGTACCCCAGCCCAGCTTGTCACCTGGCCAGTTTTATAGAGCCGGGGTGGAATACCTTGGAGGGTGATGGCAACAGGGTATGTGTAGGATTTACACTCTTGTGTCTCGCTGCACTCAGATGTATATAAGCACACGCACCGGCATCTGTCCGTCCCCCATTCCGGCTGATACTCTTTGTCTCTTGAAATCTCTCGATCTTCGCTTTTTGCAGTTGTCATATCTAACGCATAGCATGGCATTATTCCTCTTCAAGCTGTAACTCCAAAGACGTTGGCTTGCAACCCTGAAGCATCGACATTGTGCCGATACACCATCACTGACTGGCATTTATATACCCAACTCGACGCCCCATTCGATCCCATTCAACTATTACGAATAACAAATCACTTGCGCTCGGTCACCACCCCCAACAACACATATAACTCAAAATGCTTTCGTACAATACCCCTATTCCTGTGAACGGGCAGAACGCTGGACCGACCGCCGGCATGTCAGCGCGACCCCCATTTAAGACAGTCGGAAACAACGGGTCTGCCAATGGAGTGTCATCCAATGATGCGGTGTCGGGAACAGGACGACACGCTCCCGAGGAGCAGCATATCTGGCTAGTCACCGGACCTGCTGGATGCGGCAAGAGTACCGTGGCAAGATACCTAGCGGAATCTCTACATTGGCCTTATATTGAGGGTGACGAGGTATGTCATGATGCCCTTCCCTCTGTGGTGTTATCCCAACTAACAAAGTCACAAAGTTTCACCCACCAGCCAATATCGAAAAGATGAGCGCCGGTATCCCCCTTACCGATGCGGACCGCTGGGATTGGCTCACAGCTCTGCGCGAGGCATCAATTCGAACTCTTGATCAGGGCAATAGCGGCGTAGTTTTGACGTGCTCTGCGCTGAAGCGCAAGTACCGTGATGTCATCAGAGTGGCCCCCTACTTCACCCCGAATCTTCACCTTCACTTTATCTACCTCGATGCGTCCGAGGAGATCCTCCTTCAAAGAGTCCTCGCTCGCCAAAACCATTATATGGGCGCCAACATGGTCCACAGCCAGTTTGAGGCTCTCGAGCCACCAACGCCTGCCGAGACGGACGTGATCCGCATTGACGTGAGCCGTCCTGCCGACATGGTTATGGCAGATGCCCTGAACCAGGTTCTTCATACAATTGATGGAATCCAAAAGGACCAATCGCAATGACGGCTTCGATGACCTGCACCGGGGGTCCAAGGAATGGGGGAAAAGGAGATACGATGCACAACACCTGCATATGGCGCTAAGCCCTCGAGGTTCCTGAGCGGCCTGTTTGCCCCACCGTGGCATGGCATTATCTTGGGAGTTTGCTTTTTCATGTTGGAAGCTGTTTGGGCGTTTTGTTTCAGGTCATGGCTTTTTTGGTTTGTTGATTTTTCTTTTTCTTCTTCTCAACAGGCGTACTTGCTTCGGATGGAGTCAAAGGATATGGGCAGGGGAGATTCGCGTACTGGAAGCGGATTTTGGTCACTTTTGCTAGCAACGCAGAGCATGGCAATTCGCCGAAGCTCTGCATTTTTGTTTCCGGTTGGCGTTGGTGGGATGCTTTGCAAACAAGCAAGCAGGAGCAATTAGTCTATTGTTATCACGGAGGAATAGCAATTTTTCGGGACGGGTGTGTTCCCCATGCATCTTTTTGGGGAAGCGATGGCGAGGAGTAAGTACCGTAAGGGTATGGCTTGGTTCAAGGAGGTAAACAAGCACAAAAAGACATAAATGTTGGTTCATGAACGGTGGATGTATTGTTTGCCTCCCAGTGTTTCCTCTACTGCTTCTCTCATGCATCGGTCCGCATGCGAGCCCGTTGCCTTGATCATTCCACAGTTGACAGTTCCGCATTTGCAGAAGCATGCAACAGGCAGACGAAAGACTCGTGCTACCAGGACTGACAAGCGTGGTACACAAGGCAAGTCATCTCAAGGCAGATTAACTCAATGTGGAATATAGGCAAGTCAAATTACAAAGCAATTTTGGAGTCAATTCTGACAAGGAAACGCAGATCAGACCCCTGGCTTGCTTGTGTGCTACCTACGCTGGGGACTGATTGTTGGAGAGACATACTGTGTATGTGTTAATGCGCATCCACATCACGACCTCACATCGTCCCTAGAGTTCGTCGCAATGAATTGTATCTAGTTATTGTTATCAGGCAGTTTTAAAATGAATCTTTATACTCTCTATTCCCATTTTTCTACCATTTTAGATCAACTAACCTTGTTTTCAACCACACTGTAACTACTTGAACATACCCAGAAAGCGAGGATGCTGCCTCATGACTGATACATTGTGCTACTGGGTCCCAAAGCGGTCACTCGCAGTCGACATTGCAGCAGGATTTGGTTTAAGCCTTGGATGAATACAATCCCGAAATGATGCGTGTTGGATTGGAACATTGATACAGCATGACATTGCAGAACAAGGTATATTACATGAAGCTGATCGTCAACTTCTTCCTCATTCCCCGTGCCAGTCATCGCAGTAGAAGCCTATGCCATTCCCACGAACAATCCGGCAACCCATTATAAACGCTTCATCCTTGGTCTCAGCCAGTTAACCAAGCACCGCAGTGACTATACCTTCCACACATCCGTCCCATGATTATGGGTGATAAGCAGGCTTAGGATCAACCACATACGGCGGTGGCGGCTCAACCCAACCGCCATTCCCATCCGGCACCGCCACGTCGTCCATGGGAATCGCTTCACCCCCTCCTCCTCCGGTTCCCCCTTCTGTTACTCCTTGTCCCTGTCCGTGGCCCTGGCCCTGTCTCTGGCCAGCCCCAAAACCTCTTCCAGCAGCAGCCCCAACATTACTAGAGCCTCGTGCTCTGCGCCCAGTAGCACGCTCCTCAGCTTGCAACATTTCCCGTACCGTCTGCTGATGCTCTTTAAGCTTCTTCTTGCGTGTCCAGCGTGGTACAAAGACGGCGAAGAAGAGGGAAATGGAGAGGAGGAAGGTGAGAAGGACGGCTAGGGTTATTATGTTGGCTTTTGGGAACTTCTCTCGTTTGGTGATGGGGTGGAGGTTGAGGTTGTCATGAGAGGTGGGGAGACTCGTCCTTGGGGAGAGCGCGATTGGTGCCATTTGTTTTGTCTTGTCTCCCTTTCCTTTCCGTGTCTTCTCTTGGTATTTGGAAGTGTGTATCCGAAAGGTGACGCTATTCGTGCTCTTCTACGCTTGTTCGTTTGTGAAATCTTGGTGGTGAAAAAAAATTGGAAGGGGTGAAAAGATGTGGTTCGATGTTTGTCCTCGCTCTCTCTCAAGGCCCCTGTGTGTCGAGTAATACACCGATAAACGGAGCGTGGAACGTGGAAATAGGTAAGTTGATCGAATGAGCTGTGAGTTATTGTTGGTTTTTCTCATCCCTTGATCCGCTTTGCGTGCCAATGTCCTAACTTTGTATTTAAATCCGTCCGCCTTGCGCAAAACCGTCCAGGCTATGCTGTCCTTCTTGCCTCCTTTTCTGGCGTTTTCGTTGTCCGAAGATGACATTCTTTTCCAACAGCGGGATCGCCAGCCAGGCGAATAAAAGGCTGAGGGAAAGCCTTTGGACAGGAACATGTAAGTCTGGTTAGCACAGCCTCACTTGGGCAGCATTCGGTTACCTGTTTCGCTGTTTCGTGATGACTGATCTGGGCGCCAAGAGGTTTCCTTTCGTTTCGCCCTTCGTCGCTCTTGCCTACTATGTATATCGATCAAATGCAGAAAGTCTTGTGACTCTGCCGCAAGACAGTGAATGGGCAGCCGAGCCGTCAACGAGAGTAAGAAGGGTATGCGATTGGATAATTCGGATTGGGGTATTTGAAATAGCCCCAGATGTCCGGATGCAACGGACAACGAGCAAGATATCGAACCGTTCATCAATGGCAATTTGCTGATGCTCACACTTGGGCGGCTAACACCCGTAGAGAAGAACCCGGCGAGTTACAACCGCCCCGGCCATCGTAAGAGAAGAGCGAATGTCGAGAGGCTTGTGTGACACGAGAAGCGATCTCGAGGGCTTGCGGGTAAAATGTGAGCGCGGGTCGAGTTGCACAAAATTCTCTCATTCTCACATTGTCGGCAAGATATATTTTTCTCTTCGCCTTGATGGTTCAGGATAGATCAGTCACCCCTTTTGGCCATTCCATACCTTGATCGAACCCCGCGTAAGCTATCGGAATAGTATAACCGAGGGAATCTTCAACTCGTCGATGAACTCCAGTCGCACTCGATGATGGCCTCATCCAAAGCTTTCAAAGTCACTGTTGAAATGAGAGAAGAAAAAAAAGCCCGCATGTTTCCTTGCTATCACACAGGACCAAATGATGCTACCCCCCTCCAGACCCCTTCCATTCATTCATTTCATCCTTATGTTTTCTTGTTGTTACTTGTCTCACCCACCATCACTACACACTACGACCACCCCACGCCCGAACCCATTCCGTCCCTCCGTCCATATCCAAATGTGGACATAACTTCCCGCTCAGGCTGACTAGATGGCAAGTCTGCAATGAGTGCGTAGCCAAAAAAAAAAAAGCGTCGCACAGCTTAGCCAATCTCTTGGCTCGACAGCAACTATGTCCCGAATAAGAAGTCATTACCAAGCAACGAGCTGGGAACGAATGAGATGCCGATGACCGAGTTACCCCTCCTTCGTTCCTTCCTAAGAAGTGGTATGTATAGGAACAAAAAAAAAAAAGAAGAAAAAAAAAGAAGTATGACTACCTAGAGGCGATACAGATTCTACATCCAAGATTTTCGGCTTGGCTCGTCTATACTATACACATACGTTTGTAGGTATGGCGGATATACTTAGCGTTAAAGTATTGTCAATTTGAAGCTCTGTACGTGACTCTTTAGGTTAGATTACACTAGGTACCAGGAGGTACTTGGCGACTACAAGAATGTTACCTCTTGGTACGTCTTAGTATGTCTGCTGTAATATCTTCCAGGTTGTCGGTTGCTTGATCCGGCGGGCGGCCATTTATCATTGTATCTTTTTAAAATATCTTCTCCTTATTCTTTCTTCTCCGTTCTTGGCATGGACAGTACGAGGAGAAGAGGAATCCGATGGAGATACAGGTTTCCTTCACGCACATTTCTGTCCTGATGAAGAAGTAAGAATAAAGAAGGAGAACAAAATACAATGAGGGGCAATGTTTCTGGGTGAAACATCCCAATTAACACTCGAGCTGAAGGAACGGTTCAAGAGTTCCTCATGCGATCACTTGCTCCAGGTTATGGAGAGTGTTTTCAGCTTAAACTTGGGCGCGGATGCGAGAAGGAGGATGCGCCGAAAACAAAAAGGTATCGACCAACTTAGAACACACATCGCAATCATGTGCCTTTGATGAAGTTGCGAACACTATTTGCGGGACAGATTGGACACAAATCTTGGACAAGATCGCATAGTGATTGGACTTGGAAATTGAACATAAAAGTACCTGGGCCGCCCCGCATTTGAATCTTGAATTTCAATTGTCATAAGCAAAACTTGTCTACATGAAAGAATATGTACAGTGTATAGTATTGATGCGCTAAGGGGTACTCGGATAATAAAAGCAAATAGAGACAAAGTAACTGGAGACGCTGGGTTGCGAGCTCTACTAGTGTATATTCTCCAACCGATGCCAAATAACATCACCTGAGGTGCATAACCATAACATCAGGCTCCTCAACAATCGTCCTCACCACGTCCGCCGCCCTAGCCATAGTCGCCCCGTCAATCACGCGGTGGTCAGCACTCCAACTGAAGTTGCAGATCTGTCTTCGCAAAATCTTGTCTTCCTCCCCAGGCACCGTCGAGAATGCCGGGACAGTTCGCATGCGACCGATGCCGAGAATGGCCACCTCCCGATCTACTATCACCGGGGACAGGTACGTGCCTCCGATGCTACCAATGTTGCTGACGGTGATCGTACCCCCAGACATGTCCTGGGGCGACAGCTTGCCGGCCACGGCTAGAGACTGTAAGCGGGCCAGCTCGGCGGCAATGCTCAGGATGTTGAGGCTTCCGACGTTCTTGATGACGGGCACGAGCAAGCCGGAAGGTGTGTCCATTGCGACACCAATGTTGTGCTGGCTGCGCATGACGAGGGATGGCTTGCCATTGCTGTTGCTATCGAGCTCGACACGAGCATTGAGGACGGGGTACTTGTAAAGAGCCATGCTAACGGCCTTGATGATGAAGGGGAGATAAGACAGTTTGCTGACCTGGCCCTCGGGAAGGCCAGACTTGGAGAGAACCCGGTTGAGGCGCGTGCGCAACTCGACTAGGGGGGTGAAATCGACTTCGTCAGCATAGAGGAAGTGTGGGATGGTTAGTGACCGGGTCATGGACTTGAACATCATCTCCTGCGTCCTTGTAAGAGGCACCGAAGTTTCCTTTTGAGGGCCGGGTATCGTGGCGTCTGGGGATGAGAACGCGCTCGCGGCGGTAGCAGCAGCAGCAGCAGCAGCAGCGGTCACGCCTGGCGAGGTTGGCGTGGCAGCAGATGGGTAGAGTGTTGGCGCAGAGTCCCTAGCTTGTACAAACTTGTAGACATCCTCCTTGAGCACCCGTCCATCCTTGCCTGTCCCAGGTATCTGAGTGATGTCTACGCTCAGCTCCCTCGCCAAGTGCCTAACAGCTGGAGTTGCCAACGACGCGTGCTTGCCCGTCTGCTTCGTCACTGGCGCGTGCGAGGGTGTTGTTGGCGTTTGTCGTGCCCACGGTGCCTCGATAAATGACTGTTTAAGTTCAGGGGCAACAGCTTGTGGTGTAGATGTCGAGATAGCCTCCCCCTTGATTGCCTGCTGTCCTTCCAGGGCCGAAACAGGCTCAGGCGGAGTCAAAGCTTCCACCTCCTTGCTCTCCGGACCGGCCTCAATGTCGATATCAACAAAGGGCTTTCCCACCTTGGCCATTTCGCCCGCTTCGTAGTAGAGTTTTTTGACTACACCGGCAAAGCGACTGGTAATTTCAACAGAAGCCTTGTCACTCTGGACTTCACACAGCTGCGAGAACTCCTCGACTCGGGCGCCAGGCTCGACGAACCATTGGATGACTTCGCACTCGACAATTCCTAGCAAAAGCCGTTAGCGCGAAGTCATGGAGAAGGTGGACCGAGGACCACTGGCTCTGGACGTACCCTCTCCAATATCGGCAAGGAGGACCGGCTTAATGACTTGGAGGTCTCTCGTGGCATGGAACGCTCTTCTCGTAGAGGGTAACTGTTGAGCTAGAGCAGACGACCTCGAGTTTCCGGGAAGAGGGCGAGTAGGCGACGAAGTCGTAGATGGGGTTATGATGGACGTCGCAGTCGGCGCAACCCTGCTCAGTCCCCTCCGACTAAGACGCGACACTTCGTGCCGGCCAACGGCGCGGGAGCTCTGCCGCAAGAACATGTTCTTCATGATGCAGACAAGTCGTTTGAAACGAAAGATCCAAGCGCAGAGTTTGTTTATTTCGAAAAGAGACTGGAAGGGATCTCGCAGCTCGAGGGATCACATCTGGCCCACGACCAGAAAAAAGTAAAAACATGTCTCCAATACTTTCCGATAACTCTACCGCGACTTGCCGCTTTCTGTGTCTAATACTTTAGCAAAGGAAAGGATACGACGGGTGTCTTTACCCCAATCAACGTCCTCAATCGATCCAGCGGGGTGGCTTGCTACGGCTTACAGCCTTCAACTGACGTTCGGCCGAGAGAACCTTGAAGGCTTGGTCGGGAATAATCCCCGCGGATAACCGAACCCCAACTTCTATCATATCTACATGCGTACAGTACGGCAAGGCACAATGCACCCCATTGGTTGCGTTCCTGCCCCCCGCTGTTTCGGCCTGTGCCCCAGAAAGCCGTTCGGCTTGACCCCAAACTGTGTGCCCTGGTCCAGAGCGTGGGGTCAATTGATGCTCTTGGTGGGGCAGATTGCTTGGCGCGTGGAAATTTCGAGGGACAGGCGCGCGGGTTAGACAGACTGACATCAGAAGGACCGTGACAGGAGTTCTGGGAGAACCTTGAGAGCCAAAAACATCACGAATCAATACGTCGTCACGCCGCACATCATGCTCAGCCGCGCAACAATAAGAGCTCGGTCGACAGCCGGCGCCTGCCTCCTATGCCAATGGAGGTCGTTCAGTGTGTCATATCAGAGGCTTGCCAATAAGACACCATCACCCCAGACCACCAAACCGTCGACACCACCATCGACACCAGCTCCGGCCCCCGATGCTGCTTCGAAAGATGCCGCTTCGGCGACTCCCGTGTCGCCCATCGAATCCCTCAGAGAATCCGGCCCTCTAGCCAATGCGCCCAGAGCCTACGGCAAGGCGCTCGATACCTTCACGCCAACCCACTTGTCAAGGCCCATTGGCATGCACAACCCCCCAAATCCCGGAGAAAACACAGGCATCGATACGCGCACACTCCAGCAGAAGAGGGATGACTTCGTCAACTATGAGAAGCATCTGAAGAAGCGAGAGATGCTGTGAGAACCCATCCCGACATTGGCCATGTATCTTCATCCTCCTCCCAGCTTCTTGACTAATTAGCGCTATGACATTAGCAAATCCAAAATCTCCCGCCCCTACTTCCGCGACTGGCGCAACATGCAGTTTCACAAGGGCAAGACCTTCCTCGCGCCGCCACGTCTCTTCAAAGCCGACCTTTCCCTGTACTTTCCCAACTTGCATGGCCGGACCCTCGCCAAGGACGATGCGGCCAAGGTCGCCGACACCACACCTCTCCTAGAAGGCCACTGCTCCGTCGTCACCGTCTTCAGCAGCATGTGGGCCGAGAACCAGATCCGTACCTTTGTCTCTCCTGAAGCCAACCCAGTCCTACAGTCGGTCCTGAAGCAGAGCGGTGGGCGCGCGCAATTGGTGCAGATCAATATTGAAGAGGACGCCATGAAGGCGTGGCTGGTCAGACTGTTTATGGGCTCGCTGCGCAAGAAGGTGGATGAGGACGACTGGAAGAGGTATTTCTTGGTCACAAAGGGGATCACGGACGAGATTCGGGAGTCAATTGGTTTGCTAAACAGCAAGGTCGGCTACACGTATCTGGTGGATCATAACTGCCGGATTCGATGGGCGGGCAGTGGTGATGCGGAGGGAGATGAGAAGGAAGGCCTGATTAAGGGCGTCCAGAGGATTTTGGACGAGATGACCAAGGAGGGTGTTGGGAAGAACTATGTGCGGAAGACAGCGGCTGTCCCTGAGTTGAAGGCAGAAGGGGCTGTTGCGGCGCAATAGGCGACCCGGAATGCCTAGGCGTAAACATGCATTGAGATGATATGGGTGACAAAGTCTCCATTGCCCAGCTGACGTGTCACAGAGCTTTTGCTGGAACAGAAAAACAAGAACTCGATAAGCTCAAGGCTTCTGAACATCAAATTCCCGCTATAGGGAAGCTGATTGAGCTTACGAGCAAGCAAGCCGGCTCATCGGGGGCTGAGATGGGCACATTTCAAATGCCACGGACGAACGGGGAAATTCTGGTCTGTTCTGGTCTAGAGCAGATGCGTTCACGAGCCATGCCTAACCGACAAGAATGCCGTGGACTTTCTCTTGGGTTTGTAAATTATATTATCATTTTGTAAAATCACTTTCACACTTGCTTGCCTCGCAACGCCCCTGAACGCCGTAATCCCCGCCATGCTTCCCGTCAAAGTACGAAAGCCCGACACTGAAGTAGTGTGTCATGTACAGCCGCTTGCGATAAGGGTTCTTGGAAGATGCGATCCTGTCACGCTTCCAAAGATCCATAGCCTGCGCTCAACGAGAAGTGAGCCGCATAACCGTCCTCGAGCAGAATTTCTCCGCTCTCTCATTTTCGTGAAGCGCTCTCCCACGTCTTTCGCCACCGCCGCTCAGGAGAAGAACCAGAACATCAAGAAGCAAAACGCAATGAATGAGCCCATGATAATCCCATCCCGTCTCTTCCTCGCCGATATCCTCGTGATCAGGGTGTTGATTCCGGGCACCTGGCTCGCCGCAAGAGTAATTCGCCGGTTGATGTGCGCCAGCCGCTCTCGCTGGGACGCGAATGAGTCCTGCACCGCGTACGCTTGGCTCAGCACGCTGTCGGCCACATCGTGGCTGCGGTCCAGCCTGCCCCGCTCGTCCAGCATGTAGTCGGCCTCGCCTTGCTCAGGGTTGGCGGCGCGGTATGCCGAGATGTCGTCGCGCACGCTGCCTAGCAGGTTGGCGCGCGTGCGGGCCGACTCGAGCGTCGACCGCAATCGGGAGAGATCCCGCCGGTGGTCCGAGAGCTTGTCGCGCAGAAGGGAGAGGTTGTTTTGTTTGAGCGCTGAGGGGGAGGGGTCCGAGGTGAGGAGGCGGGTGAGGTGGGAGATTACGGACTCGCGCTGAAGAGGCAATGTATTAGTGGTGTTTGGATTTATGTGAACAGTTTAACCTGACCCCTGAAGGCTTACTTTGTCCAAAAGCTCCCGTAGTCTCGTTTCCGTATGCCTTTCCTCTTCTGTCGGCTTCGGTGGGATATTGGTCTGGTTCGAGAACTGGGCGTATGTATGGAGGAGCATTTCGGTCTGTGAGAAACTGTTAGTCTCATACCCTTCCCATTTCCCAACGCCAATCACCAGTCCAGCCGTACTTGTGTTTCGAGCGATCGGGCTTGTTGTCGTAACTGGGCCCAGCCCTGGGTTGAGGATGTTGTCGCCGCCATGATGCAGTGCTGCTCCTAAGCTATTGGGGCAAGATCGATGAATTTCAACGGATGCGATTCGTCTGAGTTTCCTGACGGCGGCACTCTTGGCGGGAGGAAGATATTATGCGGTTCGAATTCATATATTGTCTGTATTAGTAGTGGTAAGGTTGATCAGGACAGGTCAACCGGTGGAGGATCCTAGATCAGACGTAAATGGTCGTGATGATGATGATTGATGATTGCACGGCAGAGATGTGGCTTTGTTAGTGGAAGAAGTTCAGTTACGTATCGGCAGGCGCCACAGTTACATGTCCACTGTACCTTAGCGGCCTGGGTCGACTCTTCAGCTGAGTTGCTGCAGAACGACAGAGCTGAAGATAGGGCTTCACCACTCAGGGGACCCGACGATACATTCCATGTCACCTTATGCCAGGTGTCAGCGCCTCGGCACTGGCAGCTGATGCACATCTCAAGAGTCTAGGCCAAGCATGACATCAAGGTTCATACAACTACTATCACGCGAGATATCTGCGGACCGTACCGTTCTCCCGTCTGAACAGTGACAGACATCAACTGCGGCCGTGAACGTTGGCGCGGGTTCATAACCATCACGGTTGATGATACTAAAGTTATTGGATGCAGCGGACACGATTGGTCAGCACACATATAGACATCGATGCGAGCGAAGATACCTCAGCTATTGTTGAAAGACATATGACAGAAGGGCCAAGCCATGTTTACACGAGCTTTGTAAAGTGCTGATAAATCGCAAAGACTCACCATACAGTCGTCCTAGATGTTCACTAAATACGTGTAATTCGCAGACATACACTGACGCAATGAGAGACGCAGATTCGCACGTAGAACGCACGAAGGATATCAATGGTCGAGTATGCGGTAGGCGCAGTAAATAGCATCTGTAGGTATTGATCTTCCGCTCTTTGGACGGATCCCTAATCGCATGGTTTGGTGCGATACCAGGAGGAACAGGCTCTCTGCGAGAGTCGAGTGCCTTCACGAGCCCCCTGTACATTGCCATGGGGCGTCCCCGATGCCTCGAGTTTCGCTCGTGACCCGTATCCTCTGCAAAACCGAAAGCCGTATTTTACCATCCTGATGACTGTAAACCCTCATAACAGACGCCGTAATGGACCCGAGAACCGTCAACGTCCAAATGCAACTGACCGAGCCATACCGCGAACCGCTCCCGCATGCAGTCCCCTAGCACCCATGCCCACAATCTACCACTTCATCTCGTGGGGCTTGTCACCCTTGCGGAGGGTGAAAGAAGAGGCGAGGTAGCTGGCGAGGAACTCGACCTTCTTGATGTTGGCGATGAGGGCCTTGTCGATGGCCTTCTGGTCGGCAACGCGGCTGCTGGAAACCTCCTTCTTCTGCATCACTATGTCAGCATTGTGCGCCCCGTGTTCCAGCTCGGAATTCTTAAGTCGTACCTGGGGCTTCTCGCCCTGCTTGAAGAAAGCCTCCTCACCGGCCTTCTCCTTGGACTTCTCGGCGGTGAAGTACTTGGGCTGAGCAATCTCGTTGATCTTGGCCTCGTCGATGCCAGCGAGATCGACCTTCTGGGAAGTGGCGATGACGTAGCGGGCGTTGACGCGACGGAGGGGGACACCGTTGATCTTGAAAGGGCCGGTGACGAGAAGAACACCCTGGTCGAGAGCCTTGAGGAGGACAACGCGCTTGCCACGGAAACGGCCAGCGAGGAGGATCAGGACGGTACCGGGGACGAGGGTGCTGCGGGGAGACCACGGGCGGATGGTCTTGCGGACCTGTAGAGAATATCGTAATTAGAATCAGTCATGTTCGCGGAGTTTGGGAATGTCCGCCTCTTGTCGTCGCCTCCACGAGATGCGCTTTGCGGTCCAAAGTCCAAAATCGCAGCAAGTGCTGCCGCCCTCCACTTGCGCCCTGGTTGTCCCCATTTCCGCGCCAAATCGATAACCGCCAAACCGGCCGCAATTCCACCAAGTGCATCTCGCGATACTTCGCCAAAAACGTCGCCGGTCGCCTGGAAAACTTGTGCATGCACGTACCTTGCGAGGCTGGGCCTCATCCTCAGCAGGGTACCATTTCTGGGCCTTCTCGGACGAGTGAGGGACCGTCCGGGTCGCCTTGCCAAAGGTCTTCGTCTGGGGAGCCGCCGCGGACGACATTGTGTGGACTTTGGCTGGGTGGTGAGGTTAGTGCAGAATCGTCGTCAACTTCCTGACTGCTGCTCGAGATTTTAGAAATGTTGGAGTGGCCCCGGTTGTGTGCATGTTACGAAGACCCAAACCCCAAGCTAACCGCATTTGGATTTTGCGGGACCGTTCACCTTTGGCAGGCGGCAACGCACGGGCCACCTCGGAAACGGTAGGGTTTTCCGCCCTCCCTGCGATTTTGCGCATCCACACCTCTCAGATTTTGTTGGATAGCGAGTGCCTGAAGACCGCGATCCTCTGATACTTGTCGTGGTCAAGCCCTACTCACCCAACGTCCTTCAAGCTCGACGTCAATCACATTCAAGATGGTACGTACGGCTCTTCATGTCCGACGGCTCTTTGGGGGGCACTGTTATGCTGCCAATTTCATCGATGTCTTGTTTGGCAATTGCTGCACTTCGCCGATGATCTCATTTGCGACGACATCGCAGACGCCAACCGATGGCAGACTGAAGTTTTTGGAAATGCGGTGCATTGGCTGACTCCAAATTGTTATAGTCTTCTGGAAAGGTCAAGGCCGGCGCTCTCTGGTCCAAGAACAAGGACGAGCTCACCAAGCAGCTCGGTGAGCTGAAGACTGAGTTGGGTCAGCTTCGCATCCAGAAGATCGTCTCTTCCGGCACCAAGCTCAACAAGATGTACGTCGATTTTGCACCCGCCGATTTACAACGAGCCACTTCGAAAACGGGATATGGGAACTTGGACGAATCTTTGGGAATATCAGGGAGGATTGAACGGGTTGGCTGACAGGCGCATCTTTTTACAGCCACGACCTCCGCAAGTCGATCGCTCGTGTCCTTACCATCATCAACGCCAAGCAGAGGGCTCAGCTTCGTCTCTTCTACAAGAACAAGAAGTACCTCCCTCTCGATCTCCGCGCCAAGCAGACCCGCGCTATCCGCCGCCGTCTTTCCAAGGAGGACGCTTCCCGCGTTCTTGAGAAGACCAAGAAGCGCACCACCCACTTCCCCCTCCGCAAGTTCGCCGTCAAGGTACGATTACACAATGCGCCGGCCTCAATGGATGAGAGACGCAAAGTTCCCTCCATTTCACCTGGTGTCGAATGCCGATCCAAATAGGAAGAACCAAGACCATGCTAACATGCGTGTCTCCAGGCCGCTTAAATGTGCTTCTTCTGGGGTTAAGGGGTTGGTTGTGGGTATTTAAACAGGCAGCGCGGTTTTGAAAAAGGATTTCGCACTCGACACACTGCATCATCAATGGAGCATGCTTGAACGGGTTTTTTGGGTGCTATCAACGAGGTCAACGAAAATCTTGATCCGGCTAGGTAGCTCCATAGCTGCCGAAATGAATGCCACGGGCTGAACCACCACCATCGCCACCACCGCAGACGGATTGTTCATGATGATACCCACGTTGGATACTTGACGACCCCCCGGCCGGATGCTGTTCTGATCGAAGATTGCAGCAAGGGGGCTCATGGCTTGGGTCCCTCTGTGCGATACAACGGCTCCTTTGGGGCTGATTGGTGTAGCCAGGTACACATAGTTGCCTAGAAAAGAGCGCAGTTGTCCGGGATGGGAATCTTTCCAGGGCTGCGTCGCGAACGTATTTGTCCTTGGCTCTTTGACTGTTCTTCATGATGTCCCTCTATTCTCCTGGTCCTGGAGTAATGATCGTCTCGCCTCTGCTTTGCTTGGTAGATTGTGACGTATTCTGGCCGTCTGCGTAGTATGTACACACTAGAGGTACCTCCTGCGGTCACGTATTTAAGCGACGTCCACGTCTTTTGAGGCTCTGCGCTGCCAATTCCAGTCCTGTTTGTTGACACACCCCTGAGTCCACACTCATAGACACTGTCAATTGTCGTTATGTCTCCAGTGTATTCGCACAATGCCGCTCCCACCATGGCCAAATGCGCACCAACAGCCATCCTATAGAATGTCGACTATATCAAAGTGCATTGACACCAATCCTGCCACCCTATATGGTCTGTTAACGCATGATTTTGACCGATTTACGGACATTGACAGCGTGGGACAAGTCAAATTGACTATTATTTATTTCTGACCGCCCGGCAGAATGGCAATGGGACGGCGCTAGCGAGTCTTTAGCGTGATGCGTGCCAAGCATGGACCAGGTCTGTGTCTGTGATGAGGTGGTGGAAGCTCCAACTGTCCTCTTGTGGCGGGCGCATTGGGGATTGGACTCTGGCTGGACCTCCACCAGTCCGTCAGTGACAGCGAAGCTCTCCAACAACCTGCACCATCGCGAGGACGCACAAACTACCAGATCACGGCCATCATGTCGGCCGATTCCCTAGAACGTCTCGCCAGCGCGGGCAAAGGGGATAGCACCCGCACATTGCTGCGAGTGATTATCCTCTTGCTTGTCGCCGGTGCCGCTATCTCAAGCCGCCTGTTTTCTGTTATTCGTAAGCCTCCCAGTCCCCAGCTTCCTTGACGTGGAACATGCGCGGCAGAGTAGAGCTCCGGACGAGCTGGGCAGCAATGTCACAAAGCTGAACCCCTCCATACCGTCCGCAAAGCTATCCTTTGCCCCAATTGTCCAAGAGGCTGAATCGTTTGAATACATTTTACTTTTAATGATAGTTATGACTGCTAACCGCTTGCGTGCAACCAGGTTTCGAATCTATCATCCATGAATGTCAGTTCCCGAGCTAACAAGCTTGCTTCCTCCCCAATCCACAACGCCAACTTGAACTACGTCCCCAGGCACCGCAACAACACCGAAATCCTCACGATAATGCATCACTAACTCCCGTATAGTCGATCCTTGGTTCAACTTCCGAGCGACAAAATACTTGGTTGCAAATGGATTCTACAAGTTTTGGGACTGGTTCGATGACCGGACATGGCATCCCCTGGGCCGCGTCACTGGAGGTACTCTCTATCCCGGGCTCATGGTCACCAGCGGTGTCATTTACCACGCTCTGAGGGCTCTCTCGATTCCCGTCGACATCCGGAATGTCTGCGTTCTTCTTGCACCGGCCTTTTCCGGTCTTACTGCCTACGCCGCTTACCTCCTCACCAACGAGATGACCCCGTCTTCGTCCGCCGGTCTCCTTGCCGCCATCTTCATGGGTATTGCCCCTGGCTATATTTCACGTTCGGTCGCTGGCAGTTACGACAACGAAGCCATTGCCATTTTTCTGCTGGTCTTCACCTTTTACCTGTGGATCAAGGCTCTCAAGCTCGGATCCATGCTTTGGGGAGCTCTTTGCGCCCTCTTCTACGGTTATATGGTTGCTTCCTGGGGTGGTTATGCCTTCATCACCTGTCTCCTCCCCCTCCACGCATTTGTTCTTATCTGCATGGGTCGTTACAGCACTAGGCTTTATGTTGCGTACACCACTTGGTATGCATTGGGAACATTGGCCAGTATGCAGATTCCCTTTGTTGGTTTTCTGCCTGTCAAGACTAGCGAGCACATGCCTGCTTTGGGTACGTTGACTTGACCAGCCCCCCTCTTTCGAGTCGTTTTACTGACACTTGGTAGGCATCTTTGGATTCCTTCAGCTTTTGGCTTTCCTCGACTACGTTCGTTCAGCGATTCCCAGCCGGCAATTCCAGACCTTCTTGTGGGTCTTTGCTGGAAGTATCTTTGGTATTGGCCTCATTGGCCTTGTCGTTGCTACCAGTGCTGGTTTCATTGCTCCCTGGAGTGGTCGATTCTACTCCCTGTGGGACACAGGATACGCCAAGATTCACATCCCCATCATCGCCTCGGTCTCTGAGCATCAGCCCACAGCATGGCCCGCCTTCTTCTTCGATCTCAACATGCTCGTCTGGCTCTTGCCCGCTGGCGTCTATCTGTGCTACCAGAAGCTGGCTGATGAGCATGTCTTCGTCATTGTTTACGCCTTGTTTGGCAGCTACTTCGCCGGTGTCATGGTTCGTCTCATGTTGACGCTCACCCCTGTTGTTTGCGTTGCGGCGGCCATTGCGCTCTCCACCATCCTTCACACATATCTCAAGGCCAAGTCACCCACCCCGGAGGAGCTTCTTCCTGATGAATCTACCGACGGTACCTCCAAGAAAGCATCGAAGTCGGGTCTTAGGGCGTCGAACAAGCCATACATCGGCATCTATGCGACCTTCTCCAAGGTCACCATTGTTGGTCTCATGACCGCCTACCTATTGCTGTTTGTTGCTCACTGCACGTGGGTGACCTCAAACGCTTATTCGTCACCTTCAGTCGTCTTGGCCAGTAGGATGCCCGATGGTAGCCAGCACATTATTGACGATTATCGTGAGGCGTATCAGTGGTTGCGCCAGAACACCAAGTATGATGCCAAGATCATGTCTTGGTGGGATTATGGCTACCAGATTGGTGGCATGGCCGACCGTCCCACGCTTGTCGACAACAACACGTGGAACAACACACACATCGCGACTGTCGGCAAGGCCATGGCCTCCCGCGAGGAAGTCAGCTATCCCATCATGCGCCAACACGAGGTGGATTATGTCTTAATTGTTTTCGGTGGCCTTTTGGGATATTCCGGCGACGATATCAACAAGTTCCTCTGGATGGTTCGTATTGCCGAGGGCATTTGGCCTGATGAGGTCAAGGAGCGCGAGTTCTTTACACCTCGCGGTGAATATCGTGTCGATGCCGGGGCTACCGACACCATGAAGAACAGCTTGATGTGAGTGCAGTCCTGCTTCCACGGCCACCTCTATTACTAACTGTTTCACAGGTACAAGATGTCGTATTATAACTACAACAACCTCTTTCCCCCTGGACAGGCTCAAGATCGCGTCCGTGGCGTCCGCCTTCCCGACGAAGGTCCGGTTCTCAACACCATCGAGGAGGCCTTCACGAGCGAAAACTGGATTATCCGCATTTACAAGGTCAAGGACCTCGATAACCTAGGCCGTGACCATGCTTCTGCTTCTGCATTTGAGCGCGGCCAGAAGAAGAAAAAGGTGATAAAGAAGAAGGGACCTCGGGTTCTGCGTGTAGACTGAGATAGTCGCATGGACGGGGCATATGCAGATCTATAGATGATATTTGAAGTTATTTACTGGTTTAAACCGGATGGGTGAACAGAAAAAGCCGGGTTGGCACTGTGTAAGTTAGCGTCTGTGTTGGAGTGAATATGAATCGTTCCTTTCGACTGCATTGTGAGTAACAGTTATCTCATCCCCTACTTGTTGAAAGATCAATACGTCTCAGGAATTCCCGTGTTGGTAACGATGTTGGACGCAACTGAAGTCAATTCCACTTTCCACGAGTGGTACTGACAGTTTCACGTATTGTTGTCGCATGTATCGACCGGCCAATGGATCCTGCAAGTTTTCATCCGAACCAGGTCCTCTATTCGCGGTTTAAAGTATTCAGTTCTCACTCCTGCGTCTTCCGGAGAGTCCCAGTCTTTAACGCGTTCTACTTGGAGTCAAAAGATTTCAGTCGCGTCGGTCTAACCCCCCGCCAGGTCCCAAACTCGTAACTTAACCCTTTGCTCTTCAGCCTTTAAAACCATCCTTCCACCCCCGCGTCTCTGTTGCCCGTCTCTGGCAACCCTGCACTCTTCGACACCTCAATTTTGCAGCTGCCCGAGACCGTTTTGTATTCTCAGCCCAAACGATTTTATACCGTTACCATTACACCCGATACGCGGTGGAGTAGAGGTACCTATCCCCACGGTTTCCGACATCCTGGGCACCTTCCGTCGTCGTCCTCTCTTTCCTATTCACTTCTACCACTCTGCTAACAAATAGTTGTCGGGTCGTTTTCTTTCACTAAAGTGTCAGTTCCTCAAGGACAGGATTTTATGGTTGTTTCTCTTCGTTTTGCAACTACTTCCTTTCATTTACACTCTTCTTTGCGTATACCTTTTTGCAGAACCAACTCCGCGACAGAACAACAATCTTTGGATCGCCTCGACGCCAATTTGGTAACGCGTACGGCGTTATATCCAGAGATCACTGCCCGCGGTCAGACGTGTGGCGCGCTTGATACGCGACAAGGTAAGCCATCCGCACTTTTACCTTCAGTTGTCCCTCTCGCGAAACACGACCGCATCGACACTCAGTTTGTGTGTCGCGGGTCATTCACGACTCCTTAAACAACCTCGAGCACCCCACGATACTCCTTTGTCGTTCTTCTTCGAAAAGCATCGGCCGGTCAAATAGCTAGAAGTCGCCGCCAGGAGGCCCTGCCTCTACCCTTCACTTGACGTTTTGATCCTTTGTTACTCAAAACCCTCTCCCTTGGCAAAAATTGCAAGCTGACCGCCCCAATTCGGTATTACCAGCAAATAAATAGCTCTCAGACACAGAAATCTTTCTTCGCGGCACCATCATGCCTCGTAAGAAGCGTGCATCCGTTGTGGACACGCTGCTTAGTGTTAAGGGCGTGGCCAGATTACTCCGAAATTTCACAGTGCAAGATCGATTGGGGCCTGACAATCTTGTGGCTAGTTGCGCAGCCTTGCGGAGCAGTCTCCAACCGGTCGTCACTCGCAAAGCACCTCAGAGACCTCAGGGATCAAACGTGGTCATCAGCGAGCGGGAACGCGATCAAAGCCAGATCATCCAGGTGCTTGGCCAGAGAGCCTGGAGCCCCGGGACCCCGAAGATACTTTCCAAGATGACGAGTCTGAGTACTAGGATTACGAGGACGACCAATCTTGGGATTATCCCTCTTCAAATCGGCATGGTCACACAAGCAGAGCGGATCTCGAGTCCGATAGCCGCTACGCCCTCTTCCAAGCCAGTTGCAATGGCTTCTCTGAACCTTCCACCAGAACCCAGTCCATTCCTCGTACTCCGACCACTGTCCAACTTCCTACTCAGCGAGGCACCAGATCTATGACTTCCTCTTCCAGGGCTGCCGCCAAATCAAAGTCACCACGCATTGGTGGGAGTAACAGACGCAAGACCATGCGTGAAGATACCAATCTTGAATCTTCCGGCTCGGAAAGATCGATCATACGCCAGAAGAAGTCTTATGGTGAACCAAAAGACGACGATCGGTTCAATCGCGAGTCTGCGTCAGTTTTTGCACCGAAATCGGCCATCACGAAGAATGAGCCCCGGAGAGATTATGCTAATGTTTCGGATGGCTATCAATGCCAGACAAAAAAAGTATACAATGGTCGTTCTTACCAACGCCAGTTCACCAAACGGGCGCCAGGCCGTCAAGTTCGCTTCGTTAAGTCGAATGCTCATCTCCGTGGATTGGTTGATAAGCTATCAACACCTGAGTACGACAAGTTCGAGGCTCACTACCAGAAGATGCTGGCTCAAAAGCAAGACAAGGGCTTGAATAATCCGAAGTCACCTCACTCCCCGTCTCCAACTCCAAACCCGGATTTCGATGCACCTCCACTGTCATCTCAGCCCGCAGCACCTGAATTGCTTACGGCTCTTTCACTGCCTGCTTCATCAATCTCCATGAAAACTCGTGCACTTCCTTCGGCATCTGTGCCCAGATCTAGGACGGCGACAGCGTCTGGGGTATCGGTTTCCATGGCATTACCTTCCGCATTTCGCACAAATGCTTCATCCACGGCTGCCACTGTCTCTTCAGATTGCGATTCTACTGCAGTCTTACCCACGGCGTTGAAAACGCCTTCCCATGCAATTTCTAGGGCACCGTCTTGTGCAGCTTCTAGGACTCCTTCTATCACAGTGTCCAATATTCCATCACATACAGCCTCTATAGCAGCTTCCCGTACAGATTTAAGGAGTCCACCTGGTGCAACTTCTAGGACCTCAAAAACTCGACAACATGGCTGCGAATCCTTCATCACTACTCCAGCCGCTGCTTCTATGAAGCCAACACTGAACTCTCGGAAAAGCACTTCAAATTGCGTGGACCCCATCATGACCCCTCGTCCAGAGTCTACCAAGGTTGCATCCATGTACAGGAATTCGATAAACGAGGAGTGTTCGCACGCGCAGTCAAACGAGAAGGTTGATGAGCATGGCGACAAGCAGCACGGTGTGCAAGTCAATCAGGGACCGGGTGAGCAGGGTAACGGGCAGGTCGATGAACACGTTGACGAGCAGTTTGGTCAGCACATCGACGACCAGGCCAACAACCAGGGTAACAAACAAACCGACTCCCAAGCCAAGAATTCTGTATCAACGAGCAGGGAGACTGCATATGGCGGGCATGCAATTACCCCAGATGTTGCCATCAACGGCAACAACGAGACCGGTTCCAACACATGTCCCTTGAATGGCCTTCTTCCCGAGGTCTATGATTGCAAGCACGACACTCGACATTGCTTCGCCTGCAGTCGTCCCAGAGACGTGCGGTATGTCGATTTCAGGCATAATTATTGCCGCGGAGAGGAACCTCAGCGTAGTCTTTGCCGCACCTGTCATCGACGCCTTGACCGGGATATGGAACTCGACCTAAAGCCCAACAATAGTAACAAGAGGACGCTCACGGACATCAAGAAATTTCACTGGTGCGCGCAGTGTAGCACTATCAGGTCCCATAAATTCCATGAGCATTACCCCTCAGGAACGGAGGTCCCTCCTCGTCACCAGCTGTGCCATCCATGCTGCAAGTGGGCTAAGCTATCTCACAAGAGTGAACTTGCCCTTTATGCCCCAGCTAAAGTGGACGATGACGCTAGCAACAATAGCAAGAAGCGAGAAAGTGGTGATAAGAAGGACCATGCCGGAAACTCCCTGGTAAGCTTGGTCATGCCCTAGCGACGCGGATCTTACTTACAATACAGCAGCATCGGCATAAAGACATCAGACCAGCTGACGATGGCCCTCGAGATAGCCCAGCTGTGGTCGAACCCACACCTTCCAACATCCAAGCTCAGGAAATGCAATACCTGAAAGCTTCGGCACCTGTCCTTAGCTCTGATCCAGGTCATCAGCATCATCCCCCGAAGTCTCATGCCATGACCGAAAGTTTGGTATCACGGCCCGTACCTGAAAGCTCATCTCAGGGTCAAACTCTGAGGCCTGTCACTTTTTCTGCACCTGGCAAGCACGATCCTTCTAGTCGTTTAGACGTCTATTATTCACAGTCATGGCAGATCCCAGTCGACGATAGTCCTCCTCCTCAACGCAAGAGGTCTACTGCCACCTATAGCTATGATCAAGGTAGCAAGGACCAGCTCCACGAGAATCTCCATGTGAACTATCATGAGATCCTTGGCCAAGAGGACGTTTGTAACCATCAAGCCAAGCACCATCGTGGCACCCATGAAATCAGCTTGCCAGAGATTTTGCTCACAGTTCCCATTGGGGACGTTCATATAACGCAGCAAACCTTGGTTTCGGATGAGATATGCCCTGGAAGCCCGCTCCACGATCACCTTTCCCAGTTCTCTTGGAAAGATGGTGATGCGCGTCATCATTCAGGGTATCAGCGTCAACCATCAATGCAATCACATGCAAGCAATCAGACTGTGCACCCCTCGGACAATAACTTCACATCCTGCCGCAACAAAGAGAACTACCCGAATTACCCTCCTCAACATGCTACTCCTAGGCAATTTCATTGGCCGACTGGGCGGGGAGAGGTGGACAACAACCAGCCCAAAGGGCTCTCCGACATGTTCTACGAAACAGCTGAGGGCAAGCGCGCCGATGCCTTCTTTGCCTCCATGAGCAGCTGGTCAGAGCCTAATTCCAAGCTGAAACCTCGGAATGGACCGACAGACAATTACAACACATGGCCTCCCGGCTCATACAATACAACGGAGCCGGCGGCCTACGAGTACCTAGAGAAACGTCGGTCTAAGAGACCAAGTGTCATTCCCGGATCGCTTCCCCATGGCCACGTGCGCAATGTTAGCGACTCCTTGTCAGTCGAAACGGTCGGTGTGTGGCAGGGCGTCACTCCAGGAGCGCCTAAAGCGGAGGTTTCAGAGCCGGAATCTCCAGCTGGTGAAGAGGTGAGTCAAGTTGCTTTTCGCATGCGTCATTCCCGCAGAAACGGAACAAAGGAAGACAGTGGCTCGTCTGCGTCAAATTTCTAGGTTATCATTCTTTACCATTTCCTTATTACTCCTTCACCTATTGCCTGCACGTCACTTCCCGGTATACTGTCTATCATATTCACTGATCTTCCACATTCCCCCTCTTCTTAAGACCGTAGCCATGTGGCTACTATAATGTTTAGTTTCACTCTAATCATGTACCCATGACTATTTTTCATCGATTTCCCTGGCCCCTTTGCTACATATACCTGTTATGCTGTACAGTCATAACAAGCACACTTGGTTGTTGTACCGAGCGGTAAGACAGTATGCTTACAGTGCAAAGCTTCATGCATTCTCCTTGCTGTTCTTGGCCTGGCGAGACGACATGAAGGCACATTCATCCGAACTTCTTCCTGCTCTTATAAGGCAGATTCATTATGATATTAGCGCAGGTGTAGAAACCTTTTCTTCCGGGCTGGCAGGAAGAACAAGGCAGACTCACATCAGTGGCATCAAGTCCATTCTGTTCATGATAAGACACACACCGAGGGGGCCCAGGGTTCAGCAAACCCAATGTAATAGGCACGGAACTACTAAGTCTTGTACATGGCAAAGTACTGCTACATCGGATAGTCCTTGGAACATCCCTCACCGGTAGACCCAGAAGAGAATGATAAGATGACAGGTGTCATTAAAAGGCTTTCCCTCAAGAACATAGGAAACTAGCGAGTGGCAATCGCTATACACCTCTTAAGTCCGACATAAACGAATACCCAAGCATCACAACCAAGCAGTTGACACCCGACCCATGGCAAGCCTACAGTATGGCTGTACGTGACACGCAATGCTACTCATGGAAGAACGAAACCCAAGCCGTTGAAGAAATCGTAGCGCGATCGTCGGAATAGAACAACCAGTATGGACTGACTCTCTGCCTTTTAGTTTCCACATTAACACAGAATACACGACCTCTAATTCACAAAGAGAACAGGCAGGCTTTGGTGGTAGTGCCATTCAAACGCTGGTCATGGTAGCCATCCTTTCCCTTGAGCATTCTTTTGCTAAATCTCGTAAATGAGCATGTATAAATGGAACCGTAAGACGAGCAAGCGGAATAGTAGAGTGAATAATTTAAAAGAAAAAGGGAGGAAAAAAAACAGAACCCAGGTTGGGTCAAAAATTTGCAGAGGGTTTAAGCCTCCGGTACACAGAGCTTTATCTATTCGCTTTTCAAACATTGCTTTTAGGACAAGGTGAAATTTTTTGCCAGGCCCTCGTTATTCGATGCCAGCACAACGGGAGAGAGCGAGGACGGCGGACACAAACTTGGGAAACAGAGAAAAGCCTATAGACAGACGATGTATCACGGCTCAAATCCGTGGTTCACGAGGTGACAGCTCTTGTTTCATACATTGGCGCTGTGCACAAATTACTTTCTCGCAATGCTAACGGGAAAGAGAGGGCAGGGTCCTCAATATCTCTTGTCACGCGGCGTGTTGGCCATATCTAATGTTTTGCCATCCCAAGTGAAGAGTCTCCCTTATCACATCTCTCTGCATATGTGTTTTCATACCGCAGAGAATGACAGTACAACACTACATCAGCCTTGGAGAGTTCCCAGACGGTCTGCTGTTTCTACGTATACGGATTACTGTTCAAGGTTTTGGCTTTACCCAAACCCTACAATAACCCTTTTAACCGTAGAACACACTGCCCAGAAGTGCCCATGAGTCGAATGTTGCTGGTTGAACAAAGTGTATGCCCAAAAGTGCTGGCAGAACATTGCTACCGCGTAGCTCTCAAGGTAGCTCTTATGCTAGAGGTCGGCTAGTATACCGACCAAAACCCCCAAAGAAAAAAGACAAAACCAAACCAAAACAAATCAAAAATGAGCCCAAAGCCTAACCTCGAATGTGGATAAGTGAAAACCACAACCCTCCCACACCTACGCCATCCATATAGCAGCTTCTACATTGGAAAAAAAAAAAAAAAAAAAAAAAAAAAAAAAAAAACTGACAACGTGCATTCATCATGTATCCATCCATGGAACTACTCCTGTGTCAACGTCCTCAGTTTTGCCGCGCAACCCATCCCTACTTCAGTCCGTAAACAAGCAAGATACAAAGAAGCGGTGAAATCTTCCTAGACATCCACCTATTCCTGTTTACTTTTGTGCTGCTGCCCTACTACTTTCTGCAAGTGGTAGTGGTGGGCCTTGTGGCTGGGTCCGAGATAGGGAGAGAAGGGCTTGCTCGGGTGTTGGAAAGTCCAAACCTGAAGGTTGGAATGGTTCGAACCGAGCTTCTGGTGGTGCCTGTGCCTGTTGGTGTTGTCGTCCCTGTTGCTGTAGTACTTGCGGTAGCTCCTTCTGCCCTGGCGGTAGTTTCCGTAGCTGTTTCTGTTGTTGATGATGCCCTAGTTCTTGCTGTTGTTGTTGTTGTTGTTGTTGTTGCTGATCTTGCTGTTGTGATTGCGGTTCACCGACGACACTATCTCTATCCACGCTGGCAGTCGCACTTCGCGAAGGAGCAGTAAAGTCAAAGTCACGGCCCTCAGCTGCCCTCTTTTCCCGAGCCTTTAAACGCTTGACGCGACCCAGTTGCCTGTCCTCTTTGGTAACTTTCTTCAGTTGTCTGCTGATGGTGGCCCTGCTGACGTTGCAATCACAGGCCTCTTTGAGAAACTTTTGCATGTCTTCGATCAAGGCATCGTCGTTATACTTGAGCCACTCAACAAGTTTCTGTTCGACGACGAGGTGCGAATGTTAGCTTGACGGGTTCCTAAGACATGCCTCCCCTACGATAAAGGTAGTCGGCAACGCGAAATACAACACTACGCAGTACGTACCTCGAGGTTCTCAGCCTTTAATTTCTCTGCATTTTTACTGACATCCGGTGGTGGTGCGATCCTGCCATTGGCTTCGAACTCATACCTCCTTCGACGGATGGTGCGCTCATCAAAGCCCAGAATGAAGGTGATATCGTGGTTGGACAGTTTGTCCCTGAGAGTGAGCATCCTTTCAAGAAGGACTCTCTGGTCCTCGGTAAACCGCTTGCCCGTCATGATGGAATAACCACCTACGCAAGGGATTGATCACGTTCAATAGACATGCGGATTGCGACATGAGGTGTTGCCTAGGAGCGCGATGGTTGTAGCAGCCGTGAGAGTGATACCTAACAGCGTTAAGCAACGAAGTGAACGACGGACATTGAATTGCTTATCCCCGGACGGACATTCAGTAGGACGGGCTTGCACGGGGTTTGCCTAGTTGAAATGTGCGGCGGCCTGTCCGCACTTGGCAGCAAGGTTTTGATGGCACATCAATGCAGTGGCTGTCGTATCTCTGTGTCAGGGTTAGGGTTTTACCTTAAGAACTGTCGGTAACAGCGTGCCAACTCGCCAAACGAGAGTATGCAATCCAAACTTGGACCTTCACTGCACAAGATTCAAGAAATTCTGACAAGCAATAGCTATTTCTGACACTTTTCCAAAATCCAAATGATCAGTAACATATTTGATCCTGGTTTTCACTTACAGATAGTCAGTAGCTATGCAATAGGAGATGTTGATAGTCCAGGCCTAATCTGTCCATACTTTACTCATTAACGCCATTGCACAAGATTTCTCTATGAGCATTCTGAGCAAAGCTCTCATCACGAAAACCACCCAGCAACATAAAATTCAGTTTTGGAAAGGTAAAAGGCAATCTCATGTTGAAGTTCAAAGCCTAGGAGTTGGTGGAGCTAAACCGAAATGAAGCATTTAAGACGAACCGCCTAGGCGGGTAGGGCTGCACTAACAAAAGCACCAACCCCTGATTTGAATGATGTCAACCAGAATTTTGGTGCGGGGAACAGCATGGGATCCCCCACTTTCTCCGCATGCGCTCCAAAACTCCCGCTTACCAGAAAAGCTCGGCCATGAGGCCGTCGACGTCATGCAACTCGAATACTGTCAGCTATCAGACCACTTACATTATTACCCCACCACAACCGACACTGGCTCGTACCCACCGCTTAATAGTAGTGTACACTACAGCATAGGAGCTCAAGAGCGATCTGTCGGTCCTTTATGCCACTTCATCCAATCATGGAAGAAGCAGGAGATGCCAAACGTTATGACTTGTTGGGCCGGGGACGTCGGTGTACAATGTTTATACACTAGCGGGCCGTCAATCCTTCCTTTATCTAGACGAGCCGAACCAAGCACTATGACATGTCGTCATGGTCCAACACACAAGGAAGACGGGCCGCTAAAGGTGTGTGTGTGTGTTCAGCGCTCGAATAAAGGTTGAAATAAGACGCCATTCTCGCTCACTGGTGAACCCGTCTCACCATCCTCACATGCTCCTCTGCCCTGGCGATACCACGACTCCAGGACGCCGACCTCATCAATAACCGAGGAACTAGAAGAAGCACTAACCTCTGCTTCCACATCGTAGCCCACCATGAAGGACGTCGAAGATATTCACCGTCCGATGCTTAACAGCCTCCAGAGTACATCAGCTAAGATGAAGAAGATTGTCCTCTCAGTCAATGCTGGGTCCTCCTCCGTCAAGATCTCAGCCTACAGCGCTCTCTTCGGCCAAGCGCCCATCCAGCTTGCCGAAGCCCAAATAAGCGGCCTGACCGCACCACCTCCCACCCTTCGATACACACGGCATGGCGAGAAAGTAATCAACGACGAGGAAATCAAAGATCAAAAGGTGTCCACTCAAGCCGATGCCTTCGATATCCTCGTCAAGGCCTTGATCGACGACAATGGTGTCCCCGAGATCAGCAGCAAGGAGGACATCGCCTACATCTGCCACCGCATTGTTCACGGCGGAGACTTTGTGCGGCCCAAGCTGATCTCGGACGAAACCTACCACAACCTCGAGAAGCTAAACGACCTGGCGCCGCTGCACAACTCCACCAGCCTCGTCATCGTCCACCGCTGCATGAGCGACATGCCCAAGACGACCTTTAATATCGCCTGCTTCGACAGCCAATTTCACCACACCATCCCCGAGCACATCCGGACGTACCCCATCAACCAGGACATCGCGCGGAACAACCATCTAAGGAAGTACGGCTTCCACGGCATCAGCTACGCCTTCATCACCCGTGCCACCGCCGAGTTTTTGGGTAAGAAGGTCGAAGACGTCAACATCATTGCTCTCCATCTCGGATCCGGAGCGAGTGCGTGCGCCATCAAGGGCGGAAAGAGCCTTGATAACAGCATGGGATTGACTCCCCTAGCTGGACTTCCTGGTGCCACGAGAAGCGGGAGTGTCGATCCTAGGTTAGTTTCCGCTTTGTCCTATTTTATTCCTGCCCCCCAGAGATCTCATCTTCCACAATCCCTTTCTTTCCCCAAACTAATCCGTCTTTTCCCACCCCTCTTCCAGTCTTGTCTTCCATTACGCCAGCGACGTAGGCAAGCTCTCTCCGGCCTCCACGAAAGATCTCCACATCTCCCGAGCCGAAGAGATCCTCAACAAGCAATCCGGCTGGAAAGCTCTGACGGGCACCACCAACTTTGGCACCATCACCGCCGCTTTGGACCCCTCCTCTTCAGACACCACCTCCCATCTATCTCCGGAAGAAGTCGCCAAAATGCGTCTAGCATTCGACATCTTCGTCGAACGCATCTGCGCCTTCATTGGCTCATACTACGTCTCGCTCCAAGGACAAGTCGACGCACTCGTGTTCGCCGGCGGCATCGGTGAGAAGAGCGATCGGCTGCGGGCAGCGGTCGTTGAGCAGGTTAGCTGTCTTGGGTTTGGACCCGTAGATAAGGAGGCGAATGAGACGAGGGTCAAAGAGGAGTTGGATGATAGTCATGATGTTATCGAAATTGCTCCTCCAAACTCAAAGAAGGGGAAAAGAGATGGGAGAGAGCATAGGGTTTTGGTTTGCAAGACTGACGAGCAGTTTGAGATGGCGAGGGCATGTGCCGAGGATGGGGAATTTTGGCGATGAGGTGGTGCAGTGCGTGGTGGTGGATGGGGGGTTTTCGATAGAAGGGGGGAGGAAACTTCGATTTGGGCAGAAAGAAGTTCAAGTTGAGAGAGGAAACGGAGACTCGGTTGGAATGAGAGCGGGCAAGTTCAGTTTGTTGGACATCGACGCCTTTGGGAGGTCAAGCATGTTGAAAAAGTAATAAAGCACATGCATTGACCAAAGTTTCTCGAGATCCATCTTGGAAAATAGGGTTCAGATGAAACGAAACGCTCAGTTAGGCCTGCATACATGCGTCTATTTCTTTGCAAAGCACGTTGAGGTGCCAGCTCCAGCCAGGAGTAAGCATCTACCGCTAAATATATCTGCCTGTAACAGTGTGCAGATGCAGGTGCAGGACCTTTTACGAGTAACAGACGAAAAACGACGACACATCTACATGTTGATGCACGGTCTTCGCCTTATACGCCAGAAGGTTAGAAGGGTGGAAGAGTAGCTATCCTGCACCTAGCATCTTGGTAATGAATTATGACCTACCTCTTGATAAATATTTTGCGTACTTACCCTGGAACGAGTTTCCTAGAAGACAGATAAGCCCGTGCTAGCTATGCCCATAGACGGAGTAACATTACCTGTTGATCACAAGGGAAGAGACTAGCGTCATCATAGGAAAAGTATTGTATGTATGGACAATTTGTCAAGTTTGTTATTGGTCTTTCAACTATATAAGACGCTGTGTTTATTGTGTAACCAAGAAGAGGATATCAATGCCAGTTGCAAACCCTAAAATTGATACACTTGGACAGTAGAACGCCAAGCCACTCATTCCATACGGCCACCATCCTGATCGGTCTGTTGTCGGATAGATGACGAGAAGAAACAACTTCACCCCTGATTGCGCCGTACCCTAAGCAAATATACCCCTTGCCCTCTTCCATGTTGCCTAATCCCAGTTCATGTTGATGATTGAATGCAAGAAAATGAAAAAGAAAAAAAGAAGAAAAAAAGGTCTCCACCATGCGTGTACATGACCTCTAAATTGTAAGTGTATAATCCCAGGCATAAAAAGGCCTTTTTGACAAGTACCGACCCCAGTAAGATATTGCATGCTTCGCAACACAAGAGAATAGAGTGAGGGTTGTTTTGTACCATTCCCCATAGGATCCAAGACAACGGAAATGTGAGAACCCGCGTCATAAAAGCGAAAGCGCGGCGGGAACGTCATGTCTGACAGCAAACACGCCTGTCAGCTGGCAGTGGCGAGACACAAATGCTCAATCCTCCGAGAAATACAGACGCAGATTTGAAAGGGGAAAAAAAGGGTCATATTAAAATGTAGAGTTGACTAAGAAGACCCTTCTTGGCAGGCGACTGCCATAGCCAGAGCGTCTAGCCCGCTACTCGGCGTTGGCACGGCGACCGAGGGACTCAGAAGAGGAAGGTTAAGTCCACGCATGTCCCAGGCACTCCCAACCCCAGGTGTGAGTGGTAGTGTGACCGGGCTAGCGGCAGCGGCGACGGTTGTTACTGATGTTGTTGACTTGGATCGGGAGGACTTTCCTGAGGAAGAAGGCTTGCGCTCTCCAGCTAGAGATGGCCGGGCAGATGAGCGCGACTTGTCCTTGTAGTGTGTTTCCAGATGCTGCTTCATGTTGTCGGCCCGTGTGAACTTCTTGGTGCAGCCTTGAAACGAGCAAGGGACAGCCTTTTCGGCAGTGTGAATCTTGGAATGCCTCGAAGCATGGCCGGATGTAGTGAAGGTCTTCTCACAACCATGGCTGTCCCGATACCTGCACGGATAGCGCTTGCCGGCCCTTTCGGTGGCTGCCGGGCTGGCAGCGTCATCCTCATAAGACATGGACCTGCTGTCGCTCATGGTGCGCGGCCTCTTCGCACCAATGTAGCTGTGAGCGTCGGAGTAGTCCTCGTAGGGCCGAGTATCGATAGGGTAACCCCGGCTATAGTCATAGATGGGAGTCATGGGAGAGATGGGCTCGTTGCTCATTTGAGAGTCATAGGAGTCGGATCGAAGCAGCTCTGGAGTGTTTGGTGACGACGAGATACTCCTGGTCAAGGCGGGGTGGTAGGGTTGTCCAAAGCTGGATGGCGCGCGGTAAGGCATGGGCTGATACTGGACCTGGGGAGCTTTTTGAGGCTCATCATCGTTGAGGAGCTGGACAGTGTGTCCATTGGCGTCCCTGGCGAACATGATGGTAGCGGTAGCGCGCAAAGCAAGGCCGGATGACGGATAAAGATGGGGCGGAGACGGTCCAATAATTGTGGACTCGGGGGAAGGCGGAGGATCGACGTCGGCGGAAAAGAACCGAATGGATTGCAGAAGACCAAAAAAGTTACAAGCTGATGAGAAAAAGTTACTCTGGCTGAGAACAGGCGCAGCACACAACTTCCGAAGCAAGTTTGGACCGTCGTTGGTTTGCTTCCGTGAGGCTCTCAGAAAAGGCGGTGCAATGTAGCTAGACGCTTAGGTAAAATGGCCCGCGCTGAAAACTTTTCGCTGTCGGTGGCCGAATGTCGGGAAAAAAAGCTCAAAGCTCTAACCACCGATTCTGTCCTGGGTAATGTGTGGTGAATGCAATGGGTCGGTAAAGGTAGGACCGAGATCTGTATTTGTCTTTGTCGTTTGTTGTTGACTGGATGTGGTAACTGTATGTATACTCCTAAGATGGGTGGGCGAAGAAGTCGGCGGTCCTGTGGACGGATGAGACGGACGGTGAGGATGAATGCTTCTTGGATGGAGTAGCGAGCAGAAGATGAAGACAGGAACGAAGAGGAGGAGAGGCTGGATAATGAACCCTTTTTTATGAAGTGAAGGAAGGCACGGAAGGCACGGGACAGCCGGTGTTAATAAAGGGAGGCACGATGAGCTCTCGGTCGGTCGCTGGTGCGTCGCTCAGGCGGGCTGGCGGACATCCGACATGGGAAAGTGACCGGGCGCGCTCAAACCCCATTCTCAATCCGTCTTGCATCCTGGGAACCCACTTGGCGTCCATCGCGCAGGGGTGTGTTTCCTAGATTGTGCCATTGTTGCGGACGGCCAGCGAGCGCAGCGAGGGGCTGCAGGTTGAGCAGCCGCCAGGCGTGAAGATCCCTGCGAACCGGGCAGCTACTCCCTACGGTACCTTCCAGTGTGTTCCTGAGACCGTAATCTGTCAGGTATTCCCGTAGGTACCGCTCAGGTACGTACCTCCCGTCTCCCTCCAGCGCTGCGCAGTGCTGAGGGCAGCACAGTATAAGGGCGTATCCCGCCAACTCACCGTTTATGGAATAATGTTGGCACTGTCCGGCCATCGCCCCGTCCAGGCATCGCATCGCCGCGCCCATCGTTAGTCGCATCGACCATCACCGGCATCGTCTTGTCTCTCCACTCACTTTCCCAGCAGCACCTTGGCTTGCGACACGAGCGATGACCTGGACGGAAAAAAAAAAAAAAAAAGAACCAACGCTAGTAAGTAAAATCCTGTGTGTATTCGTTGCATGACTCCCCGACACGAAGGGACTGCAAACATACGGCAAAAGTCCAAACTGGTTGTAGTACGGGAAGCATGTTCGAATGGCACGCAGCAGCGCGGTTTTGCAGGCCTTTGTGCGAATTCAGACATCACACTCAGGCCGCGTTTGAAAATATGCAGAGAAAAAGGAACGGTGTCTGTTGTGCAAAGGATCATGTCGACTCCAGGTACCCTACAAGAGAGGGTCTTCCCGCAGGCTAATTGATGTTCTGTCACAGTTGCCGTAACATAATCATTACGCTTATATTCCCGTTTTTGACAACAGCCAACCTTTGCAAAAACTTAAGCCTGCACACCCCGCTCACGCCTACTCATCCAATCCTCTCAACCCCTGCTTGGCTGACATCCCGGCGGCATGCGTCGCCCTAGAGACCAATTCAGCTAGCTGCAAAATTCTGGGTTGCCCCAAGATATACGAACTGGAAACGATGACGAAATTCTTGCTACATCTTCCCCACGACCGACCGTTTGCCCTCTCCGGTGCGACAATCGTTTAGGAGCGAGGGCCCTGTGGGCGCTGTCTTGGTCCTCTTTCCCATGGCAGCGCCATATGGATACCAGCCAGGTCTTATACCCCAGATGATACGTTTGTTCCGCCCACTTATAAGGGTCCTTGGGTTGGTGTTGAAGAGGCCGTCCGATCTGGATGGGATACGGAACTTGGGGTTGGATGCTTGTTGAGGATGTGATCAAAGGGATCAAAGGGATCAAAAAAAAAAAAAGATGAAAAAGATAAAAGAAAAATGAAAGAGCTCTATTTGGGTAAGTTGCAACAGCTCCGCTAGTAAGGGAAATCCCATTTTCGGCACTAGCACCGGTACTTTGTAAACTACATTGCTAGCTGGATCAGCGCCGGAGACACGGATGGGTGTGGCTTCCTTGATTTGCACATCATCGTGGGGAGCGTCTAGGGGAGGAGCAGATCAGGTACATCGAGACCACGCAAGGCCACCCGCCTGTAGCATTCAGTATTATGCAGTCTGCTAGTGTACAAGGCGACAACGGGCTGGCAGCAGACACACGCACGCACGGAGGCCCGGGGCCCGGGGCCCGGGGAAGGTAGTATGATTCCCCCCCAGGATGCCGATTGATTGGCTGCTGGCTTGCGGCTTTGGGTATCGCCAGGAAACCAGAGATGTGAATCGATATCTCCCGTCTCTTTGCTGAAATCTGGATCCTCTCCCCCAGCTATCCTTCCACCCCTTCTTCCCAAACCCTTCAACATCGCAGCTAATATGGCACCGCCTAGACGGCCATGGCTAACAGGGTGGTGGGCGATCATCATGGACATTTCCAGACCGAGTCAGCATCTCCTCAACAACACCTTGTTTGGGTGCCAATAGATGCTTCCTCCGTACAGGGATAGCTTCCAAGCCAAACTAGGCGGCGGCAGCTTGGAATTTCGGAGGGAATTCCCATTGAGCATAGTGCAGTTCCTACCGGGCCCGGGCCTTCTGGTACACTTTCCCACTACAAGTCACCTCCTTGATAGTTTAGAGCCCCTATCGAATTCGCCAAGGGTATCCCAGACCTTGCTGGCTGTCAAAGACGACTTGGGGCTCAGAGAGACATGCAGCTAGCGTGTCGCGCTCCGTCCCCTCTGCTCCCCATCCCACGGCAACAACCGACCATTGTACAGCTCGCGCAAAAAGGCCAATATTTGAGGAAAAAAAAAAGAAAAAAATTGATAGGATGACGTCAGCGGCGGCAGCGCAAGGACCCCAGCTTTGTTTCTCATAACAGGCCAGAAGCGGACACGCTTAACAATACGGCATCTTAACGGCATCGGCAATTTCCGTCTTTTCCATGCTGACACCTTCTGGTGATAGTGGGATTGGGAAGCTTCATCTGCTACCTCGGCGTGGCTATCAAGCTCCTGCACAGCACTCGTAGGACCCCTGATACTGTACTGGAGGAGGCAGGCCACACATGTTATCAATGCAGGGTTCCGTTGCTCGGAAAACAAGATGTTTGGTTACCTGCCCTCAGATTCAGAAATCTCACAGGTAGGTGAATATACACAATAAAACGCAGTCAAACCCAGGATTCGGAGCTGCCAGCCATATGTTCCCGCTGGTGTGCCTGTCTGTGTCTCGCAAGACCTCATAAAGTCACTGGCCTGCCCAGGACCTACATACCAGACCTACATAGCCGCATCAAGCTTCTGAACCCGTTTACCCCTGAGTTTGGAGGCAGTATCCTTGGAATTTTGACTCGTGATCCCTTGTTGTTGGCCATCGGCAGGGAAAATCGCCATGATGCACAACAAAAGGGATGGAAAAGTGGCTGTTGGTGCTGAGACAGATAGGCACAAGGGGAAAATCACGAGGAGCACAGCAAAGCAAAAGCTTGGAAGACGGATGGATTCATGGATGCTTGAGATCGAGCGATTTGGTAACGTGGCACTGACAGCCCCGGGATGGCGCGGCGTTGGTTGTCACGGTTGTGCAAAAATTGTCGATAATCTCGATATTCCAATCCACCAAGAGCCAACATGGCAGGAGACAGCAAAGACGACGCTACGGGGCAATAGGGACCGCGACTGGCCCATCTGCTTGTCCACTTCTTTAGCTTCTCATGAATTCCTGGCTGTCGGTCTTCGTCGTACCAGAAATCGCCATGGGCGGCCCAGAGCTACCCCAGTTGAGGGACGAATTCTGAATTGCAATGCCGATGGACAAGCCAATAATCGGAAAGTTACCGATCGAGGCTCCTGAACCCTGCGCCTCATGTGGAAAAGAATAGAGATGCGTTGGTTCCTGTCCGAAATGGACGCCATCGGAGCCTCAGCAACGTCTCCGCACACAGTGAGCGAATTGCCCTTAGGTTCTTGGCAATCTGTATAGTATGGCCTGTCCACACGATAGCTTCGTAATCGGCACGGTACCTGTAGTCCACAGAGCACAGTATGCCTACGCTGATATACACTATTATCGTAGAATTGGGCAGAATATTTTCCGAATCTTACTCAAGTAGCGAGCTGGCGATACATTTGTATTTACACGTGTAGCCGCCTGCGACAAGCTATCCACATCTCAAGGGACCTTGGCTGATGTGCAGACCAACTTTAATAGCTCGTTATGTACAAGTAGTCAAATTACGGCCGCCGCGGATCTCCTAAAGAAGGAATTTGTTGTCATTGATTCATAGCGTGTAGAAACCAGGAACGAGAGACAAGACTATCCACGAGACATTAACAACAATCGGGCGCAACGGCTATAGACAGGGAGTCATGTACACTTATATCCCTTACGAACGACCAAGGGTCTATCATTCGATCCAACTCGGACCATCCGGCTTCCTTGCGTTGAAGATGCACTGCAGTTAACGTTGTGCGTAGAAGTAGCTGAAGAGGAGTTGTGCTCCGGCAGGAAGTGGTATAACTACGCTGGCTATAGCTCCATTAGTTTGTACAGACATTATACGCGCGGCTGAAAACGCTCCGCGAAAGGCTGAACATTCGGGTGGCAGACGTCATCATTGTAGCGGCCACATAGTACATACCCATTGTTGTGCTGTCTTCATTTCCCCTCTTCTGAGTGCAAAGATCAAAAGCACAGTCCGCCGTCGTCTGTCGTTCCTTCCCTGTCCACGCGCATCAAAATGTTTGTCCCCACCCCACTGTACATATTCTCCGCATTTGAAATCCCCAAGTCCTGGTAAGAAACGGTCGTATCTACTAGTGCTTTGACTAGTCTCGAAAACAACATGGACCTATCTTGATACCGCTCTACTTTGTAGCACTAGGGAGAATTTTAGTCCAATAGCTAATTACATGAAGGTACTCCGACATCTTTTTTTCTGACTCAATGGATCAAGATAGGTAGGCGTGAAATCAAGATCTCAAGTACAAACTTCAACCATATTTACACTCAAACTCGACTGATGAGAGTTAGATATCAGTTCATAATGGCCCGTTGCCAAAAACTGATATAGTCAGGCAATAACACCAGAGTTTAGGGACAAAAGCTCCGGCCGTATGTGAGGGGTTGTGTCAGGGGTCCAATTCTCCGCTTGTCTATTAAAGAAAGGTCCCAATTACACGGAAGCGACGCGATATAGCGATCATGATGAGGGTGAGAGGACTAATCCTTTGTACTGTGCAAGTATACTACAGACAGGGGCTGCCTTACGGGAATGCAATCGAGTCACTTCAGTACAGTCTTTTTTTTTTTTTTCTCCCTTCGTGACCCTCCCTTTCACGGCGCCTTCCACTACAGCCGCCACGTCTCTTTGACTCCCGTTTTTAGGCGAGGGGAAGGGTTCAAGGGATCGCAACCCCGAAAAGCCCGGGCACAAGCACAAGCATAACCTACATACACGTGATACATACTATGCAGGACACGCACTTGTGCTAGAGCCGAGGGGCCTGAATGGATGAGGTGGTTTATCATTCTAGAAAACCATGTATATAAAAATTCCCGTGCGGTCTCCAGCTGTTTGACGTATTTGAACCATCTACTACTTTCAAATTCAGTGTGTTGTCCCGTAACTTCTCGGTGACAGCGGTGGTATCTCCTCTGAGCTCCTCGTCTTTCCTCCGAGGTTCCTTGTTATTACTTTAGTGAGAGTGCTTGCGTGATAGTAACTGCCCTGTGGTGCCGATTGTGTGCCGTGTGTGCCTGCCCCTCCAATAGCCAGATCCAACCAAGTGTGTCGGGAATGACTGCATGCGGTGCTCTGGTGAAAAGGTTTGACCTGTACTGAAAAAGAGAAGTGCTAGTGTGAAGTAAAAAAAAGTCCGGACACTCACTGGGTCTGATTTGGTATAATCGTGTCCGGACTATTGTTCACATCTACATAGTATGTCATGCCACAACTGCCACGGCCCCCGACGGTTCGCAGGCCAAGTGGGGCTTCCCGCATTTCGCCCACTTGGCCCGCTTAGCACGCTTGGCAGGACCCGGTCAATCAGGGTCTCGATGCAAAAGGTCTCGATCTAGGCCCAAAATCTCGATCTGTCGTCATAATGGTAGCGTTCATCCTTCAATCACTCTGACAGCCGACCGTGTCAAACTTCGATGGAAGACCCTGGATCCGATTCCTAGAGCCTTTCGTCATTTCCGTCATGTGCGATGCCCCAGTTTGTTCCAAGGAAACTTGAAACCGTATACACGCCAAAGGGACCCAAAGAACGCTCGCAGTCCGTACCTTTTGAACAACAGTCGAATCGCTTTATGTGCCGTAGTCTAGACTTTGCTTTCATATCGACCACGTAGATGCGGTATCAGGATGTGCCCGCCTACTTCGCTCTATACATCAAGAGACAAAAATGGCATACATGTTACGTTGCCCGGCCCCATGTCTTCCTTCCCACCTACGACGATAGCACCGGGCCGACACAACACCCTCATCCCGATCGACCCTTTGATGCCAGCCTACCGCGCCAGCTCGGCCAACAGCCTCGGGTAGACAGGTGGAAGGGACCAAGGAATCCGAGGCCATCCCGATCCGGAATGAAAAACGCGCCTTTTGTTGGAATATCGAGATCTACCGTGCGTACATAGTATACAACCTGTCAAAGTGGCTTTCAAACAAATGTTGATCTGAAATCCGAGTCTCACGTACTGTGTGTATCAATGGCGTCTATCAGGCACATTGGCAATTTTGTTTCCGCGAGAAAGGAAAAAACGATAGATTGGAACAGCACTGCTAACCCTACATCACATTTGAATCACCGAGGTATTGATACACATACCTCTACGTAGATATGCGCCCACCCATCGGCGCCGTCGACATCGGCTGTCAAAGACTCTAGACCCTGACGCCAACACGACGACAGGACCCTGAATGCCTCATGCGGATCTCATTTAGTAGTAGTGTAGAAGCCTAACAGCACGGGCGACCAGCGCACATCGTGCTTGCCGTTCGACCGTTGGCCGTTGGTGCGTCTTTCGAGCTTAGCGTACAAATGGTCTTTCTACCCAGTGGGCTCATACCGCGAAGAGATCGTGAGATCACAACCGTACACTGAACGACACACGCAAACGAGCAGCACCTGCTAGTCAGTCATTGATGTGATATATACGATATGGATTGTAGGGAGTACCTATCTTTGATGTACATAGTATACACACATCTGCACAATGTACATCCCTACTGCCCTCAGCTGTGGGAGATCCCCGGGTTCCATCACACATATGTACACTAGCTAGGTACTATGGTGTTGTGGGTAACTTAAACCCGATGGTTCCGTCGCAGACGATCTTTGGCACTCGAGTGGCCATACAAGGAAGCTGCGAAGCTTTCCATGCTCATACTGGTTCGTGCCCGGTACCTGACAGGGTCCAGAGGTGGTGCCTGACAGGGAGGTAAAACTTCAAGTTTTGCTCGCAACCGTAGGGCCTGATTGTTTCCTTGTTGCCCTGAGAGGGGCCCTACAAGGGGTGGGCACTACCCTAGACAGAATGGAACCCAGGGACGGCGCCGGAGCAGCCTCTCCGGCGGCTGCACCTTACCCATCCCTTCGACGGTGAAAATTTGACGTTTTAGCGCGCCCCGCAGAACACTCGGAGGAACTTGATGATGTAGCATGTCAGCTAAGTATTCCGTCTACACTGCTGGTGAGTGCTATCAGGGCTGGAGCCTCCGAGGTCCTTGCAAGCCTAGAACGTATTCCGCAGGAAAATGGGAACCGCTGATTGGCTTCAACATGCGGGACGCTACAATGTCAAATTTTCACCGGTAGAGGGATTCCAGCCATTGCCGAACGGATACCTGTCAGCACCTCCACGTATCTTGATACTCTACATACTTGGTAAAGTGTTTACAGTGATTGTGCCTGACTGCCCTCTCAGTTGCTTCAACTGCTCACCATCAGCAATCTTGCTGGTGATGTGATATGTTGTAAGTGCCCTGCACTCCGTGATTCCTAGGTAGAGGTATGCACCAGGTACACTGGGGACCTGCGCCAATTTTCGAGAGGTACATGTCGGGGAACATCTCATCTGAACGTTACACGGTTGGTCCCTGGAAACGGAGTGGAATGTTCGGATTCCCGGTTTTGTGAACTCAAGGAGACGGGAAGCCGGAAGTGTCAGGCGGAACTGGCTTGACGGTTACCTCCGTGCAATCAACTTCCCATCCTATCCTCCGAACAATCCTGATATCAAGTGTTCACTATCTGTGCTCGACGGAAACAAGGCTGCATTCCTAGACAAGGACAATACCAGCATCAGCCCACACATACATTTACACGTTCCTCATCATCATCATCCTGATCATCAAAGCAAAGGTATCGACGCAAGATTACCTGAGGGTCCTTTCCTATCGCCCAGCAACGCCTCCGGCCGATATCAACTCCTCGAGATGAAAGGCAGCTCAGGCAGCCGCGCCCAGCTCAGCCTGAAGTAGCACAAGCGATGACGAACCGCCACGCCTTGTTGCGCCCATCATGGCTTTAAACAGAAACACTGCGAAATTGACTGATAGTCACGATACGATTTCCCTGGATGATCAACGGCAGCAGATCTTCGGCCCTGATCTAATTCAGCAGATCAGCCCTTCTCTGGGAGTGGTCCTTCTTCAGCCGAGCCTGGAATATCGGGCCCGCCGATCTGTCAAAACCCGTAATGGGAAAAGACAGAGAGCATGGAAATCTCGATAACAAACGGTGCTTTCCTCATCGTGTTTCTCATGATAAGCAGAATCTGATCTTGCAGGAGCTGGTACTAGTAGAAATCAACTGTTGTTGATCCGACGGTGAGTATCATATCGGAGTTGCGTTTCTCACCTCAGTCTGATGCAGAAACAAAACAGACAAGAAGTCTTTGATCACCATCGAATGACAGCGTTGTCCAAGCAGCCAAGGTCAAAAGCCAAGGCGGCAACCCCATCTGGTCTCAAGCTACAGCAGATCAATGATGCCATCAGCGTCAATCGGTAAAACCGGGCGTTTGAGTGAGTGAATGTGTATTCCTCCGAAAGACAGACGTGAGGACCACCTAGCCAGTTGTGTTGAAGAAGTACTCATCCTAGAGGTACTTATGCTGCTTTCAACTCAAATCCTTCCACTGCAGTTTCATAGTTCAACAGAATTTGTGCGTCCTTCCTCTTCTTTCACCGAACGCAGTCGCTGAGATGGAGATTACATATGTTTCCGTGTGCGCTTCTTGGGCAGTCGTCGTCAACACCCACCCGTCACCCACCCTTGGCGGCGCACAGCATAAAATCCAAAGGGAATCCTGATGACCAGCGCAATAACGCCGCTCAACTCAAAAATTCTTGGCAAATGGTGCTTGCCGAACCGAAAACTCTCGCTTCGCTACAGAAGAAACCTCTGCAACTGCATCCTCGTGTAACTTGCATCCTCCAGAAACTATAGTGTATACATATACACCGGAATATAGCCTCAAACTGCATGCGTAGGCGTGCGCGGTCACGAATCGCTGTCTCCCAATAAAAGCCAGCTCTCTTTTCTAGTTAGTGTATAACTTTTGGCCATCGCCCATAGTATCTGAATTACATGCAGTTTCAGGGAATTCTGCTGTACCTTCGATGCAACAATCATCCACCTACCATAGGTGGTTTAACAGGAATCTTATGCCTTCCTCTTACCGTCAAGCAGAGACAGGCAGGTCGAGCAAAAGATCGCTTGTCAAGTAAGATTACCATGTGCCAGCCATATTTCCCTATGCAGTACACTGATGCGAAACGGAGAGGTCTTTTTTGTTCCTTTTCCTTCTTCTTCTCTTCCTAGGCGGGCCATACAGCAAGCTTGTGTGCTGTGCATACATAGGTACAATGAATGTATAAGCACATCTCTGCCGGGATGTTTAAAGGGTTAGCGTGGTATAGCCACAATATTCATGGGGACCCAAGTTATGTTATGATCACTTTGCCATTCACCGCGCTATAATCTTTTGAATGCCTGCCTGCAGAGGTGTGTACACACTACACTAGTAGCTTCCCTTCCTCGCTTCGCCGAGCCGCCGAACTTTTCGCTGACAGAGCAGAGAGTGGAAGAAAGATGTCTCGGTTGCTCATCCAATACCTTTTGTGGGAAGGATGACGGGATCATCCGCAACAGGAAAAGAGCAGAAAAAGCAAAGAAAGAGCAATCTGTTTGACCCCTTCTTGCCCCTCGCTAGGGTCTTTCCAGGTGGATGACTTTCCGCCGCGATAACGACGACAACCCAACCCAGCCAATGCTATAAGCACAGTCACGCCCCTTGTCATTCGTCAAGGATGTAAGAGGTGTGTGTGATCGAGAAAAAGCATTCAATGGCGCAGAATGCCGTGGGGCTTGGGATACCTACTCGACTTGGCTTTTCAGGGACCTGCAGTAACATTCCGATTTTGTATTTAAACATGAAAATGCAGCTTGCAGCTATCCATCTATATTTCATGGTGTAAGTTTATGTTCATGTGACTCAACCTCAACTTAACTCGGGATGGCATCGCCATAGAATAGGTTCATTCAAGAATGCAAAGGAACATCAACGAACAAAATTAATTTCTCACGGCAGGCAGAAAGAGGTAGGTGTGATGACGCTCCCTTAGCTTTCCGTCCCCCCATGCAGATCTCGATGATGGAGGGGCAGTGAACCTTTGTCTGCTGGAGGCGAACCGGATAGTCAAGAAAAAGAGCCAGTTATGTATAGGGATGGCTTGGACGGCTTGCGAAGACAGCAGCAGGGGAGGGCGGCCGGAACTAGTGTATTGTGCACCTGCCTCTAGACTCCCACCGAAAAAGCGAAAAGGCGAAAAAGAAAAAAGAAGCGAAGAAAGCCCTGCCTTGACAAAAAAAAAAAAGAAAGGGGATCCATCAGATCGAGATGTTCTCGAAAAAAGTCAGTATGTCAACTGCCAGTCCCCGCTCTCAACCACTGCAAAGATCATCGGCCGCACAAAGGCACCATGCTACTTTTAACACTTGACCCCTTCTGACCCCTTTCTTTTCTTCCCTTGACCCTTGGATAAGTCCTGTGATACCATGTACCAGCGAACCAGCGAACTGTGGAATGCGGACACACACACACACACACGCACGCACACACATCCCATCTACACTACACACTAGATACCCCAAGCTCCAGCCAAGCACGTTCCCAAGCTGACCATGGTATTCTGCGCTGTTGCTCTTGTGGAACATGGCAATTTTTCAAGAATACCATAGTGCCAAGCATACAGGCCTACCGGATTCTGCGCGAATTCTGTTTGGGGCTAATGGGGAAATTGATCAACATTTTTTCGTTGAACAACTTTCCCGTCTGTGAGAAGTGGAATACAAGGGGGGCAGTGCGGGGCCCCGGTATGGCAACCTATTTGGTGCTTTACTCTCTGCCCTCTATCTTTCCTCGTTCTTTTATAGCTTGTTTTTCAATCTCTTTTCTTTTTCTTTTTCTTCCTTTCACCTTTTGTTGTTATTTTATTTTATTTTTCTTTGCTTTTTGTCTTTTTTGTCTGGTGTTGTTTTTGCCTTTCCTTTTTCTCTCTCGAGGACTTGAGATAAAAGAGATTAGATGGAGCCCCACCCCCAAGTTGGGATCAGGTATGTATTACAAGCCAACGATACCCTTGACTACCTTGACTACTTCAAAAGATGTCCTAAACCAACATGGCACCATAGGATGCCATTCTACTTGTTGACGGTCATACTGACAGACAGGTATGTCGTGACACAACCGGTCTGGACTTGGTCTGCAGCCAAAGACAACAGACGAACGGACAAGCAGCGGCGCAACTGTTCTTTGTGTAAGGGCCGGTACTTCTGCGTGCCTTCTCTGTTGTTTGTGATCGAAAGGCATGCCTGGTGAGTGTCAGACGCACGCACACCCTTTAAACATAGCCTTGCCGAAGGAAAGCATACCGTATACCTAAACTATTTGAGCCGTCTGTCTTCGGGGTCTCGGTATGCCGAATTGAAACAGAAGGATGTCATCAATTTTATGATTAAAACAAACATGGGATTTTGTAAGATCTACGGATTCTTACGTTGTAGGTTCACTAACAGTCGTAGTGCATGAGATAGATAAACTCATTCCTTCTCCTATGAATTGGTTTAGGTTAACAGTGGAACATCAACACGGTAAGACGATGCATGTACAGCAACATAACATCAACCAAAGTACAGGAGACAAGCCTTTGTTGCAAATGGAATGTGATCACTTCCCTGAATTTTTTTCTCCCTAGCAGCATGGCCCTTATAAATCGCCGAGTCCACGATATGATTATAATCTAGAATGACATGAGTTGTGCAAACTTTAGCTTAGCCGGTATTGGCTCGAATACTTCTCCCTTCAGAGTATCCAACTGACCAGGGACACACCGAGCCACCCCAACGGGATTGAGGTTAGGGGGCCACGCTTGGTCACCGGCGTGTACGCTTTCATCGGCCGGCTCGTCCACCGTCTCCATGTACAGGTATCACTTCGTCGCTCCCGTATCTTGCTTCTTGCTTGGGGGCAATGCAGGCTTCTTAAATTCACCGGCGCCACCCGAGTTGCCAACTTGGGTGAATGTGCCGCCCTTGAACCAGCGGTCCTCGTCTGCTTTGCGCTTCCTGCTAAGCTCGTATTGCACCTTTGGATCAACGAGCTCTAAGCCTTGCATAGGCGTAAACGCCAACGACGATACCGTTCCGGCGGTGGCGCTGCCCACCGTAGTACCAACGCCTGACGTCCGCAAGCCCTTGCTGGCAGCCAAATTGATGTTGCCAATGCCGCTGCCACCGCCAGCAAGCCCTCTGAGAGATGATGCGGCGCCGCCATTGAGCGAGCTGGCACCACCCCAGCCCTTGCTCTTTGCACTCAACTTGGCACGCGTGCGCTGGTCGATTTGCGTGACCCGTAGACGTCCATCGTCGCGCTGGCCAATCATGCCCATGCCAGCGGTAGCGTCGCCCGTGCCATAACCGACTTCCTTCTCCTCTTTGCCAAAGGCCATACGGTTCTGAGCCTTGCGCAATTCCGTCATGGCCGTGGCCTCCTTGGCTTTACGAGCGCGTCGGCCACCACGCTTTCTACTCGGCTTGTCGTCGGGTGCCGGGAGAGCGCGTGCGCCCTTGCTGTTTGGCTTTTGCTGCAACTTATCTAGGCGGTCTAGACATTCGTCCTTTAGTCGTTCGCCTTCTGACCCATCCCTGAACTGGTGAAAGCAGTCGGTGCGCGCGCACATGACAATCTTGTTTGCAAACATCTTCATAGCCTGTTTCTTGAGGTCGGTTGGAATCCCACGAATGATGTCTGACTGGTAGATGAAGCCCTGCTGTCTGATGCCGACATTGGTGGCAAGAGCAGAACTTGTCTGTTTCTTAGAGCCCCAAGCCGGGAGGTTGCAGGCCGGAGTTTTGGAAAGGCCAGTCAGGCCGCCGGCTTGGTTAAGAAGCTGTGCTGCTGTGAGGGAACCGATGAGAGCCGTCAAGTTCGGCGCAAAGATGTTCATGCGAGACTGTACGTACTCAGTGAGGGTCTTCTTAGCCTTATCAAGATCGACCACCATCAAGCACGCTTCTGTGACGCGCTGGATCTCATTTTCGCCCAGGAATTGACCCTTGGAAACCGTGGCTTCCACCGTGACAATCATCAAGGTTGGTCCGTCAAGGACTGACTTGAGGGTTAACCCCAGGGGGTTATCGATGGAAAGCTGCAACGCTTTCATGCTCTCCGAGTCCATAGGGGAATTGCCCAAGATGGCAACAACCTTGCAGTATTCGATTGGGTTCGGTAATAGCGACTCGAGTGCAGCAAATCTGGCGGAGAAGTGATCCCTCACAAACTTGTGGACAAGGGCCACCTCACTGTCTATCAGAGTAGACAGTCTATTGGCGTTGGTCAAGAGGTTGTATTCCGGGTGATCTTCGACATGGCCGACGTCGTTGGCCTGAGCGGGTTGTGCTTGATAGTGTGCGATTTTCTGCAACGTTCGATCCAGACTGTCAGGGCTATTGCTCAAATAAGATGTAAACGCTTTTCCATGTTCAAAGGGAGCACCGCAAACGGGTATAAGGGAACTAACCTCGAGCACTGGCTTTAGAGACTTCATAAGAGTCGCAACGGTTCGAACATCTCGCACTCCTCCCAGATGCATCTTTTCAACCTTGGCTTTTGCTTCCTCGGGATCTTCTACAGCATTCGAGTTGTCGGCGCCGACGCCACCCATAGCTTCGTCTTCGTCCTCGCTTGCCCCGTCGCCCATGCCTTCGTCTTGGTCCTCATCATTCATCGGTACATGTGCGTCGTCCACGCCGGAGCCTCCAGTCGTGTCAACGCCATCGCCTAGAAGACCTTCGCCATACTCCTCGCCACCGGCCTCGGAGCCAGAGTCCTCAAAGTCCTGGAGGAGCTCGTCGAGGGTAGACGACATGTTGGCAAAACCCTATTTCCTGGGCAGAATATTCGGCGACTGTTCAGGTCTCAAGGTGGTTAGTTTCAGGAGTAAACGAGATAGTCGCTGATACAGAAACAACAGCTGCCGTGCGCCGAAGAAAGGAATGGAAAAGAGTTCGATGTGTTGTCGACTTGTTTTGGTTTTGGGAAGAATGGAGGCGAGAGGCCGCGGCGTTGCATCACGGCCTAGCGTACTATAGACCTCGTTGCGCCAGTGCTTTGCCTGCCGGTCGTACACAGTGCGGCTTGGTATGTGGCCGATAGTAGCTGCCGGTACGGTAAGTAGATAGGTAGTGTCAAGTAGGTGTAGTTGGCAGCCACACCTAATACAGCGGCCTTCCAGCGGCTCAGCGCCGTCTTATGGGCGAACCTGCTCGCTTTGGTCGGATACGTACTATCTATCGGATGTACAATGACATGATGAGGGCAAAGTGTACCTACTGTGCAGCAAGGTACAGTAAGGTAGGCAGGGGCATCGAGCCACGGTCCATCAATCGCAGCGCGTCCTCAACCTGGTAGAGGTAGTTCAGTGGCTGGCTGCTGTTGCGTCCAGACCCAAAATCTCATCCAGAAACCGAACTTACAACACCACGCCAACATCTGCAGATCGCCACTTTTTACGCCCATCTTCACAATGGAGTCATCACGCGGCCCGCCACGGGTGAAGAACAAGGCCCCTGCGCCTGTACAGATCTCGGCCGAGCAGCTGCTGCGCGAGGCCGTCGACCGCCAGGAAGTCAACCTCCAGACCCCGACACAGCGCTTTGCCGACCTCGAGGAGCTCAAGGAATACCAAGGTCGTAAGCGCAAGGAGTTTGAGGATTACGTGCGGCGTAACCGAGTTCGTCTATCCAACTGGCTCCAGTATGCTCAATGGGAGCTAGAACAGAAGGAGTTTGCGAGAGCGCGCTCTGTGTTCGAGCGCGCTCTGGATGTACATCCCAACAATACTCGTATGTTTGTCTAAACTCAAAGTGTCCATGTGCTGTTGGTTGTGGCGCACATCAGTCGCTAACGATATGCTCCAACAGAACTCTGGATCCGATACGTTCAAGCAGAGATCAAGAACCGTAACATCAACCATGCACGCAATCTGTTGGACCGCGCTGTCACGCGGCTGCCCAGAGTCACGTCTCTCTGGTACCAGTATCTCTACGTCATGGAGATGCTCGGCGACATTCCGGGGACCAGACAAGTCTTTGACCGGTGGATGAAGTGGCAGCCAGATGAGCAGGCGTGGAGTGCTTATATCCGTCTAGAGAAACGTTACGGCGAGTTCGACAGGGCACGGGAGATCTTCAGGGCCTTTACCGCCGTCCATCCGGAACCGAGGACGTGGCTCAAGTGGGCCAAGTTTGAAGAGGAATACGGGACCAGCGACACGGTCCGCGAGGTCTTCCAGACAGCTATCCAGACGATTGCTGAAACGCTCGGCGACGATGCCGTTGACGAGAGGATATTCATCGCCTTCGCCCGGTACGAGGCCCGTCTACGTGAGTATGAGCGGGCCCGTGCCATCTACAAGTTTGGCCTCGACAACTTGCCTCGGTCCAAGTCGATGACGCTACATGCCCACTACACCACATTTGAAAAGCAGTTTGGCGACAAGGAGGGCGTGGAGGACGTCATTCTTACCAAGAGGAGGAGACTGTACGAGGAGCAAGTCAAGGAGAACGCAAAGAACTACGACGTCTGGTTTGACTTTGCGCGACTCGAGGAAAGCGGAGGAGATGTCGACCGGACCAGAGAAGTCTACGAGCGAGCCATTGCTCAAGTACCACCAACCCAAGAGAAGCGACACTGGAGGCGGTACATTTTCCTCTTCCTCTTTTACGCGATATGGGAGGAGAGGGAAACAAAGGATATCGGGCGAGCCCGTCAGATCTACGACACCTGTCTGAACCTGATCCCCCACAAGAAGTTCACCTTTGCCAAAGTGTGGGTTGCCACGGCGCACTTCGAGATCCGACAGGGCCAACTAACGACGGCCCGCAAAACCCTCGGCCGCGCCATCGGCATGTGCCCCAAAGACAAGATTTTCAAGGAGTACATCCTCCTCGAGCAGAAGCTCTACGAGTTCGAGCGCTGCCGCACCCTCTACGAAAAGCACGTCATGTACAACCCGGCCAACTGCCAAACATGGATCAAGTGGGCCGAGCTGGAACGTGGTCTCGACGATCTCGAGCGCACCCGCGCCATCTTCGAGCTCGCTGTCTCGCAGCCGATCCTGGACATGCCCGAGGTGGTATGGAAGGCGTACATCGATTTCGAGGAAGAAGAGGGCGAGTACGAGCGGACGCGTGCCCTGTACGAGCGCCTGCTCGAGAAGGCTGACCACCCCAAGGTCTGGATCAGTTACGCCCAGTTCGAGATCAACATACCCGACGAGGCCGAGGAGGAGGAAGAGACGGAGGAGGAGGTGGAAGAGAAGCCTGTTAGCGAAGAGGCCAAGGCACGTGCTCGCAAGATCTTTGAGAGGGCGCACAAGAGCATGAAGGAGCGCGATCTCAAGGCCGAGCGGGTGTCGCTGCTCAATGCGTGGTTGGCGTTTGAGAAGACGCATGGGTCGGCGGAGGATATCGAGAAGATTCAGGAACAAATGCCTAGGAAGACTAAGAAGAAGCGTAAGCTGGAGGATGATACTTGGGAGGAATATGTCGACTATATCTTCCCGGCTGATGATCAGCAGACCAAGAACTTGTCGAGTCTGTTGGCCATGGCGAATGCTTGGAAACAGCAGGCCGCCGGGGGTGCTGGTGGCGCTGCTGTCGATGAAGCGGCTCAGTGAGGGAGCAGCTAGTGTAGGAGATGCAATATTATATCAGGCCGCTGACCAAGAAGCTCATGAACTTTTCCCCCCGAATACAGTGACCGATATGGTGCGGATCTTTATTTCCACATATACATACCCCTTGAGTCGCTCTCGGTATTAAAGATCCCCTAAAAAAAAAAAAAAAAACCACGAAAGAAACCCCGTACTTCGATGAAATGTGTGAATTATATTCTAACCGACTGCTTGGTAGATCCTTTCATATCCCGCACGTTTGATTGTTGCTTTGTACAGTTGGGATACTCTGAGGATATTCGTTCCTCCTCAGCCGTCGCGTCTCACGGTGGTTTTGGCGTCGATTTCCAGCAATTTGAATTCGTGGGTCCAAGAAGTATCGTTAATCTCCATGAAAGAAAATGACTACCGGCTTTCTCTCTATACATATATAGTGATATTTCGCAAAGAGGCATACATTGTTTATCATTGTCATTCTCTCAACCTCTCGGATTTGACCTGTTTCTTCATCATCCTCATGAAACCCAACCTGTTGACCATCATTATCATCATCATCATGAAAAGGAAAGAATAGGTAGAAAAAAAGTGGAAAGAGAACGAAAACATGACGTTGTATCTGCCGCCCAGCAGGTGTAAGAAAGTTGGAGAAAGAGGCACAGAGAGTGGGCAACGGGGGAACAAGCTGCAATGCATAGATGCCGAAAGATAGGAAGTGTAAGGATGTAGGGGCCGACATAACCGCATGTTGTGTCCTTTGGCAGCCAGGCCAACCAACCACACGCCAAGTCTCGTGAGATCCAAATATCCATGTGTGTGACTTGCGAGCCAACCAGAACAGCTCAGACAGCCAGTGTGCGGGCGCGTTTCCGTTCCGGTACCGGCCGTTTCGGCACCGACCAACAACCGTTTTCCCATCGATCATTACTTCGCTGTTGTAGACTTGCAGTGGTTTGGGTGCGCGTCATTCCTCACGGTTCCTGTTTGTCGAGGTTCAACATGCGTGCCTGAACAGTCGCACAACGCAAAAAAACCTGCTTACAACCCCTGCCAAGGATCGCCACATTTCCCTGAATTTCGGGGTCCTCCTGTCTTTTTCGGTTCAATCGGTTCAGATAGTGGGGACTATGTTTAGCGACGGTGATCTGTTTGCGCAGAAAGCGGGAGAACAATTAGTCAACTGGTTAAACAACTGCATTTGATAACTTTTCGTGTATGTGATGAAAAGGGAAAAAAAAAGGTCATGTTCATCGTAACCAAAGCATATCAGGAGGCGCAACAGCACTGTAATAAGCGATGAGGCATCGCAGTTTGGAAGAATTCCCCTTGCGCCTGTGTCCAACCAAGTAGAGGGAGGGGCTGGGCTCTAACGATCAAGATGTTCGTTAGACCAGCATGAGCTCAAGCAAGGCACACGCTCCCTCGCTCAAGTTGAGCAAACGCCCAGTAGTGACCAGATCTCTTGTTGTTTCTTGAGGTACCGCGTGGAATTGAGGATGCAAGAATGCAGATTGAATGTCGGGTCAAATTAGAGAGCACGGGTGACAGACGACGATAAAGCGGGCATTGGCAAACCTGCCCATAACTCATCTCCTGCCAGGACTGTTGCCCGATGGAGGAGAGGGATTGCGAGGCATGGCACCGTATGGATTCCCATCAGTATAATAGGGACCATCCTCCAGGCGAGTCGCCTTGGGCGGCGCTGAAGAAGACCAGTTGTCAGCCCTGCGTCTGCCGAAGTCGACAATGTCGCCACGGCCGTCCCCGTCAAAGTCATTTGCCTGGTTTGCCGTTGCCCGCAGTCTTTTGAGCCGTCTCTGATGCCTTTCCTCTTTCTTCTTCTTCCACTCATGCGTCTCATGCGTCACCTCACGAGCCTCCTTCATCTCCGAGATGGCGCCCTTGATGCCCAGGGCCGCGATGCCGACCGATGCGGCATCTTGCAGCATGGCTCTCTGCCTGAGCTTCTTGGCTTCTTCCGGACTCAACTCCCCTTCCCTCACTGCCTTCTTACGTACGCCGTGCTTCTCCACGCTTTGGTAGATGTTGTGGGCAGCGTGGATGGTCGCCACAGCTGCCAATCCTGTAGTAATCATTTGCTTACCTCTCATTTTCTTGGTTCTCTTCCTGTCATCGTCCGAATCTCCCAGGTCGGATGAGGAGACTGATCCACGCGAAGCATCGCGTCTCCTTGCCACAGTTCCTCCTCCCCTTGAGCGACTACGGCTGCGGCCGCTTCTGGAGCGCTCATCGTCTGAGTAGTCTCGGTGTCGGCGCCCGCTTCGAGAAGAGTCGGCATAGTCGTCGTAATGTCTGCGGTCGTGACGGTCGCGCTCATAGTCGTCTGGCCCGTTTCCAATGCCTAGCTTGGCAAGGCCCTTGCGCGCCGAGTCGACGACGCTGCGGCTACGGCTGCGATGACGTCTATCGCGCGAGCCGTCGCGGCTGTCATATGAATCAGTGCTCCGGCGTCGGGACCTGGATCGGCTGCTGAGCTTGTTTGCAGCGTAGGTCCCGAGACCAGCAGTCGCGATAGCGGCGAGTCCGCCACCGGGCCCCTTGGACCGAGAGCGGGCACGAGACCGCGACCGAGAGCGACCGGTCTTCTCATCCTCCTCAATGTTCTTCTTGGAGCCGTTCAGCACACGGTTGCCAAGCAGACCACCGATGACAGATTCGGCCAAACCGAGCTTGCTGCCCGCCTTATCGTCCTTCATGGCAGCATCAACAGTAGCAGCACCCGCTGCGGCAGTAAGGATGCGCTTGGCCTTTTCTCCCTTCCATCCACCTGGCTCCTTAGACACACGGAAGGCCTCGGTGGCACCGGCAATGAGGGAAGCCATGGCAGCCTTCTGGATCTTTTTGGCCGGATCGCCTCCGCGAGAACGGGATCTTGAGCGGCTGCTGCGGCGACTCCTGACACTTCTAGTATCGGATCTGTCATCTCTGCTGCTGCTGCCTCCCGCCAAGGCCTTCAAGGTGCTGCCAATACCAGCAGCGGCAAGGGCACTCTCGAGGAAGTTCTTGTGGCCCTTGTTGTCCTTGGCACTGACTTCGTCATCGTTGTGATACACAAGTCTGCCGTCACGTCCTCTGAGGACCAGCGGAGCCTTCTTCTCCTTGTGCTTGGTGTAGAAATCTGCGCCTTGGTAACCCGCAAAAGCTCCAGCAGCACCGATAGCGGCCGAGGCAAGAACGTTGCGATGGACATCGGAACCATGCTCTTTGGCTTCCTTGCGGTCGTAGAGCTCCTTTCCACCTATGGCAATGGCGGCGCCGGCCAGCGCAGCGATAAGCTGCTCCTTGTTGCCCAAACGAGACTTCTTCTTCTCCTCTCGTCGGTCGTAGTCGTAGACATAGTCCCGGCCAGAGCGGGCCCGAGGATCATCGTGGTCGTCATAGTAGGCACGGCGCATATCGCGAGTAGAGTACCCGGGCGGCGGGAAATCACGACGGATCTCCTCGACAGAAAGGTCACTATCCTCACGTGGGCGTGGAATCAAGTCATGGTTGGCGTTGAGGTATTGGTCAGCAGCGCCGCTGGTGTACCGAGGGTCTCTGTCATCGCGGCGCTCCTCGCGGTAGTAGCGTCTTGTGGAGCGGGAGCGCTCCCGGGCCGGTTGATCATACCGGTCGTAAGATGCCATGTCGGAATATTCGGTGTTTGTTATCAGAAATATTGTCGCTTGCTCGTTCCAGAGCTGTATCCACATATACGTTGGTGTTTGCTAGTATTGATGAAGAGCGGGGATAGTGTTGGGAAGAGGAAGTAAGAGGGAAAGGTGGCGGGGATACTGCGAGCTGGGCGAGAATAGTAGGGCCAAGTAATATATGGGAACGATGTAGATCCTCCTACTCGTCAGGTAAGCCGAGCTCGTCAGGTCAGATTCTTGGTAGGGCCCTGGGCAAAGTGTTATGGTACAAGTGGGTGTACCGAGTAGTGTACCTTTACGTAGCAGTCAACGATGGGCTGGCTCCGCTCCAGCTTCCTTGGAAATATGACCTGCTGATGGTGTGGATTTATCCATCGAGAGGCTCTGTACCCAAGTTACTTTTGGCCGCATCACACGACTTCAGGCGTTGACGTACATACGACAACAAGACTGATGTGTATAAAAAGTGAGAAGGCCGAACATACTCGTTTCAACTGAGATGAGACACGGTGATCAAAGCAATTCGGGCAACCGTTGAGACATGAGATGAACATGTCGGCCTCCCCACCTCAACCGAGACAGTCGAGCCCTCTTCGGGCGCGATCCACAGACTGTGTGTATGGGGCGCCATGCTTGTGTGACTGGGCACCGAGGTGGGCGAGTTGAATTGCACGGCGGGACCAGGCCCTATCGTCATCAGGGTCCAGAGTGGACGGTCCTCGCCTTGTGGTTGGCGAGAAGAGCACGAGAGAAGACCGCGGATGGGCGGCTGAGCATATGGCAGGCCCCACTGATGACCAGGGGAGGAACAGTCAAGGCCGACATGACATGCCCGTTTTGTTGGATGAGGCATCTCAGGGCCGATGAGAAGACCGAACAAGAATCTTTACTTGCATTCGCTCGGGCGGTTCGTTCATATCCCCAACATGACGACGATCGCGTTCGGATTTTTGTCCCATGGTGCCGAGGCTCGATATCTTCCTATGGGTGGGCCTATGCCATTCCAAACTCCAAAGCTACCCGACCTGGCCGTCGCAAGTTGCGCTCAAAACCGACGGCGGGATAGTCGTGCGCGCCATCTGAGGAAGACCTTGACAGCAGCTGCAGTTTAACTGCCGTACGATTGTTGGACTGATCATGTTTTCCCTCGAAACGCCCCGACCCTGCCTCGAACTGCCAAGACCAAGCAAAGGCAGCTACTTAGCAACCTCTCTGAATGAGCGGGGCGAGGCAACGAGGAGGGACAAGTTTGAAGGCAATGACGCAGTACGCTACTACGTAGTGGCATTGTAGTATCAAGTACCTCGATGGCCCGAGTGGTTGGTGGGGTGGCGCAGTCTCTCTCCCCTGTGATCAAGCCAAGGAAGGTATGGAAAAGGCACGCGCTGGAATCATTAGGCAGCAATTGATTGTTGTTCACTAAGAAGTGCCAAAAAGTTTGCAACTGAAGAGATCGAACTTAATGCATCTCAGAAAAGCTTCACGCTCAATCAAGTCATCTTTCTGGACGAAATAAGCTGTGGTTCGTTTTGTTGGTGTTGCGGTTCCTCGCTTTGTACGTCAGGGCCAACCCGATGAGATGATGTAATGCCCCACCGACACTTGCATCTGCTAGTGATTGTTAGTGAATTCCACGGCATGTGGGGCTGGCAGTTACCGCCCGCTAACAGCGCCCTTCCACACACGGTCCTGGCCGTCGCGAGGTCATGCCTCCCGTCTTCAAGAGGGAAAAGTGTTTTCGAGGTGCGGCAAGAACGTCTTGGAGGTTCATTGCTCCATGAGAATTGATAGGTCCCTTATCAGAGGAAAGCGCGAAGCTCGTGATGGTTGCTTACAGTATGGAGGTGTGATCTGGACCTATCCGTGCATGGAAGTTGGCTCGTAAGAAAGTCATCTTCCCATGGCACCGCATTTCTCCAAGATTCGACATCAGCCCGAGACCGGCGCGAGGAGTCAAACATCGTCTTATGACCAGCATCCTCTCCGGGGCGATCGCTGAAAGTCATATTATGTGTAACCAAAAAAACGAAAACAAAACGGGTATATACTGAATGCTTTTATCACCAAAATCCACCCGGTTACGGGCAGCATCGCGCCAACAACATAACCACTTCCTCCTGATACCATCGACGTATCGGGTCATCCGAATCCATTCCCCCGACCTCTGATTCCCTCTCCGTTATCACTCAATATCCCGCATGCGAATCATCCCCCTCCCTCTGTTCCCCCGGCTGCTCTCCCGGTTCCTTCGTTGGCGACCTCGAAGCAGACATTGCCCCTTCCTCTGGTTTACTCCTGTTCTTATGATAGTCATCCAAATTCCTCAGGCACCTAGTTATATCACCAAAAAAAAGGTTTTAGTCAGCTTGGATTTCTTCTTCTCGGGGCAAAAATCAAATCATCATACCAGGGCACCGAAAAAGGACTCTGCCCCCCCGCGGAAACAAAGAGAAGCAAGCAACTCACACTTTCATCTGAAGATCAACTTCCTCCCCCAAGCTCTCCAGCTCCTCAATCATCTTCTGTCTCTCCTCCATGTGGACCGCCATAAATTCAACCAACTTGTGGAGCAGAACGCCCTCGGACCGTTGCAGGTTTTCGCAGCCGGGGACTATCTTGCTGACGGCTTCAAGGCCATTGCGGATTTGCGTTCGTCGCTTGTGCTCTGTTTTGCTGATCTTGTCAGTCTACTGTTGAGACTTTTCTGCCAATGAAGATATGAAAGCCAAGCCATATTCCGAGAATGCTGTGAAGAGATGGGATGTGATATGGCATGCGGTAGTAAGGGGGGGGTATGGAGTTTGATTGTTTGCATGGAGTGTTGGCTTGTTCAGGATTCCAAGTCGCTCTTCTTCCGAATGACAAACGTACCAGATTGAATATGATTCTGCTTCTTTTCCTCCTCCGTCAATCGGGGTCTATCATCCACTGTAACCATGATAGTTGTCGGAATGTGGTTTCGATATCGACGATGTTGCTGTCTTCCACAAGCAAAACTTCGAATTTTTATTCTTTTATTTTTTTTTCCGTAGACTCTTTTAGCCGCGCCTCAACGGGAATGTTTCGGTTGATTGAGAATGCGCTGTCGATAATACAGTGAACGGGCTGACGGTCGAACGCACACTACATGGAGGGAGGTATGTAGTGCACGTAGAGGTTAGTCGTGGTAGTGTTGTTCGGTCGAGGAGAGCCAATGCATGGCTAGCGTAGATGATTTTGTGACATGTGATCACGTTCAAGGTACCTAGCTCCTGGAGAATCGGCAATCAGGGGAATGCTTCCATTGTCCCATGCCATGACGTGGATTACCCGTGGGCTGGAGTGGGAGATTCCTGAGTGAGCAACAACAGCCAAAAGTACGGAATCCGCCAGCAAGGTTGACAAGCACAGACAGGAGCGGGAGATGGGCGTCGTGGGATTTTACACGAAGCGCACTGCAGGTGAACCACGGCTCTTCAACCCCCACATTTTCCATGCAGTTGTACAGTATCCTAACCCCGGCTGCAGGTGATCGTATTGCTCAGACCAAGGGTTACGGCACTGTACTTAGTACAGACTTTCCGCTGCACGTTAGAAAACTAAGTACAGTAATGTCCCCTGAAAGTGCAACCACCCCCAAGTGCAAAAACCCCCCAAAGTGCAAAAGAATTGGGTGGCCGGAATTGTTTTCCCATATTAAACCTGCAAACTGCAAAGTGCAAAGACTCTGGCCCGGATTTGCACCTACAGGGGTCCAATTTTGGTAGGAGAGAACACTTATACCCGGTTACCGAGGCTCTGAAGTCCCACTTTTTACTGTAGCCGAGCGTCTTCAAGTGGCCGGAGGGGGCTTCATAGTCTGTGCACCAGATCCCCCAAGTGCAAACACCCAGAAAGTGCAAATCTTTTTGCCCGCCCGGATTAGTTGCAGATTCAAGGGTTTATACTGTAGAGGTAGTCTGAAATTTCGCACCGGCAATTGTCGCCCCTAGTGACCGAACAGCAATTATAAAGCCTCGGTAATTACTGTAATAGCACACATATGAACATAGCGCAAGTATATTAAAAAAAAAAAAAAAAAAAAAAAAAATGGCGATGCTTCATACAGTACGTAGTTATGATAGTGTTGAACATGAACATCGCACCGATCAAACAATACATTTTACAAATACATACTCATATTGCTTCAGTGAAATACCTGAAGTAGGCTTTAAAATTCTAATCATACAATGTTCAGCATACCGCCCTAACAGAAAAAAAAAAAGTAATGTAAGCAGAGAGTCCAAGTTGCAGATGCCCATCGCCGTTTGTTCCCTCCAAATGCAGAATGAAAAATGTCAATATCCCTATTTTGCTCTGTCGTCGTACCATTTGTGATTCCATGCCATCTTCTCCAGCACCACCATTGTTCTAGAGCGAAAAGAAAATGATTGTCTGCTTCGCTCAAGCATGTCAACAACGATTTAGCAGAGTAACGTCGGTCAATCACAGTACAGGGATATGTGGTGTGAAACAAAACTTTTTCCGTCTTGAACAAGTAAAAGAAATGCAGAAAATAAAGAACCCGTCATCCCCTCCTTTTTTTTCGTTGTACCCGCGTGCAAGTATGGCTAACGTCTTTTAGGACCCGAGGACGGAGTAAAGATATTCCCAGGCTGGTGATGCAGACCCATGAAGTGAATCCGCCCGAGGAAATACCAGCTGGACCCCAGTCAAACAAATGTGAAGGGTTCTTCGTGACCGAGAAGGGGTGTAGACAGCCGACTACCCAACCTGCTTCAGAGGTCATATTGGCATCGCGTAGACAGCGAGACTGGAAGAACCAGTGGCAGCATTTTCCCTTGTCGACGCTTCATCGCCAATTAGGCGACTTCCAAAGATGCACCCCCAAAACGGTTGACAGAAACTCGCTTCTTATGTTGTTCGTCTTTTGTCTTCTACCGTATAGAATGTTCCAGCTCTCTCTTCCACTGTTGATACTTAAAACAAAACAAAAAGCTAACAAAACGCCAATTCCCAATGTCGAAACACGTATGTAGCGACGAGTGTATCATTCGATTGTAAGATGAACCAATTGGAAGATAGTCGAAACGGGAAAGGCCTAGTATCTTCTTCGTGAGAGGCAGATGGTAGGCAATGTATGGGTGATTCTGTCGGCGGTCAAAGGTAGACGAAGACTGGTAGAGAGCCGTGCTCTCTCAGCACAGGGAGACGCCACGATTTAGAATACCCCTCAGCCCCGTACGCGACAAGGGATCACATAATGTATCGATCTTGTTCCAAACAGGAGCAAATTTAGGCAGACCCAGCGCGGTCAGCCTTCAGTGCGTCCTGGAAATGATGTTGGAGAAGCTCGGGGGCGGCGCGGTCTTGGGGCCACAGCTTTGTGATATCGTTGTTGAGCAGAGCGTTGTAGTAATCGAGGAGACACTTAAGACCCTGCTTGTTTGGGGCTTCCTTTGACGCATCCTCCAGCGCCAGAGTACGGAACTCGGAGTACACCTTGTCGTTAAAGTTCTTGAGTAGCAGCTTCGACCAGAACTCGTAAAGGGTCAGCATCTCTTTGGGAGTCTCGCCAGCGGTGGCCTTTTGACGCTGGTTGAGGGCCGCTTGACGGATGGCGGTGTAAGGCTGGCGATCCATACGAACATTGGCAGAGTCGGGGCTGTATTGATCTAGCCAGACCACGACCTTCGCGCCATTCTCAACGGCGGCACCATTGACACCGTTAGTTTGCTCGTGACCTGAATCATTGGACTCATAACCGGCCACGGCAGTGGCTTGGGAAGAGCTCTGGCCTTCCCTGTCGTCATATGCAAGAACGACGACCATCTGTTCAACGGCGTTATCAGAAAGGTTTGTCAAGCTCTCGAGTGTGAGCGCAGCCACCGGGGGCGCGTAGTCAGGAACACCTGCTGACAACTGCTGATAACCATTAACGGCAGAGCCATTGGAGGCAGGGTCGTAGTGAGCGGGATTCACGTATCCGGCCTGGAACATCTGGTCCTCGGGGTAACCGGCGTACGTGGCTGCCACAGGGTAGTTCTGGGGAATTACTGGAGCACCGTAAGGGGTCATCTGATGAAATGGGGTCTGGTAAGGAGCATAGTTCGTCGGTCCGTTGTGGCGGAGGTGCTCGAGGCGGTCTTCTTCCCGCAGCACAAACTTAGACCATGATTCCTTGCTGCGTAGTCTTTCCTGGCCGTCTTCGCCAATGACAAACTCGATCTTGTCGGAAAGGGAGCAAGCGAAGCGAATGGTCTCCCGATCCTTGCTGAGCTCGCGCATGCGCCTGAAGCTAGCGATCACGTCCAGAAACACCCAGCCGGAGCCATCCATGTGTCTACGAAGGAAGGTATCCTTGCAAAGGTTCTCAAGCGAGAGATAGTACTCGACCTGGGCCTTGATAACCGGCACCATGGGATCGTAGGCCGGATAGTACACATATGGCACGGGGTACTGGGGCACAGAGTATTCGTGGGGTTGAGCCATCCTCGGTGCAAAAGCAGGGGCGGATCCGTTGCGGCCAGCATTCTGGTTCGAGCCAGTCCACTTGCCTCTGCCCCTAGTTGACTGGCCGTAAGAGCCGGAGAACTGACCGGCATGCTGGGGCGGGGAGTTGTGCTGGCGTGATTGGTAAGACGAGTGGCCATACTGACCGTTGCCGGTATAGCCAGACTGGTGAGAGCCAGAGGTGCCATTGTGGCCGCCGCGACCGCGATATCCACCACGACCACGCTCAGGTCGACCCTCGCGGCCAGAGTACTGCTGGCCGTTCACACCGTGGTGTGCTCCGTCTTTGGTGGAGTCAGTTCCCTTGTGATGACGCTCATGGGAGCGGGAAGACAACGATGGTCCTGCCTCGGGGGTTGTTCCAGCCTCATTATGTCCTTCCTTGACGGACGATCCCTTTTTGGTTGCATTCTGAAGGGGTATTAGGTTCTGACTATGATAACGGGACTGCGATATGCGATAAACAGCAGGATGGGGACAACTTCGACTTACAATGGATGTCTCAGCTCCCGAGTCGCGAGCTTGCTCGTTGTTCGCGGAAACCGACAGTTTACGTGCATCCTTCGAGGAGGCTGCGTCGACAGAGGTACGCTTGGAAATGTGAGCTTGGGTGTTCGCGCGCGTAGGCATGTTGGTCTCACGGGGGCGAGATCCGGCACGCTTATGCCCGTTAGGACCGCCGGTTGTCGGCGCCCTCTCGTTCTGGGAAGTGACATTTGAAGCATTGGCAGCGTTGGTGTTGTGTGGCCTTGTAGACCCTTGCTCACGACCACCCCGAGCTCCGCCTCGGGTCTTAGAACCGCGCGGTGGCAGCGGCGTGTTGAAAACAACGGTAGGCTGAATGTCGACAGCAACCCACGTCTTCTTCTTGGAAGATCCAGAATCCTCTTGGGATTCCTTTTCGGTAGTCTTTTCCTGAACCTTTTCCTTGGGAGCCTCGGTGCTAGCGCTGGCCGCGGACTTCGGGTCCGGCCACGAGGCGGCATCGGCCACTGGAGGCAAAGCCACCGCATTCTTTTCCTCCTTGTCCACACGCGCGCCCCGGGGGCCGTTCCTGCGCTGATGTTGATCGGCAGCTCTTGAGAGGTCGGTGGCCTTCCGGTGAGGCTTGTCTCCATTCGCACCATTCACGGATGTGCTTTGACTCTCGCTGTCTTGGTTCTTGGCCTCGGCGGAAACAGCATCGGAGGTAGGAGCAGGAGAAGTCTTCAACTTGGCGGCCTGTGCTTCCTGTCTTTGCGCCCAAATATTGACTGTGGGCAGTGGGGCTTCAGAGAGAATAACCTTGGGCGCCTCCTTGACCTTCTCTTTCTCCTCCTCAGCTTGTTGTTCATTCTGAGGCTCTTTCTCACTGCCCCGAGCCTTCTTGCCCTTCCGGCCTTTCCTGCCGTCTGTGCTCTCATTCGACCGGGAAGTACGGCTCACGGACCTGGAAATCTTGTCCTCTGACTGCTGCTGAGGTTGTGCTGGTGCCACTTCATTCTCACGAGCTGTCTTGTTGCTCT